GCAGCTGATAAGTTTTAAGATTTCACCGTCACCGTGGCTATAAAATTCATTCCATCAACGGCAATATTTTCACAATAACAGTAATAAAGTCCCAAGAGCAAAAAAGATAAGGTTTCAGAAAATGCATATTAATTGTAGGGGACTCGAACCCGCAACCTTCATTGCACCTGTTGTTGTGGTTCAACAGTTCAGTGCACTACGCCACTACAATCTGCGAAGTTAAACTTAAAATTCACTCGTCGGGAGTGAACGTAAAATTAGCGATCTCGACGCCAACATAATACTGCATATAGATTTAAAAATACAAAACCGAAAAAAGAGGGTTGTAAATTAAACGGATTAACTTTTAGGATTTCGAACTCTAGACTTGGTAAGAAGCGGGTCGGTATGGATTGTCAGTCTAGCCACTACGCCACAAGGTGCTCTACACTAAAGCCGAGTTAGGTTCAACACCGGAAGCGCCATGTCGTGTATATTTAACCTGACTATAATAAGGCAGCAAACCATTAACGCTTAAAAAGGTACAAAAATACAGGGCAGGAAAAATGTAGTTTTTTAACATGCAGCATGCAACCCTGAGATTAAGACCAGCCGTTTAGGAGGTAGAACATGAGGCGAATGGCCATCATTCATAGCCACTGAACTACAAAGTCACACGAATACAGACGAAGAGACGGCCAAGTGCAAAGTCAACCATTGAGTGTGCATACAATTTTACACCCAGCTCTTTGAGTTTAATTCTAATATTCTGGGGACTATTGTCAATACTTTTTCCAAGACGAAAACAAAATTATAAAAGGAAAAAAGTACGTTGCTCAAAATTGCAAATTAGCTGTAAGGGACTTGAACCCGCAACCGTTTCATTTCCCCGTTGCTGCAGTTCAACGGTGCAAAGCACTATACTACGCTGTTCTACGACAGTAACTTTTGAATTTGCTCATCGGAGAGGAACGTAAAATTAGAACGGTCAACGGCAATGCGTATTTGATGCTACCTTTACAATATAAAAGGCAAAAAAGAAGGTTTACGGAAATGTGCATTACTTGTAAGGGTTTCGAACCCAAGGCCCTAAATTCACCGAGTAGTCGCAGAGATAAGGCGGACAACCACTACACTACGAAGTCTCACGGCAAAGTAACAAAATCCGCAGGGTAAGGGCTGTACAAGTGTGCGCCGCTCGTTGGAAACTAATAGGAATTTAACGGTATCACACCGAATGTCTAAGTACAACCAAATGCAAAAACTTAAACACGAAAAAGGAGGTTTTATGAAACGCTTTTAAATTTTTAGGGATTGGAACCCAGGACCAGCAACAGGTAAACGGATTCGCCTGGTATTGTCCACTTTACTGGACCACTCGACTACAGGAGTCATCGACAAAAATAATACTAAAAACACAGCTCGCAATGTTCATTTTGACGTCTCGCAACAGCGATTCACCCAATATTCCCCATATTAAGTCGCACTAATAAAAATATAACGATTCATGAAATAGAAACCAAAAAGAGGGACATTTACAAAATTGCGTTTTTTATGTGGACTGGAACCTCCGACCTCCAATGACGAAGCAACGGAAGCCTCTACTATACTAGCGGGGTCGCTCTACGCAAAATGTTTGAAAATATCGGCGCCAAAAACGTACACCAACGCTAGTCAATGGTAGGTGTGCCAGAAGCCTACCCACCCAAGCAACCAACTGCGTGAAAACCAATACAATGTCCCAACGGAAGTGGAGTCTCGTGCGGTTATGCGTTACATTGTCCAAAAATTACCGACAACAGCAGCGACAGCGGCTACTTAAACTTTATTAAATTCGCAACTCTCCTAGTAACTAAACAACAAAAGTGCCTTGCGGAACGAAGCGCAAAACCATAATGTACCAGCTAAACAGTGTACAACACATATGGCGAAACGCAACCTTGAATAACGAAGAAAACTAACCGCAAAACAATAGAAATACAAGATAAAACGCTGCGCTAAATCTACACTATGAGATCTCAGAAGAGGCATGAGCGTACACATAAAAGAATGAAGGCAAGGAGATCATAGACGTGAAGCGATGTTTCAGGCATTCCGTACAAAATACCAAACATTCTAACGATAGTGGCGAAATCCACATCGAAAAGTCCGCCAGATAATGCCACATCAAGGAATCTTAGGAGGGAGCTTGGATACAGCCTCCTTGACGGCAATTCTGCCACGCTCAAAACGTTGTTGGGCTTCGGTGCGTTCAGCCGTCTTTTGCGCCACAATCTCCGTCCATGCCGTAACACGGTTCTCCAGCGCCTGCTTGGCCGCTTTCTTCCTCTCGCTTGCCGGAGGAGTCATGATAATGCGAACGATTGGGAGCAAATCACGAATTCCGCAAATAAAATTTAAAGCAGCAGAGTTAGCGGAATTAAATCACGGTAATAGTAAATAATTAAATTTAAGTAAAAACTCATACTGGGATACATTCAGGATAGGAGTTTGACAGCCGCCCATACTGGCGACCGCATACTTCGTAACCAGCGAAGTCCATCAAACGAGAGTGCCACCCGGCGGTAGGCCTGCCGTTCCTTGTTTACCACACAGACTACACTTGTTTGTAGTTTTGAAACTGTTTTAATTTGTGTTACAATTTACCGAAAGCTATAAAAATTACAGCGGTACCAGAAAAATTATTGGGCTACCGCATAATTCACAGAAAACAAAAGCCCCAACGATCAGGCTTATCACAACTGTTGAAAGGAGCAAACAGCGCTCATTCTAAGGATTACAACGCAGCAGCTGTAAAATTATTCGCTAGAAACGTGCTAAGTCATTATTAAAACGCGCAGAAAAGCACAAAACAGCAAGAGATTTAAACAAAAAGAGCCCATACAGTTTAAATCATCCCGCCGTGCTTTAAAAATACAAACGGCCGATCGGCAAAATCCTCACTTCCAGTAGCTGTGGGGAATGCCACGCAGAGAGTGACGCTGCACAACGATGTGCTTGCGCTTCTTCTTCGGTTTCTGGACAGTGCCGAAGTCATCATCCACCCACAGCATGTCCACGGGCAAAAATTCAACCGGATCCTTAAAATCCAGCTTGTGCTCTGCCCACCAGTCATCCACGTCTAAGTCTGGCTCTTTCCAGTCCTCGAAACTGCCAGATCCCCAGATATTTGGAACAGGCTTGTCGTCCATGGTGTACAACATACGGCCGCACGAACCCGGGCCATTATTCTCACAGTCCACACAACAAAGCTCTTCTTCCACCACTCGCTTGTTGTGTTCTGCCATGCGCTGATGACGCTCACACGGAGTTTCCGGCGGGTTAAATAGGGATGGCAAACCACATTCCTTCCGCAGACGTTCAGATGCTTCACGTCGAACTGGAGTGTCGGGATACAGAATAAACCCGATCTTCAAGTAATACATCTGCGACTCCGACTGGCGGATGTTCTCAATCTCCAAAGCCACCTGAGCCTCGAAATCCAACGGCTCCGGTTCTACAACAGTTAAGGCCATGATTTCGGAATTAGAAAGCTTGCAGAGCTCCGAAATAGAAATATACGGGCCAACCAAGGAACGCCAAAAGTACACAAACTCAGCGATGTGTTCCTGGTTCACAGAAACATACGCAACAGAATCAGAAAACTTGACAAACTTACGGCGTTTCTTATCATCCTGTTCCGCGCAAATCAAACGCCCGCGCTCTGATTTGTAAAATTCCATCTCCATTGTATGAAAGAGCAGAGATTTAAACCAGAACAAATGACGGCAAGAGTCTGAAGAATTTAAAAGCTGCAGCTAAAAATGCAAAAAGCAAGATTAAACAGGAAAACTGCTGACACCCAGCTGTACAGACTGGAGACAGCTGAGCACTATGTGACTGCCACTGCCCTAAAATTTAGCGACATACGGGCGGTCGGTACAGTGACATAATTGTTTACATGTTCAAACGTGAAGACTTTGCGTTTTTAGACTGTCATTTGTGTGTTAGAATGGTTTTCCGTCGGATTATCTGCCACATTCTGATTTTAAACAACCGGAGAAGTCTGATTTGAACCGATTTAAACAGCCAAATCTGCGTTCCAGAGAATGAATGGTAAGCCATTTCGTAGAATAGCTGCACCTTGCACAGGCTGTAAAAATAACGTTAAAGATCTAATTGTAAACGGAAAACAGGTTCTGTACAGAATTCTATAGACTTGGAGTAAAATACTCAACACCAAAGATAATGCTCCTCCGTAAAACAAAAAATACAGAAGCTAAAATAAAAAGGTACTAAAACAGGGCTGTAATTGCAGGGGAAAATCATCATTACACCGCAGCGCCCATGTTATCGTCGTCGTCATCACGGCGTGGACGGTGGCGTTTGGCGATTGAAGCATCTCCTGTCCTTCATGTAACAGCCAACGAGTTTGTTGCAGTTGCTGCTGTTGTCGGGATGACGAGCGCGGGTCCGCTGCATTCAGGCGATCGAAATAGCGCTGCTCTGCTTCCAAGCGGTGATCCTCGTCAATATTGGAAACCAATTCCTCTATATGCTGATTATACGCGTCCACGAGCGTAACAACGGCACCATGGTCTCCCGTTTCCCCCGGGACATAATCCAACGCAGTGAGAAACTGGACAGGATTGCGCACCACATTGATGCCGTGGTTCCGACGGAGTTCGCAAACAATTTGCCCGATGAGCCATCCTTGGCGGAAGTCCACCCGCAGGTAACGCAACAATGCATAGTGTGCATCCTTTGACAGATCCAGAGTGTGGACAAAACGGTTATATTTGTCCACCGTCATCTCCAATCCATTATGGTAGATTTTGCCGCGGAAACGCAATCGAGTGTCGGGATGCAGTTCCACGTAATCGGCGTCCGGATTGTAGGGACAATTAATCAAACCAGATGGGGGAATATAACTCTTTCCTCCACGAGCATAGTCATGCGGAGACGGACGAAGGCCACAATCCACCATGAGATGGGACCATTCAAACGTTGGTTCAGGCCATCCAACATGAGGATCGGGGTACATTGGTGGCTGAACATCGGCCAAGACATCTGCCAAAACCTGCACTGAATCTTCCGAGGAACTCGTAGTATCCTCATGCATGAAGGAATGATGTGCTGGCACTTTCGGGCGATGCATTATAGCGATATACAGTAATTAAGCCACAAACTCAGTGTAAAGAGAGAGTAGATTCAGACGAGGCTGAAAGCGAATTGATAACTAACATTAATCTTGCAGGTACGAAGAGCATTTGCGGCCATTTATCAGCGCCTTTCCTGCACAGTTGGTATGCAAAAGAGCAACGAACGCTACTACGTCATCGCGGACTGTCCAATGGCGACTACGCGCACACTCCAACTGTACGTACAGCGGTTTTGGGAATTTTCCAGATAGTTTAATGCAGTAGAAAGTAAAAATTTCAATCCTTAGAGTTCAAAAATAAAATAAAATAAATGTACAAATTTACACGGCCGCTCGGCCTTTTAATCCAGATTACATAGGGTACAAATTCGGCAAAATTTCGCTAAATCAGACTTCATTTCAGGCCAGAAAAACCGAAGGTGTTTATATAAGTAATCATATGGCGAAATGGCACTGCCATACTTATGGAGCAACCGACGGTGTACTGATTCAGCTAATATTTTACGCCATTGAAACGGTATCAGAATTTTAGGGATTCTTTTCTGGATATCCTCTCTTTCGCCGTAATGGCAGATAATGCCTTTTACTTTCAGAACTAGAGGGAGATGCCAGGCCGCGTATGCAGATTCCTCAAGAGTGCAATCTCCATCAACAACGGCGTCCCACAACATCATGTCACTACACTCCATCTGGCGATACCTCCAGAATTCCTGTTTATCCAGGGCGTCATCTGATATTACGCCCTGAGGCCAGAACTGCTCAATTGGACGCGCCCAGGCCGGAGCTGGAAAGATCTTGTCTTCTACAGTAGGCGGTGAAATCTGTGATGGCTGCATCGGCCCGATCTCCATTGCGTTACAGGTAATTGACGAAGTATCACTGGCCACCGGGGCAACTAGTTCAGATTGGCCCCCTCCCGGCTGGGATACATTCAGAATAGCCGGTTCCCTATCATTTGTGGCCATGCGCTTTTTAGCGTCAGCCGACGGGTCTCTTTTACGCTTTTTGTCGTTCATCTGGTTCACAAGTCTTTCCACAGGTTTCACCACACGCCCGGAGCGGGTTTTGAGCAATGGAACTGCCTCCATCTGGTTATCCAGATATTCAGCATACTCAGCATCAAGGCGCGACGATGCTGAGTCAACGGATGGGATCACCGGCGGCGGCGCGGGCGCCTCAACTAATTCATCGGGGCATTCCTTTTCCACACAATCGAGCAATTTCGGTAAGTGCTCGTCTTGAAGAATAGTATCAACGTCACGAAAATTATAGGGCTTTAAGCGGCTGACATGGACAGTGTCAGTTTTGACATTTCCACGCCGATTACTCTTTACTACATAGTGCACCGGCCCTGACTGACGCACAATTTCCCATCCAGCAGTCCAACGGGGCATAAGGGATGGATTCTTCCCCGCTTTTCGATGTAGCACATAAACTAAAACCTGATCTCCGGATTTATACGAAGTATGCGATATATTAGCATCATATCTAATTTTGTCTTTAAGCTTATGGCGAAACTCTTCAGCATTCACCAAGTCCAGGGCCTCACCAAGGCCGCGCTGCATCTGCTGTACGTATACATGGGCGGGAATCACGAAATCCTCTTCGAAAGGCAAGAAATTATTTATCGGTAAGCGCATCTCGGTGCCTTGCATCATGAAGAATGGTGTGCGGCCCGTTCGCTCGACAACCTTGCTGTTAAATGCAGCACAAAGTGCTGGGAGGAATATGTCCCAGTCACTTTGCTGCTCATTCACATACTTGGCTAGCGCCTTTTTGATTTCCCCTACGCGTTTTTCAACCAGACCGTTACCCTGCTGGTGGCCTGACGCCGTCGGTGCGTGAGCAACACCCGCGAGAGCTAAGAGCTCTCGAAACATTTCTGACATAAAATTACTACCGCGGTCTGAGGTGATGTGCACAGGCATGCCGAAGACCGTGAGTATACGACGATAAAAGAACAACGCCAAAGTGGCGGCATCATTTCTCTCAACTGCCTCAGCCACAATGTATTTGCTCCCGTAATCAACAGCGATTATTATGTTTTTATTTCCAGATTCCGTCGTTGGGAGGGCCGGAGCAACATCGATTGCCCAAACTAACCGGGGAGGAACCGTTGGATTTGACTGGAGAGCACCGGCCGGTGCTGTAGCAAGAGGATTTTGTGCAAGACACGCCGGGCAAGAAGCACAATAACTTTTAACAGACTCGAACATACGGGGCCAATAAAAATACTTGTACATCCTTTTGTAGGTGGCCAGGACGCCCAAGTGTGCTGCTAACGGGGAATCATGGTTATCCTGAAGGAACTGAAGCCGCCAGTGAACAGGTACATACATGCAGTAATAGATCTTCCGGTTTAATTCAAACTTGTAGTATACAACGCCCTGTTTCACTACAAATTTGTTTAGGTGTAATTTCTCGTGCTCTGACATCTTTTCCTTTTTATTTTCTAGGAGCAGCCGCCATCGGACAATTCGCGCATCGCGAGACTGCTCTTCAGCCCAGTATGAAGCCTTATCGTCAGTAATTAACTTCTGCACCTTATCCTCATCAAAGGCTTTCATGTCTTCCTCTGGGATGGCTTTAACTTCGGCCGACATCATCTCAAAGCGGATATCCACATAATCTCTTTCCAGGATAGCGAAACAACACTCGATCATCGCCACATCACCGGCAAAAGGGTAGGTTTGCCGATAATCGAACTCAATATCCGAGTCATCAGAATTAGGTTCCGGTTGCTCTCCTGGATTTCTGCTCAACGCGTCAGCAATTACATTCTCCTTGCCAGGTATGTGCACAGGTTTAGTGTTAAATTGCTGGATATACAACGCCCAGCGCCCAAGGCGGCCAGCGGCATCGCGCATATTATTTAAAAACACTAAAGCTTGGTGATCGGTTTGTACTTCGAACTGATAGTCAGACAAATAATGCTTCCACTTCTTTAAGGCACAGATAACCGCGTAAGCTTCAAGCTCAGTAGGGAAATACAGTCTTTTTTGCGTCTCTGTCAACTTGCGACTCAAATATGCGATAGGTCTCCAGTTCGTCGGCACATCAGTTGGTTTATCCTTGGGACATTGCATAAGGACTGCACCCACCGCAATAGTACTGGCATCGACGATAACACGCGACAAAGCCTCCGGGTCATAACGGGCCAAGACCGGCGCCGTCACCAAGGCCTCCTTCAATTGTTCCACAGCCCTGCACTGATCCGTTCCCCATTCGAAGGTAACTTTTTTAGGAATTAATTTTTGAAGCGGCTCAGCGATCTCTTGAAAGTTCTTAATGAATTGACGATAATATCCTACCATGCCCAGGAATCTGAGAATATCTTTCTTATCTTTTATAGGGCCAAATTCTTTAACCGCCTGGATCTTCTCTGGATCCGTACTTATACCAAATTGATCGACTGTGTGACCCAAGAACGTTATTGAATTTACAAATAATTCTGTTTTTTCAGGGTTAATCGTCCAGCCGCATTCCTGGAGCCGCAAAAAGAGCTCCTGTAAATCACGCATATGATCTGCCAGGTTTTTACTGAAGACAATAATGTCATCAATAAAAACCAACACGTTCCTCCACTTCATGTTCGCAAGCGTCAAATCCATGGCGCGCTGGAAAGCCGAAGGCGCGTCCTTCATCCCAAAAGGTAAGACTTTGTATTGAAACGTGAACTCCTCACCAACCATTGTGGTTTTACATCTGTCTTCCGGTTTGATTTTTATTTGCCAAAAGCCACTCTTTAAATCAATTTTGCTAAAAACCGTAGCTTTATCGAGGGCATTTAATATGTCGTCAACTCTGGGAAGCGGGTAACTGCTGCCCATTAATCTTTCGTTAAGCTTACGGAAATCCACGGTTAAACGCCGGGATTTATCCTTCTTCTTTACGATACAAATGGGACTGCCCCACGCCGAATTTGTTGGCTCAATAATGCCGTCTTTAATCATTTCCTGAGTTTTAGCTTGGAGCCATTTACGATCCTCGAACGACGTACGATACGGAGGCGTTCTAACCGGCAAACTCGTACCTGTGTCCACGGAGTGCTCATAAATGGTACAGCATCCCACAGGGCGGGCTTTAGTCGGTAAAACTGATTTTGCCTGATAGAATATAGCCTTTAGTTCTTCCTTGCTAGGGCAAATATCTCCCACTTTAATCTTTGCGAAAGTTTCCTCTGTTTCAGGATCAACAGCGCTGACGGCAGGTGGCGGCAACTGCATGGCCACACATTCATGGACTTTCTCCGGCACTGGAATGCCCTTGTCATCACTGGGAACATCACTAATCGCTTCTTGACAATTCTCTTGGAACTCCGGCGAGTCCATCTGATAGACCGCATCGACGAGCGCGACTTCGCCAAGGTTAGTTTCTTCATTCAACACTAACGGTTTGTCCGAAACGTTGACCACACACACTCTGCAATTACCGTACTCGTTAAGCGTTAAAACGCCATCCAGCAATACGCATTTTTATTCGATTCTGGAATTTTTCCTTCATAGAGAAAAGGCTGAGTATATAAATACTCATCCTGGAACTCCATGAATTGCTCATCGGACATAGACGTCGTGGCGCGAATAATTCCTTGCGAGTGGGGTTGAATTATGACCGATGAAGTTGGAAATAGCTCCATTTTGAAGCAATCAATCGGGCCGGGTTCTGGCTCAAAGCGGTAAATGTCATGTTCGGCCGAATTAACTTCAACCTGTGCTTGGGCTTGTTTCAGGTGGGCGTCCCTGTACGCCAGTTCAATGACATCTTTCGAATACACGCATGCCGGGATATCTGTGGATTCACGGACGTCCTGAGACCGTTTCGGTAAATTTTTAGCCGTCGGTTGTTGCAACGCCGGTGCCGGCTCCACTGTCTCAGCCGACATTTGGCTTGCGGCCTCGCGCTCGGCGTATTCCCGCCGAATTCTACGGCTGTAACTGGACTTTTTACGCCTAGGAGAATTCCTTCCCGAACCTTCCGGTGATGGTTCGTAATTTCCTACGGTGGGTTGTACTGAATTAGCAGCTGCAGATTCGCTCAATGCTTTTTGTCTCTGAATGTCATTCCAGATTTCCCACTGTTCATTAATATTAATTTTTGTCGCAACATCGTAGGTCGCTCTGACATCCTCCGAAACGAACTCAGACGGCTTCGGCGGCGGTGAGTTACTAATTATTTGAGCATTTATTTCCCTTTGCTTCTCCGCCTGTCTATCTTCATAGGAGGTCGGACACGGGCCGATATTGATGGGTTTCATGCCATCAGCTGGAATAAAGCTACCGTTCTCGAATTCACCTGCGGGAGCCGGATTGTCCACGGAAAAGGTAACTTTACGTTTCCCTGTAGCTTTCTGTGCGGCCAACTGTTCATTTCTTTTAATTGTTTCAAAATGCCGACGGTCATTAATCGAGTTTCGACACACGTCGCAGTTTTTCTCATATCGTTCGATTTCTATTATACAATCAGGCCAGTAAAATAATTTCACCAAGTACGGATATAGCTTTTCATGCCGGCCGTACGCTTGCCGATGAATAAGAATTTCGTGGAAGCAGGCGATTAATTTCTGTCGCCATTGGTGCGGCACGTAAATTCTTGGACATGCACCACTATGATCGGGTACTCTGCACAATATACCTTCGCAGATAATAAACCGATTAATCTCGTACTTTGTGAAATTCGTATTAGCATGCGACGGCTTTTTGTACATTTTGTACCACATCCGGCTATCAACACACTGCTGCTGAGTTTCGCGCCAAAACTGTGGATCTCTGAAACGTTGTTCCGATGGAAACAACTGTTTATCCTGTGGCCTATCCATCGGCGTCATCCACTTCTTCAACTCCGGATTCCGTGCCATGTAAGAGGGGTAATCATGGACTTCATCGACGTCTCTGCGGTCGCGCTCAACAGGTATAACATTAAGCAATTTGTTATCCATGCTAAGACATTCGACAACCTTCGCTGATTTCTCCAAAACACCCATGTATAGATATTTTGCTGCAGGATGCTGTTTCAATACTGCGTCAACTGAAGAAATTTGAATGGGAAGCTGCAAGGGATCGTCACCCCCACGAACTTGACTGGAGCCAGAATTAGGCGCGGGACTAACCGATGTCGGAGACGAGGTACTCGGACTGCCTGCCGGTGACGGCTGAACAACTTTTTCCTTTTTAATTGGCGGCTGGGAGGACACCTGTTCTCTCCCCCGCGAACTTGACTGCATACTATTCACAATTATTTCGCCGCCTCCCCCACGAACTTGACTTGGTTCTGGGTTTTTCTCCACTTAAATTTCTTGCTTAATTGCAGGACGGACGGGTTCGTCAGCAACGGAAGCTGCTTTTGGGAGATATTGGCGAATCATCTCCTGTACTACACTACGCACAAACTCCTCATCACGCTGATCAGATCCCTTTTTAATCGGAGCTACGTGAACTGGTGTAGTTTCTTTAATTTCCGTTTTCACCGGGGCATCAGCCGTTTTTATCACCGGTAGCGGCGGGACTGGACGCGGCCACTCCTGCTTAGCCTTTTGTAAGTGTAAGATACAAATTTCTGGGTCAGCTTTTGCCAGAATTAAATGAGCTGACTCAGACGGTACGAATTTTGCTTCTTTAGCGACACCGATGCGCTCTGTTAACATCAACGCTGGAATTGACGGGGACGGCTTAACTCCCGCAGGAATTAATGGATCAAAATCGTGAGAGCGGATAACATCCGACATCAAGTGAGTTTCACGACGTAAAAATGCCGGTGCATTAGGCTGTCTACGCGAGAGACGCCACGTCATGGTGTTCATATCCAGGATAAAAGGCTTTGTAGCTAAAAAGTCTAAACCTAAAACCACGTGGTCCCTGTCAAAAGTGGAACTCACAAGCATAGCGTGCTCGAAGGCCATACCAAACTCGTGGATTGTAACCACTACAGACAACGGCTCGATCAACTGTCTTCCTTGATACGCTGTATGTACAACCCTGCCTTTAATATGATCAGGACAGCGATGAATATTTAATTTTAAATCTTTCGCCATCTTCAATGACATAACAGAAATACTAGAGCCCGTATCCAGCATAGTCTTCACTTTCTGATAATTTATATCGATTACAGAATACCAAGCCTGGGCATCCAGCGTCGGCAACAAACAAACGTGATCTGCCAACGGATATTGCGAAAAATCCTGAACTTCCATTTTATTGCACTGTGGCGGCGATGTGGACAAACCGGCCGGTAAGTCCAACTCCATCATATTAATTTGCTGCTGCGGGTTGTTGTAACGTGCCAACAATTCTGCAGATGGCTCATACTGACGGGGAAGTACAAATTGATTCGTACAACCAGCTGCAGGATGAAGGCCATGACAGCGGAAGCAAATCTCGACTCCGCGATTTGTTCGCCATTTATCTTTCAAGATATTTCGTTCATCAAAGGGAGGCTGACTACTGGCCTGTTGATTCGGTCTGTAATTCTGGTTCTGATTTTGATTTTGTTGGCGGTTATTATTATTGTTATAACCACCACGCCCGCGATAATTATTATTATTATTTCGGTAATTTCCACGATTATTACCGCCATCATAATTGTTGTTATTCGCAGGGCCATTCTGTTGGTACTGCTGATCGAAATTCTGCACCGGTTGTTGGAATTGCGGCTGTATAACCGGCATCATTGGATTCATCATTTGAACTGGGACAGGCATAGGAGCCTGCATGGGAATTGGTTGAGGGAAAGTCTGCGCAAATTGTACCGGGTGTTGTTCAACAAATGGTGGCTGTGAATACACCGGAACTGGCACAAATTGCGGCTGGGGAACATTCAGGACGGGTTGGATTGGAGCCACCGAATTTTGCGGCTGCGGAATCACCGTTTCCGTGTACGAGCGGGAGTATCGGCCTCGATTGTTGCCATAATTTCCGCGGCCTCCCCGGTTCGAATAATAATTTCCTCTTTGAGACGAGCCACCACGGCCGCCTCGATTTTCATAATTCGAATTATTATTATTGTTATTGCCGGCACTTCTCGGTTCTGAAGGGGCATTTCTCTGAGTTGATTCAGGTGCCTTCTTATCTTTATTCATACGCTTCCATAACTTCTCGCACTCTTGTAGTTTCTTTTCAAATTCCGCATAATTTTTAGGTGCCGCATTATAAATTTCACGGAACCATGCCGGTCGATGTTCCTGTACGCCATCAAGGAGTGCTTCCACCTGCTCTTCGTCAGATGTTTTTAGTTCCTCAAACCATGGGAGGAAACTATCCAGGTAAGCACGGACTGGTTCATAAAATTCCAATTTGCGGTTATTCATTTTTCTGCGAATATCGGCTTTAGATAGAGAGCCGTTAAAGTGCTCTACAATAGCTGGCTTAAAGAAATCTGACCACGATTTGCCTTTATTGTCCTTCCAGAATTTTTCAAACCATTGAAAGGACGGACCGGTGAATGCACCGATTACTCTGCGACACGTTGTTTCATCATTCCAGTTATTCGTGGCTCTGCATTGTTCAACATTCATGAGCCATCTTTGAATTTTTTCCGGATGAGCATCGTCAAAGGCAAGGAGCTTCATGCCTCCTACTATTTTATCGCTATCTTTCTCCACAAATTTCGCTAAGAGTTCAACAACACTTTCTTGTGTAAGCGTCGTTCTATCCGAAATTTGGGTCTGTTTATTCAGCCATTCCTCCAGCTGAGGATTTCTGGACATAGACTCATTGCTGGCCGTGCTACTGGGGCGACGGTGTTCATCCTCCATCAGGGCATCATCCATCAGTTCATTTTCTGTATCGGAACTGTCTCTATTTTCTGTTCCCCGTATCTGGCGACTAGATTCGTCAGCTGTTCTTTTCAGAATTTGTTGGCGTAAATCTGTTGAGCCATTTTTCCTCTGTTTGGCAGATGCCGTTTCCCTTGGAATTTGACTTTCTGACGATGAACGCGGCATGGACTGAGCTTCCGAGAATTCGACTCGTGATTCCTGCCTAGGCCTCCGCAAGATACCAGCTGGATTACTGCCAGTAGCTAAAGGCTGATCCACGTATGACGAGAAATTCTGGGGATTAAATGGTGTAAAAACGGGAGGACGTAATACGTCTCCTGTTGCTACCGGCGCTTCCCTTTGAAAGTATCCTTCACCGCCGCCAAGAGCAGCATCTGAATTTCGAAGCCGACGAAGTTCGTCATACGCTTGCTTTAGGTCCACTTCCATCTTGGTAAGTTGGTCTTGTTTTTCATGCCATTCCTTTCGGCATTGCGCATTTTCTTCATACAGCCGATTACACCTTTCAGACTTTTCATATGCGTCAGCCTGTGCTGTATTTTTCGCTTGAATCGCGTTCTCACAATTATCACATCTTTTGTCCTTTTTCAAATCTTTTAATTCCTTTTGGGCCTTCTGAACATTCTCTCGCTCTGTGGTTAACAGACCCTGCAGTCTCTCAATTTCCTTTTGGGACGAATCGTCCTTTTCTTTGGGAATATGCATCGGGCCGACCGAAGATTTGTTATTCAGCTGCACTCTCGCTTGTGTGAGTTCACGCTGTAGAGAGTCTTCCGCATCTTTAGCCCGTTTCTTTTCATCTTCCAAATCTTTGGTGAGTTTTGTGACCAGGTTCTGCGCATCCGTCAAATTTTTATTAGTTAATTTATGCGCATCTTTCTCAGAATTACAACCTTTCTGAGCTTTCGACAGCTTTTGGTTCAAATCAGTTATTTGTTTCGTTAAATCCGGTGCTGGTTGCGCACTGAGGCCATCAATCGTAGCTTTCGCGTTTGAAAGGTCTCTCTGAGCGTCTTCCAACTGTTTTTCAAAATTACGATTCGTGTCTTTTAAAGTATCGCGCTCATCTTGCATTGCATTAAATGCGGCCTCCGCATTTCTGTTGGCTTGTCTTAAGGTGTGCAAATTATCATTCGCAATGCGTATTTCATTAGCCAATCTGTCATTTTCTATTTGTTCATTTTCGAATTTGATACGCATTTCATTGAAATCGTTTTGAAATTTCAATTTTTCGTTTCGTTCCGCATCTACGCGGGCGTCTAACGACATAGTATTACCCATTTCATCTACTTTTGTTTTTGTAGATGCGATAAGAGTGCGGAGGCTTTGGATCAACACGGGCATAGTTTGCCGAACTATCAAGCCCACGTCCTGGTCAGTTTCTGCCGCAGCTAACTGCTCATCGACTTCCCTAGCTTGAGTAAGGAAGTCTTCATCAGGTTGTTCGAAATCCTTTTCTGACACAAAACTGTGTAATTTTAGTTGTGCCGGGTGGAATGTCATTGTTCCACCTCGAATGCTTTTACTTGCTCTTGTTTCTGATCCCTCTGAAATATCCGCCTTATCTGCAGCCGACAGCGCTATCAAATTGTTGTCCGACTGGGACGACTGGGGTTCCATCTGGCTCTCAGCCACACTTGGAGTCTCCGATATGGGTTCATCCAATATCGCACCAGATGCCTGGGCTGGAACTTTCTCCTTGGCACCGCGCGTGACGCGCTCATTTGCTGCCTGTTTTTTGGGAGTTTTTCCCGTCGCTTTAGACGCTGTAAGTGCAGCTTGGGCCGCCTCTCCGTCTATTCAAATCTTCCGTGTATTCTGGCAGCCACCTGTTTGCATCCTGCACAGCCGCTTTAAACTGCTCATCAGTGATGTCCAGGTAAGCTTCAGGGATACATCCCTCGTACTCAATCCAAGGTTTAAAATGTGCTGGCAATCTCGTTTTGGAATTTAAGAACCGCCTGATTTCCTGGTAATCAATCCATGACTTTCCACAGAATGCATCTTGTGCTTCTGGTGGTTCAACATTAAGAGCAAAGTACATCAAATTTAACGGAATTTCTTTTGCGTTAAATTTGAACCTTGTCTAGGCTCTCGACCCATCGTACGCCCCAATAATCACTTTGTTGTCTGGAATTTTACGCGGTGGTGGGCGATTTCTAGGAATCGAACCGCCCGACATTTCAGCTTTTTTATTTTAAAATTAACCTTTGCGGCTAATTAAAATATTATATACAGCAGCGATTGTGCTACCGTTTCCGACAAATACCGTTATTGCTATTGTGCAATAACGATCACTTCCCAATCCTCCTTTGAGGTTTGAATTGTTCCGTGATAATTAAATAGCAGTCGACCTTTACGGTTTCGACTGTAACTAATTCCTAAAATTACGCTGCTGCACTTTGCGTGCTGCCGTAATTTTAAGATTCACAGGTCAATCACCGTTTGCCGGTGTTTACCTTTTCACGGTCAACTCTCTCTAGCTGCTGATTTTGGCTACCGCTTGCGGCTTGCCTTTATCAGACTGCTGGAGATCGTTATCTCACCTGGCCACTGACAATGGCTCGGTGCTTACTATCTGATCTATCTGCAGGCCAGGTACACTGACACTGCAGATTACGCTTTATTCGCCGCGGTTACTGCTTTGCGCAGACAACCCGGAAATTACCCACACAGATACCAATTACTTACACAGCCGACCTTTAAGGTTTCGACTGTTTATTCCTACGGTCCAATTTAAGTTAAATTAATTTAATTGGCGAGGAAGCTCACCAGTGAGGAAGCTCACAATTGCGAGGAAGCTCGCTGAAAATAAATTAACTAGGCCAGATCGGGAACGCTGACCTCCTTCGGCGTACCTTTGCGGTTCGACGCCTTTCAAAACGGACCACTTTTTACCAATAAATTACCATCAAACGTTTCACCAATAATTTTCAGTTACATCGGGAAAATTAAAAGACACAGGTGGGCGCCATGTCGTGTATAAGCGTTCACGCCGATTAAGGCTCCATGAACAATCTTTACTCTTCCACGCCTGTAATGCTCAATCGGTAGGCACTCGTACTCTCAAACTGTAACAGAAGAACTATGGTGGAAATAGGACGAACAATTCAGGAACACTAGAAGATCAGGAATCCCTCAGGAACGAGCTAACCACAACTTCCGGTCGTGAGTCCTGCGAGGATCGGCAAGAGCTAGGACGATTGTGTCACGAGCAAACCTGTATTCTATGCAATAATCCGGGAGCGATCATGTACACCAGAAGGAACAAGTATTGCTGTCTCTTATCCAATTCACATCACAGTTCACAACGCTAGGAAATTGTAATTAGATAGCAGTCTCAGAAGTAAATCTCAGACTGCTGATTCCGATATTAGGCATCACCAGAACTTATATAGACTTCGCGTTATGACATCATATACATCGCTAGTAAAAGAGAACAGCAAATCACAGAAGAGATTGACTAGATATTCCTTTACGTTGCAGGTGGAAGGCGGACAGTCAGCATCCGTACGTACATCCGGCGTATGATCCTACTCCCATACGTCAGTATCACAATCATGTGAACAAACGAGCGTACTCGTATAAGCATTCTGACTCGTACAAGCAAGAAGGAGTTAGTAGCATTCCTGCTTTTACAGTACGGTATCTGTAGCATGCGTCAAGTGTACCATTTCCATAATTATGACGTTTGCGCTCGTATTTGTTCGTGCATGACTGAAAAGGTGATTTACTTTCTATGGAAATTTCTCTGTGGTCGTGCACTGCTTTAACAAGGCTGATGTGTAGTTTTATCTTTTGCTCGGCAATCGGCGTAGAATGTGGTCGAATTTCACAACCGTTGAAAAAAAGTCGTTGCCTAAGCTTGTGGTTCTGCAGAACGTTAGAAACACAGGATCAATAATCAAAGAAATTTACCAGTATTCCATCATAACAATCACGCTGAACTGATCACTGATGTACGTATGAAAATCTTCAAATACTGCGGAAGAAAAGTTATTTCTTGTATCCACGGTCGGTTTTTCATTGAATGTGACCACAATAGGATGATCATTATCTGCACATCTTTGAGTTATCGGCCGCAAAAGCACTTATTGCTGCAGCAGATTGTCCGTTGACTCAAAGCGTCCAATAAACAGGATAGCTTTAGTCCGTGTGTGACGAATGGCGTACAAAAATGGATGATCCGCAAAAAATTCCTGAGGTTCAGGAGGCGCATCCATGCTTCGGCCGGTAACGATTACTGCGCTGGCTGCGGCCGCTTTAGTACCTTTCTCATTAACATCTGGAAAAGATCTCGTTAAATACATTTCAGATGACACAGAGACTACATGTACTTATAGCTGTGACTACCAGTCTGTAAAATTTTACCTCCAGGAAATTAAATCTTAATGTTTGCCTGCACTCAGCGTGACAGAGCTCGCTATACGGCTGAAGCTCCAAAAGCGGCATACCTATCTGTAAACCCCGTCTATAGTCTCCTAACAAATTTTAGCTGATGAAAAAAAACTTACAGCAGAGGCACGATATTCTCTGCATTGTTTCAACAATAGAAAATTCGAGAATTTTCTATCAGTCTTGTATACAAGCTTCTATGAAATTAATAATCACGTAGTTAAATTTTGAGAGGTTCTGTCTGGTGAAACAACATCGAGAATGCAGTGTATCTGGCGCCCGGTACGAGGATGTATTACTGTGAAAATGTCCGGAATGCGAAAACCGTCGAATTACATATTATAAGTTTTACGCAACAGCCAATCATTTTTACGTGATCACAGCTAGAAGTTAGACGACAAGTCGACAACGCAGCGCTTGGACTGTTTGCGAAAAATGATCTTACGTAATCGTAGAAAAATAATACAATACAAATTTATGGAGCTTGTGTATGTTCCTGCTTCGTGTATTCGTATTTCGTAGTAACAACTACAATCAAAGCTAGTATACGCTTCTATTAGTTTATTGAAATAACTGCTATAAAATAAACCGTAAGCGTTGGCTACTGTTTGACCTTTGCAAGAATTCAAAGGATTTTTACATCTGCTTACCCCATTCGCTATTGCCAACTGAAACGCATCATCCTTGAGTTTTGAGCTCTTAGAACCCGGGAGTTTCTTGCCTTTTCCTGTGCTATTGGAAGTCTTTGATGTCGTCTTCACTTTCAGATCACTCATCAGCTGACCAAACGCTCCCGCAACATCCGCATCCGCTCCCGATTTGGAAAACTCCTTAAAATCCAGCGCTTTATGCAAATTGTCCCGGGTGGGGCCGCGTGCACCTAAATAGACCAGCACCATGGCATACAAAACACTGATGGGTGACACCAGGAAATTTCCCGCTGGCACCAGGGACGTCGCGCCACCATACAGAGCCAGAGAGACATTGTTGATCGTGGGACTTAGGTCCGGCATTGTGGCATACGTTAACGAAGTTTAGTGCAGTCAGCTGAGACAGCTGTCGCTTCAACTGCTGCAGCAATAAAAGCGCCCGCGTTATGCAATATAAGAGGTTGTGCAACTGTTGTTCTAGACAGTTAGCAGTTTATTAATGTACATTTTAATTGAAGGTAGGGCAAATTCGGAATTAAATGTGCGTTACCCGCTGGGCTTTCCATGAGTTATGGTTGAATTTTATGCAGGTGCAGCTGTTTAATTGTCTAATGGCTAATGCTATTAATGGAAGCAGCTACACCGGCTTGTGGTAATGTTTCGGTTTCACGTGAATTCATTGGCTGTTTATGGAATCATACGTAAACTTTGTAGAACGGATTCTTGGCTGCTTGATAGAATAACCGACACAAATGTTATAAATTCCATAATTCCGAAAATTTGTTATCGCTTTGCAGATTTGTAGAAACGCCACAAACAGCCTATTATGTATGTAATGATGTATGTAAAAACAGAACGATGATTTTTTGCAATATTGTAGCGATAGTATTTGTACGAACGATAATTGTGATTCATTCATCGCGTTCTGAATTTTTGTCCACTTTACCGGCTACTTCTTCTTCTCATGAATTTCTAGAATTCAGTCTTGTACTCAGCTTGCAGCATCAACTTGATTACTTGATCAACCTTGTCCTAATTTCTTGCTTGCTTGCACAACCTTGCTTCGTTTCTTGCATTGCATTGTAATTAAACATGCCTTGAGTTACGTTGTTGCGTTTGACGGCTTGGGATGAACCTGTGTCATCCCAATCGGAGTCACCTGTGTAATTGTGTTACAATATTAGTAAGAGCGTCCTCGGCCAGCATCGTTGCCGACCGTGCCACCTTTCCTCCCAACAGCCACATAATCGTGGCAAAGGCTGATCGTCAACCCACTAGAACATTAGCCAGATAGGCTGCTGCTACAATATCATACATAAACCAGCACGGGCAAAATTTAGAAACTGGTTTTGCCATTTCTGGGAATATTTCAAGCTCAACCTAGATAACTGTAGCGAAAACTATTGCGATAACAAATCGGTTATGGTTAAGTGTACTCGTGTCATAAATGAAGACCGCAGGCCGCAGTCTGGCACACCTCCTAAAATTGGTAATCACAAGAACAGAAAGTGCCAGCGTAAAACAGTGATGTAGACTTCTTGTCGCAACGCGCATTTTTGTGACTTTCGCGATCGATTTCAGGCGGACTACTATTCGAAAACCGTGACAATATGAATGGTCCAAACGTAGCAAACGCTAGTGCCACCTTCGACCTAAGTCCGGTTATCAACAATGTATCACTCAGTCTGTACGGTGCTGCCTCATCCATGCAACCAGAGGGAAATTTTTTGTTGTCACCTATCAGTATTCTGTATTCGGCGGTACTGATATATCTGGGTGCTCGTGGATCCAGCCGAGATAATCTGTACTCGGCGCTGGACTTTCATGAATTCTCCAAATCTGGATCCAACGACGATATCGCCGGAGCCTTCAGTCAGCTTATGAGCAACCTGAAACTGGCAGCTCGGTCCAATTCTACCACAAAAGTTACAACCAAAAAGGATAGAAATACCGGAAATCAGAAGTATCAATTTCAGCTGGCGTTAGCTAATGGGGTACTTCTATGATTGTTTGTTTTCAAATCACCTTAGCTGTATGATTGACATTGTCGTTCATATTAGGCCTTCCTTCGGCAAGGCCTTGTAGCCGACCAGAACTACTTAGCAACAGTCAACGGAAATCTAAAAGCAGCCATTGCCACCAAAGATTTCATCGGTCATCCCGATCAAGCTCGTCAGGATATCAACAAGTGGACAGCGGAACGCACTGGAGGTCACATCACAGACCTCTTTCCACCAGGCTCCATCGATAGCAACGCGGTTGCCGTTCTGGCCAACGCTATTTACTTCAAGAGCCGCTGGGAGCAAATATTTGATAAAGACGATACCGAAAGCGAGGCTGTGTTCTATCTCTTGAATAACGAAACGACTACCGTCGACATGATGCACATGTCTATATCATTGGAAAGATGGAATTACGTGGAGGACACGGAACTGGATATCCAGTATGTAGAGGTGCCTTACTACGAGAAAGAAGCTTCTATGCTGATTTTTCTGCCGAAGCAGAATGACGGACTGCGGAGTCTGGAGAAGAGACTCGCAGCAAAGGACATCCACAAACTGGCCGAAAAAGCGGCACAGAATCCGAAACTGGTCAGTCTGAGTCTGCCCAAGTTCAAAGTGGACAGCGGTTTCGACATGGTGGATATGCTGAAAACGATTGGTGTGAGCGATATTTTCATGGAGAATGCCGATTTAAGCGGAATGGTACCCGATGGACAGGTCTACGTTGGCAAAGCTTTCCACAAAACCGTTATTGGTACGTCGACGACTGCAGCTTCAATAATCGATTAGTTTAGACATATATAGATATCACATCGATTCTATACTTTATCTTCGAACTTTTCGCTGTACATGGCATGCACAATTGCAGATGTGGACGAAGAGGGAACCGAAGCTGCCGCTGCCAGTGGTTCAGTTACGCAGTTGCGCAGAATGGTATACCCGGTAGCGTTTTTGGCCGATCATCCATTTATGTACGCTATTCGCCATAATCCATCGAAGGCGATTCTGTTCATTGGTCGCTTCGAAAAATGAGCTACGTGCTGTGCAATCGTTGATGTGTGGCTTCCTGTACGGGTCATGATGGTAGGGCAGTTTCTACACACTACAAATTGAGAAGTTTACTCTGTTGTAGTACGGTACGTACGCGCTACGCTTCTTGTACTGTGCATATCCACGGAAGCTTCTGTTAGAATATACCAGAAACTTACAACATGCAATTACTAATGTATTGGCACAAGTGAAAAACGGAAAAAACAATGTTTTTGCCCTGTAGATACGCGCAGAGACCAGAGTACTATAGACGGAAGATCCACTATAGTATAAAAGACGCATACTTACAAGTATATACAATACTGTGTGACTAATACAATACACATTGTACATATGCCAAATACTTGAAGTAGCCAGTAATCGAGATAGAAATAGGTACTTGTATACCTACCTGCCAGTTGCGAAAACCAGTTTTCTCACTTTTCTGTGAGTCCACAACCGGAATTGCTGTAGCAAAACTGTAGCAACATTGAAACAACAATTTGTCGAAGTGGAGTACTCGCAAAAAAATATGAATCAAAAGCATGGTGGTTAGAGCTCTTGTCGTAACGCTAGCTTAATTATACTGTACCTTCCTTGCCGCTTTTCATATTTTCGTACTGCTGAAAACGATATGGCTGCTGTTAACATAGTGAACTCCAGTGCGGCTTTCGACCTTAGTCCAGTTATAAACAATGTATCGCTCAGTCTGTACGGTGCCGCCTCGTCTGTGCATCCAGAGGGGAATTTCTTGTTGTCCCCTATTAGTATTTTGTATTCGGCTGTATTGATATATTTGGGTGCCCGTGGGTCCAGCCGAGACAACCTGTATTCGGCGCTGGACTTTCAAGAGTTCTCCCAGTCTGGCTCCGACGAAGATATTGCCGGAGCCTTCGGTCAGCTAATGAACAGCTTGAAATTGACGACTGAGAAATCAGCTGCAAAAATTACATCCGAATGGCATGGTGATACCGGTAATCCAGCATACCGGTTTCAGTTAGCGTTAGCGAACGGAGTGAGTTTACTTATTTCAGCCACTTCCCGAATTTCTACAAGTACTGAATTTGCCTTGCACTTCAGGTTTTCCTCCGAGATGGTCTTAAAACCGACAGAAACTATTTGGCGTTGGTTAACCAAAATCTGAAGGCAGCGATTGTTACGAAAGACTTTGCCCACCATCTCGACCAAGCTCGCAAGGATATCAATAAGTGGACAGCAGAACGCACTGGAGGTCACATCAAGGACCTTCTTCCACCCCGTGCCATCGATGGGAACACGGTTGCCGTTCTTGCCAACGCTATTTACTTCAAGAGCCGCTGGGAACGAATATTCAATGAAGAGTACACTAAAAAGAATGCCACTTTCCATTTGCTGAATGGCGAGACGACCACCGTGCAGATGATGCACATGCCCAAGCCGCGCCGTTCTTGGAATTATGCAGAAGACAGCGACCTCGACATCCAGTACGTCGAAATTCCGTACTACGAAAGAGAAGCGTCCCTGCTCGTATTCCTGCCGAAGCAGATGACGGGTTTACGCGATCTTGAGAAAAACCTCACAGCACAGGCCATCCGGAAGCTTGCCGTGAAAGCTGAGGAGGATGACGGTAGAATGGTGCTCCTGAGTCTGCCCAAATTCAAAGTGGAAAGCAGTTTCGACATGGTGAATCTACTGAAAGGAATTGGAGTGAACGATATTTTTACAGAGGCTGCCGATTTAAAGGGGATGGTACCCAGTGGGCAGATTTTCGTTGACAAGGCCTTTCACAAGACCGTAATTGGTACTAGATATGCCTAAGCCCATTAATGGTCTACAGTTATATGTATTGAAATTTAAAAGCGAAATGTTTAATTCTTGCTCTCTATTAAGTCTTGCTTGTATGTTTGCAGATCTCAACGAGAAAGGAACCGAAGCAGCCGGTGCCAGTGGATCGCTTATGACGACACGCAGTGGAGTGATTGATCCTGTGGATTTCATTGCAGACCATCCATTTATGTATGCCATCCGTCATAACCCTTCGAAAACGATACTCTTCATTGGTCGCATAGAAAAATGAACAGTATTGTGATAAGTAAATTATAAGTTAAGTCATTCGTGGGCAGTGTTGGCTCGATGTGCGAATATCTTGAAAAAGCGCGCGTTTTTAGTGTGGTTCTACATACCTATATACTGTATAAGCAAGCAACAGCTGAGCATCTTCTATAGAAGAACTACTAGCTAAACGGTTAGACGGGTCCCATTCTAATACAGACATCTGAAGCAAAATTCTGACGAGGGACTGCTCGCAATATTTTGGGAACAGTATCTTCCCGTGTAAATTGAAATGGATATCTCATTAAGCTGGTGTTTCTGCATAATGCAAGTATAGACTTCGTAAGCGTACCGATTAAAGTCTTTTATCGTTTTTTTCCAACGTTCGTTACTTTAAAGACCCTTGTTCGTAATTACTTATGGATCCGATTGCACACCATTGGAAGAGCACTGCACTGGAGTATTGCACTGAAGCGACAGCAGTACAATACGAGCGCATCTACCCTGTAGGTATAGGTACATGCCCTGCAAGTACCGTTTACGATCTCGTACATTTACAGCAAACCAGCGGTGCATACCCCGTCTGTTAAAAACACTGGAGTAGAAATCATGGGCGAAATATCTATATATTTTTGCGTAGCGGTGGCTTAACGTTTAATTATCCGCTCGTTGAGGAGCTTCACAATATCGATATTGTATGACGTATTCAAAACATTACGTACAGATATTACTGTATATAAAAGATATTTATTCCCGATTTCCACCATTTTTAATCGATCAGTATCCGCTGGCCAACTACAGTAGAATGTTCACCAGTAGCAGTCAATTACAGCGTCTCCAGGCGTCCCATGAACAAGATCGCCTTTGAGCGATTATGACGAATTGCGTAGATGAACGGATGATCGGCGTAAAACGTCACACGCCTGGTCGGCTCCGGCTCTATCAGCAACGATTTGTACGATACAACCATCGCACTCGCTGCCGCCGCTTCCGTCCCTTTCTCGTCCACCTCTGTCAAAACAAAGACCATGCAACTTTGGTATACGTCATTATCATTTCTCCAGTCAAATTTCGCTCACCAATAAATGTTTTATGGAATCCATCACTGACGTATACCTGCCCACCCGGCACCATACCGGTAAGGTCGGCATTCTTTGTAAAAACATCATTCACGCCGATCTTCTGCAGCAGCTTCACCAGATTGAAACCACTTGATACACGGAATTTGGGCAACCGCAGATCGACCATGGTGACATTGTTGTCGCCTTGGGCTTTCTTCGCCAAATCAGCAATAACCGCCGCGGTCAGTGCCTTTTCCAATGCCCGCAACCCGTTTTTAGCCTTAGGCAGATAAATAAGCATCGACGCTTCATAATCCGCATAGGGAATCTCCAGGTACTGTATGCCAAGTTGGCTGCCTTCGGTGTAATACCAGCCGGTCTGCTCCATGTGCATCATCTTTGCCGGGACTGTCTTTCCGTCTAGGGTGCTGAAGGTGCCCTTCTGATTGGTGGCCGCTTCATGGAAGGTTTTCTCCCAACGAGCCTTGAAGTAGATGGCGTTGGCCAGCACCGCGACCGTGCTCCCATCCACGCTACCTGCGGGAATGAGGTCCTTGATGCGGCCGCCGGTACGCTCTTCCACCCATTTATTGATGTCTTTCCGGGAGCCTTCTGCGTTCTTCATAAAATCTTTCTTTTCTACTGACGCTTTCAGTTTCTGATTTGCCGTGGATAAGTACCCCTGATCAATATCTGCACTATTTTGGATAAATACCTACAAAAATGTCAAACTTTGCTTTCATAAAATCTGTGTGGATAATATAAATTTTATTCATCTTTACAAGAAACTATGTACAATAACAATTAGACGCCGGACTGACTCTGTTATTCTGTATGTATGCTATTTATACGCGAGGTACATAGTTGAATAAAGTTCATATGCCGCTTCCGTCATCTTCCGGTTGTTGCCGCAAAACCGGTTTTAGCGTCTACTTATGCGTCTTTTTTAGTATCTTAGATAGCCGATTATAATTATTCATTGCAACATAGGTACCTGCGCGATATTCTTCGCCACATTCCGTAGACAAAATCACTATATACCATACTTAATGAAGCCAACAAAATTTATTTAGATCTGTACGTATTAATTACCCCGTTCGCTAACGATAACTGAAAGCGCGGTTCCGTACTCTCTATGGTGAGGGAAATCTCTTCAGTCTCTTTGGCTGCTTTCGGCCTCTTCGCTTTTTGACCTTTCGCCGTGGCACTGGTCTGCACTTTCAGATCTTTCATCAGCTGCTCAAAGGCTCCCACAATATCCGTATCAGACCCGGCAGGAGAGATTTCCTGGAAATCCAGTGAATCATAAAGATTACTGCGCGTGGATCCCCGGGAGCCAAGATAAGCCAAAAGCGTGCAGTACAGGATACTTATAGGAGAAACCATTAGATTCCCGGTGGGAATGTCCGAGGCAGCGGCACCGTACAGTCCCACGGATACATTGTTGATGGCGAGGCTAATGTCCACGTTAGCTGGACGGTTAATCGGAATCGGGATGAAACTAGCATTGAGTGCCGATCGTCCCCTTCCACCACCGCCTCCTTTTCCTCTTCCAGACATCTCAAAGGTTTTCACGACTTCAAAAATTTACAGACACTAACTACTGCCTAAACCACTGACTTGTGTCGTATATAACGCTACTATCAGATCCGATCGACATGTTTTAGAGAAAGTGAAAAAGATCTGCAGCCCACAGACTGCCGTAGTGAGAAGACACCCTGAAGGTATAACCGGTCTTCCGCTTGCATGGTGTGATGATTAATGGATTCTACTGCAAAAGATTGCCGGTATTCTTGGTTTGCTGATAAGGATACAGATCGCTACATTAATTGCAATCGCCATTAATTTCCCATTAGGAAGCGTGTACTGCACCTTATTACGTGTCTTTGAGCAAAGTCAAACGCTATAATAATGCCACTATCGCAACAGGAGGCCCATCATGCACTTATATCCGTATAAAGATTACTTTACTGTGCCGTCTTCCTTAAATTTTTACTGCATTAAGTTTTATTTTGCCATATACGAGTAACACAGTGTTTCGCAAAACTGGTTGGGGAAGTTAAAACAGTTGTAACTTGTACGCATAACCATACAAATGAAAAGTATGACTATCCTTTGGAGAATATACGGAATTTATAGTTCTTAAAACGTTTCCAGTCGGCCCATGAATAGGATAGCTTTAGAACGATTATGGCGAATTGCATAAATGAACGGATGGTCCGCGCGGAATGTCACGCGTCTTCCTTGACTACCAATGTGACCCGACCTCGCTTTCTCAATCATTGCGTTGGCGCCAGCAGCTTCCGTTCCCTTCTCATCCACTTCTGCAAAATAAATCATCATAATCGAATTCGTGTTGTAGATATAGCTATGTACATTTAAAAACGTTTTTACAGTACAGTACTTTACAGACACCGTAAGTAAGCGAAGGCATCTTTCTACAGTTGACCTTTATAAAAACAGTAAGAGCGTTTCTTACCGATAAATGTTTTATGGAAACCAGACGATACTTGTGCACTTCCCGACGTCAGCATTCCGGACAAATCAGCATTTTCCGTAAAGACGTCATTAACTCCGATCTTACGCAGCAGCTGAACCAGATCGAATGAACTCTCCACTCGGAATTTGGGCAGCGCTACGTCCACCAAAACCTTATCATCAGCTTGTGCCGTTTTCGCTAGGTCCACGATCGTTTGCGTGGTCAGGGACTTTTCCAGTTGTCGCAAGCCGGTTTTCGTCTGGGGTAGGTAGATAAGCATGGACGCCTCGTTATCCGCATACGGCATCTCCAGGTACTGCACACCGAGTGTACTGTCTTCGGCGTAGGAAAATTTCTTTCTTATTCGCATCAATTTGGCCTTGACGCGTTTTCCATTCTGCGCGGTAAAGGTGCCATTCTTCTCGGTTAAGAAATCGTCAAAGACGTTTTCCCAGCGGGCTTTAAAGTAGATCGCGTTGGCTAACACGGCCACCGTACTGCCGTCCAGGGCGCCGGAAGGAATAAGATTCTTAATGCGGCCACCGGTACGCTCTTCCACCCATTTATTGATATCGGCTCGTGCTCCCTCCGGATTGTCATTGAAGTTCTTCGAATCAACTGACGCTTTCAAATTCTGATTGGCCGTACTAAGGTAAGTTTTGTCCACGTTTAAGCCATCCCGAATAAAAATCTGAAAGGACACAAAAATCAATATTTTGAAAAATACAACCTTGTCAAGTATGCCGGCTAATGTAGAACCCACCCCGTTGGCTAGTGCCAGTTGGAATTTATTATCATCCGTATCATTGCTTTTGCCGGCTTCTTTGGCGGAGGTAACCTTAAGGTCACTCATCAATTTACCAAAGGCCGTTACAATATCTGGGCTGGAATCGGAAGATGCCAGTTCTTTAAAATCCAGGGAATTATATAAGTTAGTCCGAGTAGAGCCGCGTGATCCCAAATAGACTAAGATGGTCGAATACAGTATGCTCAAGGGAGAAATCATCAAGTTACCCTCCGGAATAGTGGAGGTAGCGGCGCCGTACAGGGAAAGCGAGACATTATTAATAATCGGACTAACGTCAATGTTGGCCGCAGCCGTTGCCGTTGCAATAGGGATTGGGATTAGCGGACCGGGTTTTGCTGATCTTGACGCCATCTTAATAAAAGACAAAATTCCAGATATTGCTGGCTATTCCAGATGTAAAAAGCAGCGGTCAGAGGCAACTGCCAGACTTACAAATTAAAAAGTACGTTCCTAATAGTAATAATAGCAAAGAAACCGCGTATTTATCGGTACGTGGTTATTGGCGCTTTCTAACTCCGGGGCAATTATAAAACTTTTTCATTCGCTTACATTATGCCAATATACCGTGTAACCGTAAAGGTGCAGCTTTTTACATCGAAAGACACCTTTTGGCGAATTTTGTCGATAAGAGTAGCGTGTGATTAATGGGAAGACGATGGCCATACGTCATGTACCGTCAACGGAGAATAACCAGAAATTTAAAAAAATCACGCAGTCAAAATCCAGTATTTTATTCAAATTTTCCCGGCAGCGATTTCTACGCAGTTGTGAGTTTTTATACTGCTGAAACTCATCTACTTGGAGAACTCTTTCATTGCATAGTTTGCCGATTTTTGCGCAGGTCCTGTAGTATTGTAGATTGTAACTAAAGATTTAATTTTTTACAGCGGCAATATAAAAATAATAATAACTTTCCGCCGAATAATGGTGGTTTAAGTTCCCAAGTAAATGAGTACAGTTCTCGTAGAGTACTTACTATAGATATTACTACTACCTAGAGTAGAGGCTGGCGTGTAGTAGTACTATGTACCATAATTATCGATTTTTGATTCGGCAAACCAAGTATCAAAACGAGTATGATTTTTATTCTTTCGGTTTCTGCTTGAGTTGCGGCTTACTGATCTATAGGAAGTCTGCAGTAAGGTATATTTATGTAAGTTGTATTACAGTTCTACATGATTGTATTTGTTGTGCAACGGCTACCGGATATCAAACCGGTAAGCTGTATATACAGCTGTACACACCGTACTTACTTTGCCGTATCTACGTGCCGTACCGGTTCCGGTTTGGCCGCAACGTACCGCGAACGGAAGTCACTGCAACTAGTGCAGTATCGTACGATTCCTAAATCAATTCGAAACCTTGCGGCTTGCCTGCAGGTACAGTATCATTCTTTTCTTACCGGCGTATTCACATGCACACTTTCTTTCCGTCTCGAGACGTGCGAAGATTGGAACGACCGGTAAACATTTTCCCCGTCTGAACGACTTTTTTCTTGCTAACGAGTACAGTTGATGCTAACGAACAGTACATTGTACACGCGAATGCCGTTGCTGGCATAATTCTGACGTTACGGCTATGTGAATTGTTTACATCGGATTGTTGTCATGGTGTGGCGAGCGATGCAACAGCTGCGGAGGATGGCGGTTCCTGCGACGTCTGTAATATTTCTCCTCACGGCTCTGAGTCTGGGACCATGCTGCGCTCAGAAATTCATTATTGCCTCCATGCCCACGGCGGAGGAAGTGGCCATGCACAATATGCACGGGACATCGATGGGCACGGATGCCGGTGATCCCAATGATCCCATCACGCCCGATCGGGTGCGCGCGGGCCGCATACCCACCTGCGACGATGGAAAGGTATCGAATTTCTGTAATGTTTTACAGCAATTTTTTTCAATGTAGAATTTAGCATAAAAATAGTTTATAATAAAAATGTGTTACATCATAGTATAATTGTAGCAAAATATAATTAAAAAGAAATATTAATCAAAATTTAATTTCGAACAAATTTAATTGCCCTTGTCGTGAATTATGCAATGTATTTTTTGGTTACTGACGCTGCTGGATTACGCATAACTGTTGTGGATTTTTCTTATTTTTATTATCTGCGGCTGGCTGGCATTATTTGGCTGTCGAGGTTGCAATAAAAGTCTGTACGTTTGAAATTCGGTCACGGCAATAAAATATGCGAGCGTTAAAGATGATAGCGTAAAGCAGTGGCGAGCTTAATAAGGAATGGAAGGTACTATACTACTTGCATATGCATCGTTGCACTTGCATCGTTGCACGTTACCCATCTATTGCGTATCTAACGATAAACGATCGCCTACTAAACCGTATTACAAAAATAAATTTTTCTTTAGCTTTTATAATTAATTATACTTGATTTTACTGTAGCTATTTACTGTAGCTGATTAGCATTCCTAGACCATACGCAGTTGTAAAGAAACATTGTTTGTCGGTTTCGTAAGAGCACCTTTTTGTAGACGAATTTAACCGTGGATTGGGATGGATCCAAAGACGACTACACCTGTCCCGGACCACAATGGCCCACGCCGGCCAACACCGCGGTAACTCCCCGTCTTGCAATTATTAGGCTGGCCACAATAATATTTTGCATACAAATACCGAGTAACATCTATTTTCCGCCAAGCATAACAAACCGCTGTATTATGCTCGCTTGCTTGTTTTTGCTTCTGTGATGCTTTGGCATGCGTGTGTGGTTTTGTCATATACAGCTGCAGCTTGGCGCCGGTTATTATTATGACCGCTTGGCTACACACTACACTGGACATGCTCGCTGGCTGCCGCGCTTCCATCCGCTGCCGGCTTTTTATTACGGCTACGTAGGTGCTGCTTTTTTTGCTAAAAAACTGTAGAAAATAACTGTTATTTTGTTTGTTAGGTAATTGACATTCGTAAAGAATTGTCTGTAACGTGTGGTTTTTTTTTCTTCTAGCCCGACAATCGCTTATGGTGTGAAGCGACGTTTCCAAAGCAGGTACAGATGCCGGTATTGTGAGGTCAAGTTCGGTGTGATTGTGGTTGACCAGTCAAATTGTGGTCGGACGCACGTTAGCACTTGAGATGTCGATCGTTGTGCAGTGATCGTTGATTGATATACGGTTTATTTACTTTAGTCGTTCGCTAATTATTAGCCGGTAATTATTCTCGGAAAAATGCTTACTTTTTTCTTAAATAAAACAGCCAAAGTAAAATCTTTTTACGTAAGCAAATGTTGCTAAATTATTTTTATTTTTTAATTAATATCAAATAAATATTTAACTATACAGTATTTTTAATACAGCGCCTTATTTAATGTTGAAAGTATTTAAATATTCGTCGTACATATATACTGTATGCAGTATATATTTACTGTCGTACATAAACATACTGTATGCAGATGACAGTAAAACCAGTTCTTCTGCAGTACATGCGTTAATTAAATCAATGCCAGGTTGCAAAATAAAATATCCAGTCTTTGCAAATATGAATTAGAATAAAATTTATAAATCATCCATAAATTAGCCCGAGATACTTTTGTGCCCTTGGGCGTCCTTCTGGTGCCGTCAAGGTCGGTTTTTTAGAATGAATGCCTACTTACTGTACTCGTAGTCAAATTATAATATCGCTTTTTTTTACAAAAAAGCAAACGCTGGCAACATTAACTTTGTTTGGATCAACCGTTAAGCCATTAATCGAAATCAGAATTGAATCTCGCCTGCAGCAATAAAAAACAATCACTCTGCCCAGTGCATCGGAAAAACTAACCATTGGTGCGTGCTATACCGCTAGTAATTTGATGTGCATTTTTTGTTACAGGCGATCCATTTCTGCATGAAAGACAAGATCAAATACACCCAAAACCCACCTACCAGGTACGCAATTTTTTTATATAAGTAAATGATTTTTATATGCGGAAATGCGCAGCTGTGCCTACGCCGTAGCAAAATCGTGTGTCATTGATCTCTCGATCAAAAACAATTTAGAAAAGGAGAATTTTGTGCAGTATCTAACGGGATCAATGAATTAGTCCAATCAAAATTGATGCTTTATATTAATTGCATATAAAAAGCCCATGGGTCGCGCTATACAAGTACAGTCTGTTTTTCCATAATTCCTGCCGAAACCGGAAATTGTCTAGCGGTATACCGGCTTCGTGATCGTGCTCAGAATAACAATATTTACGTTGAATGTGCACCGGCAGCCGCTCCCGGATAACTCACTCCATAAACTGGAGCTTTCCCAGAATAATAAGATTGTTTTCGACGGTTGATCGGTATTACTTAAGTCAGCGTAATTAAAAATTGCCCACGCCTTAAAACTTAATCAGCTTACCGCTCGAGTGTTTTCCAGAAGTCTTTTCGTCTTTTGAACAGAATACAAGAGTCAGCAGGCAAAATTTTTCACAGGATACTAGACATAATATTGCTATAATAAGATAAAAATTAAAAAAATACACCTTAGCTTTAAGGTTTGGATTAATTATTGCTTTTCTATTACTGTCCATTAAGAAATATAGTGTACAGATATAATATAGTACTGGTACGTGCTCACGGTTCAATTATCTTTAGTCCAAGAGGGGCAGAATTTGGGAACACCAAACATGTGTACATTATTGCATATTGCATCAGAAAAATTACTGGTTGTTTCTGCAGCAAATACGTGAACAGGTTAATTTATACTGCAGCGTTTTGCATCAGATATATGACTTAAAACCGACGTGCGATATCTGTATAACGTTTTTTTTTCATTTTACAGCGGCGATCATCGGCCATCCTGGGCGGTATACGGTGAATACCTGTATTTACCGGTTCAACGTTGGCTGCATAACATGGAAGTACGTTATTAATGTCGCTGCACCGTTCGGTTATATATGCCGGAGTTCTTGTAAACGACCTTTTTGCAAATTACTTCCAGCACGGCACCATCGTTATGCTGTACCATCCGTGCGCTGATCCGGTGCAAGTGGAGAAATTGCGGTCAATTGTTACGGGATGCATCCGGCGACATATCATTACGCCCTACAATAAACTCTCCAAAGAAACGGTAAGAATGTTGACGCAAGCACTCGCCGATATGGGACAAGGGTGCATTTGTCTACTCGTAGCTCCGGATTAAAAATGAGCAGATTGTGCCGGTGTTTGAAGATTGCTTTTTATTCCCTATAGCCTTATGCGCTGCTGGCATGGGGATGCAAGTTACTAATGGGAAGTGTCGACGAACAAGCCGCCATGCAATTTATTCAAGTACGAGTATGAAAAGCATGTAACCATTTGAGCTTAATTGCTCATAGTGATAAAAATGCGCATTTAAACCAACAATAAATTACGTAAATACTCGAATAGCATCATTATGCCAAACTTAATATTTCATTCGATAAATGAACGGTACCAGTTTTTTTGATAATATAAAATTAGTTTTATGATTACTGTTTTAACATTTTAAATCATACTTCTATGAAATAATCTTGTAAAATTAAAATACTGAAAATAACTAGGAAAAATGCACGTTGGCATGCACTGGCAGACAACAACTTTCGTTTGCCTGAGTTATGTATCTTACATACACGTGGAATTCTTTTTCTTTACTGGGCGTAACGGACAAAAATTATTTGTAATGGAAGTATTGTCCTTAAAAACAGAAGACCTACACTGCGCTTCGGTCGATTATGCACAAAAAAATAATCTTGCAAAATAAAGCATAGATTTAATAATTTCAGCTAATTAGCGGTGCCAGTATCAGCTTGATTACTTACTGATTAATTAAAACCTCACTACAGTACTACTATTGCCATTAATTTTCTTGAAACTCTAAAAAGCTGTTTTGATAATCATGGGAATTTTGCTTTTACTAATGTTTAGACGAGAGCCAAACACGGGGCAGAGGATCTGTCAATGGAAGGACAGTTCATGGATCAACTGCTGCGAAAAGCCGCCATCGTCAGCGATTTTGACGACAGTGTGCTGTGTCCTAAAGCGCCCTTCAGTCTGCCCGGAGTTACCTTGCCACCACGGGATCAGCAATTAAATCCTGTGCGAAGGCTGTTTATGTGATTCAGTTTAAGACGGTTAACATAAATGTATAGTTGATTGTATTACTCCCTCTCCTTGTATCTCACAATGAGTTTTTTATTAACGGACAAATTTTTGACGACAAGAAAGATTTTCTTACACACCGGTACTTACTTAGGGTAGACCCGGTAGAGCTACGTAGGATTACTTTTCATCTTTGATTAGTGTTTGCATATTTCGCGGATAGTCACTCTGTAGAGGAAAACAGTAAGAACATTTATGAAAAAAAACCAGGATGAACATTTCTGGCTTTATTTGCACATTTGGATGGCGCGAGCAACGTATGCTACCGTGGCAAATCGATACTGTAAACAGGGTCCAGTTCTTTCTTATCTTCCATAATTGTACCTCTGACAATAAGGTCACCGAAACCGGAAGCATGGGAGAAGGCGTAACTGCTGCGTCGCAAGGTTTTTCGCCGCAAAACAGCGGTGCTCGACTTCTTCTTGACAGTAGCTGCCGGCACAAAGGTCACCACTTTATCATTTTTCTGCCGCAGTCGCACGCGTACCGATAAGTTCGGTTTTGTATCGTTCCAAACGAACCTGCGAAACCCGTGTTTGTAAAATAAAAAAACCACTTCTGGTTTCTTGCGATTCTTAAATTACGTATACGTATTTTATTTTTTTAAAGACTCAGGGATTAATTATAAAACCGTTTCCAACCTATAAAATGATTGAAAAATATAAGTAGGTACATACATTTCGCGACTCTCCAGATAGGTACAGTAAGCTCTGATGAGATACTAAAAACTACCTGGATCTACGGCAAGACGCAATAAAATCACTTACCGGTAGCCAACGATGGGCACAAATAAAACAGCCAACGTTAACGGAATAAGGAAATACAACACGGGATTCGTATGTACCGCATTCTCCGTGCCCAGATACGGCTGCGATAACAGTGCACTATGCGCAAAGTGGGTTAGGGCGAAATAAAACAGCACACTGCCGCTTATCGTTAGGAAGTTGAAGAATGTCCAGTATGCCGTATCCAGTGCCACCTGTATCACATCATTATAGGTGATACCGTACCGGAAACAAACACATAGAAAACTAATGTTAAGATGCATACCTGTATGGTAACTGCAAGAATCAGTACGGTCGACATAACTGTGCCGAACGCTTGCAACCCATCGAGGTCATCCGTCCAGACACAGGCGTAGTACGCGAAGAAGTGCACAACAACCGCGGTAACGATGCCGTAGCATGAAGTCTACATGACCAAATTTTAAAAAACGCTTCAGGTTTTTTTTATTTTTAAATTTTAACAGTACCTGCTTACCTTAAAAATTCACGCTTATTGAAAAACAGGTTTCTCTGGCCGGGTGAATAGAGTTTTGGAAACTCCAATGAATTGTTGTCGTTAACATCTTGATCAAATACTCCAAGCGCCAGAATGGGCAGTGACGTATAAAACAGATTATAGACGGTCACAAATAATGGGTCGTACACCGTCTATCAGTATAAAAGATAAAGGTCGTTAATGAAATACAGAACGTAGCATAAATGTCAAACGACCTACCTGAGCAGTGAATCCACAGTAAAAAGAATACCACATCTGGCACAACGTAAAGGCGAAATTCTTGTAGAAGAAGTAGGATAAAAACTTGGACATTCTGTAGTACGACCAACGACCGTGCACCAGCAGTAAGCGCTTCAGAAAACGGAACTGGCCAATGGCGAAGTCGCTGGCTAAAACGGCCTGCATGCCTTCCTGACCGCTGATTCCAACTCCAATATGGGCAGCTGATTGAGGAAACGCATAACTATATACCGCGCTGAATCTATGACGAAGTCGCTACAAAATATCTCGGACCTTTTATCATGCTAACATCGTTAGCGCCGTCTCCAATCGCCAACGTTATAGCGTTCTTATACTTTTTGATCAGCTCCACAACCAAAGCTTTTTGAAGCGGTGTTACTCTGCAACTGTCACAACACATAGTTAAGACAAATAAACCTGAGCAGACAAGTACAATATAAGAATATCAACTGCTAAACAATTGATTTAGTAGATCATTTGAATATAACATTTAATTGCGAAAGTCTCACCAGATGACTGCTTTACTGGCACAGGATACTTGAACAAATAGCTCTTCAAGTTCCGGATCAAGTGCGTAAACCTGGAATCAAATCTCACTGTCATCCACACAAATTAATCAAAGAAGCAGAGCTTAACCCGGCGTACTAAACTAGGGCCTTGTATAACGGTCGCATAATCGGTTTCTCCGCTTAGAACCTGGTGACCACTGACGAACTTCACGTTCGGGTCGAAATCGCCATCAACCACAGCGTCTTGTACGACAGCCTCATGGAGCCGTTTAAGAGCACGCTGTAATCACAGAAGTAAGTAGTTGCACAACCGTATTACTGCAGTTCCGGGATATTAGGAGAAAAAGCGATTATCAGTACATTCAGTTGTTCTCTGACACCTGTGACATCGTCCGCGTCAATGATAAACACGTCTTCCAACGCTTCTGTCAACAACCGGCAGGAATAGCCGATATTGATGGCGGTCTCCAGTTTATCCCCGGTAAGAACCCAGATCTTGATATCGGCTTGCGCCAGACTCTGAATGGCATCCGGTACGCCGTCCTGGAGTTTATCCTCAATAGCCGTGGCACCGACCAGAACCAGGTCTCTCTCAATCCCCGCGGCCACGGCATCCATCTGCTCTTCACGCTTTTCTAAGGTCACCGACGCTTCCGCATACCTGGCACTCCACTCTGTGTAAACAGACGCCGGCACTTCTTTCCATGCTAAACACAGCGTACGTAATCCATCTGAAGCGAAGAACTCCAGATGCTCGTTTGTAATGCTCTTTAACGTTGTGGTCTGGGTGGTGGCGGCTAACAAATCCATAATGATGGAATCGGCGCCCTTGCAAAATAATACGATTTTCCCGTTTAGTCGCAATATGACCGACATTCGTTTGCGGACGTTATTGAAATCGAGAATATGCAGAAGTTCATAGTCGACGATGCGCTCTTTCCGTTTAATCCGAATGGAATTAGGCGTGCGATGAAGGAAAACATATCCAAAATGCCGGGCCGCATCCACCAGTGCGCCTTCATCTGGCGACTGTGCCTGGTACGTTAAACGGCCGTCACGTTCCTCCGGCATCACCGTGTGGCAAGTAGCCAAAACAGAAAAGAACAGGTCGCAGTCTTTATCGTTATTCTCCACCAGGATCAGCAGTCGGTCATCGGGAAACCGAAAGGTCCCATCCGCGTACGGATTACTGGAGAAATCGCAGTGATGGTTGGGATCACCGTTGTCATCCGTGCAGTCGCCGTAGCGGCGACCGTTGATGGAGCATTTGTTAAAGGTCATGATGTTCTATAAAGCGTACAACATGTCGGAGTTTGCATTCCATTATTTCAGCGTAAACCGTTCAACGTACTTGCGTTAACGTGCCGGTTTTATCACTGAAAATGTAGTTAATCTGTCCGAGCTCTTCATTCAACGATGTTGTTCTGGCTTTAGCGCTGACATCCTTGTATGCCATCTGGCGGTCGCAGTCGATCCAGAAGCTGTGCGCGAAGCGAATAATCTCCACGCTGTAAAATTATTACACAGCGTTATATGCACGACCACAAGGAGATGTAGCACAAAAGGTCACGCGCCTCACATAAAGTGAAATCGGCACAACCGTGTTCAGCAAAATGATGTAGGAAAAGAAGACCAGCACCGCAATTGGCGTTTCGCTTTCGGCAAACGCCTCCCATGGCTGAACCGACTGGAATTTGGATCCCGTCCGGCGCTCCCATATGGAGCACGCCACAGCGCAGAATGTACACATGGCCAGTAAAAATACCATAATCTGCATAATACAACCTCTTTAAATTTTTATGGATCGTCTAGTTTATTGGAAAACAGTAACGTACACCAATAATTATGTAATTCAGCTGATAGTCAATATGGGTCCGTTTAAATTTCGTCTGGCCGCTGTTCTGCATGAGTTTGGTGTCCTGGCCGGCGAACAGCACCACACCAAAACACCAGGCTGTATTGCGCAATATACAGCCGCGCAGTAAGATTTGGTTATTCGTCAAAGGATACGAAACCTCTAAAAAAGACATACCGATATTCGTAAAGTACTACAATATAGTAACTGACCTAGCACTTAGCGTTAATACGGCAAAATGCTGGCTGCTAAGCGCAGTCAGTCAAAAGACAAACCTTTAATGGTAATCTTCCCCGTAAAGCGGTTAAGGTTAATGTTGGGCGGTTCGCTAAGGATCTCCGCACGAAACTCCCCTAACGCTTCCAGGTTATCTTTTAGCCGGCTGGTTTCTGGCAGTGACTGTCTCGCCTTAAGATTGGTTTCCCTAATAAGAAATTCGTCAAGGGGATGATTTATCAGTAATACAAAGGTCACCGCGTTACCCGTCTAACTCGGCTGTCTCGACATAGCACAGTCCATTGGGTTCGCTGGATGACAGCAATAGCAGATCGGCAGGGACAAACTGATCGTCTTCCATTCGAATGATATCCCCGACGACAATCTGATCCCAGCGCTCCGCGATTAAATTTCCATTGCGGAGGAGGAATGCTTGCCGGCCATTCACCAGATTATCGCTGCGGTGCCGTTGCTGAAAGAAGAAAACAAAAATTTGTTTTGATTTAACACTAAATTTGAAAGCGTCAAAGGTCAACGTACAATATCATCCATGGCGTCTTTGAGGGCCGTTAATCCCAGAACAATCACCAGCGGCACAAAGGTCGTGAAGGGCGTTAAGGAAGAGATTTGCGGAATTAGCTAGAAAATATAGCTGGAAAGTCTTTTAGGACAAAGCATATGTTTCTGGCGGCTGCAGTGCACCAACCTGGAGTACCAGCAGAATGAGAAAGTAGAAGTTGGCCAAACGCTGAAATTGCTCCAGGAGGTTTCTGGGAAGAAATGTCACGAAGTTGTACTTTGATGTTTTAATATGGTTATTCTGTAAAACATAAAAAAGTTCCTTCAGTACTCGACGAAGCGAACCAATGACATCTATCTACGGGACTTGTTTGGCATGAAAACCGTGAATAATGAAAGTACCGCATAGTTGTATTGGATATTCTTTTCGGGATCGTTAATGGCAACTCGCCGCTCCGTTTCTGTTGGAAAACAGCCGTTAATGCTAAAATTACTAGGGCTACACTTTACGCTGTAAACATTGGTAAAGCAGATTTAGCTGATTGACCTTTGGGAGTTGCGTCTCCTTTTCGGCAAGACAACAAAACCATTGCTCTAAACTCTAACAAACATGCACTTGAATTACAATGAATGATTAACTGACTTAATGCCAATCAGTGCACCCGGGGCTGTGAAAATTAGCAAGATTGGGGATAGTAATGTGGTTTATACCGCGTTCATAAAATTCGTTGAAATGAATTGTGCTAGTCAGTTCGTACGGGCAGCTGTGAAAATTTGATGTTGACAATTCAGTTGATTTAATGTTGATGTTGACGTTGATTTAATGTTCGTGTTGATGTTGTTGTACAATGTTGACTATGCAGCACTTGCGTACACATATTGTATGTAGACGGCATAGCATATGCTTTTACCGGACGTTTTTGCCTTTCGACTGCCTGTGCACAGTCTTTCTCTAGGTGCACAACCTTTTCTCTGCTGCTTGTAAACAGAAGTGCAATGCGTAGGAGCATTTGATTTGTGGTTTTGTGATGAAAATCTTTTAGTGACTACATTTTGCAGACAATTAACTGATTTTTTTACGTTCAGAACGTGGTATATTTCCCTTGATAATTAATTTTTATGGCATGGTTTGGTGCATGCAAAAAACTTATTCCAACCCTGTTTCTTAGTAGAGCTGGGCGCAGGGCAGGGATCCTGTCCTGAACCTGCAGGATCCTGTCCCTGCAGGACAGTTTCAGGGTAAAATGCTGACCTGAAATTTGGCTCAGGTTCAGGTTCAGGGCAGTTGAACTCCCTGAAAGTTCAGGGACAGGGCGTACCTTAGTCCTGCAGGAACCTGAATTTTTTTAAGAAAATTAAGGTTATCGAAATTTCACAAAGTTTCGAAAGGGAAACCTGGCGCCCGTAAGTTGACAACTGCGGGTGATGGCCCCAAGAAGTGCATCACGCGCTAAAAAGCGCATAAAAACTCGCTACCTTATTACGCTACTCTAAGAAATGCGAGCTTAGCTCGTTTCGCTACTGGCTACATATCGCTTTTGAAATGTGCCGATACGGAAAAAATTATACAACTACAATTTAACTTATTTAACTTAAACAGGCTCAGGATTTCAGGTCAGGCTCAGGGTGAATAGTTTCAGGCTCAGGACAGGTTCAGGTAATTCAGCACGGTGAGTTTCAGGGACAGGACAGGTTCAGGGAGGGAAAAATTGAAAAATTACAGGTTCAGGGCAATCTAGCCGTCCTGTTCCCAGCCCTATTTCTTAGTAAGTACTGTATACGGCTTGCTTTGTTTGTATTCATACCGATGGGCGATGGCACATGTGGGTTGCTAAGTTACCCTCGCCTAAATGATGCCCTTAAGAACCTAAAGCGTGAAAACGAACACAATTGTGCCGCCTTAATCCGCAGAACGCCGTGTTTGCGGTACGTTATGCTCATGTAATTGCCCAGGTAAATAAAATTAAAGACATTTTGCTGTTTACAGCAATGAAAACATTATGCACTGAGAAAATGTTCACAAAATGTGCTAAAGCACATGCTGGTTGCAGCGTTAATAAATGGTTTCTGCAGAACAGCGGAGTTCTTATTCCCTGTACGTGCATGGTAATCGATTACAGTTTACAGGTGACTGATGAATGACTGAGTTCATCTTCAGTCTACGCTTTTGCTCAATTTATGCCTTTCAATGCGAAACTGTAATCTAACATAAATTCTCAAACATCACACGGCCACGGCGGCCACTTGGCGGCATTCACGAATCGAAATTTGTATACCAACGGTTAAAATTTTCAGCAATGGATCATTCAGTAAACAAAAAGTAGAGTGCAGCAAATTTGTCAATCTGCAACAACAAAGTTCTTATATGGTAATTTCAGACTGTCGTCCATGATAAAGTAGATAGTTGTAGTGAATGCACTTGAATTTTTTTTCGATTTATATACTTAATTTTATAATCAGCTAGCCGCTTCTGCACATACTCATAGTGATCCACTTTATTAAGTAATGGAACATTTTAGCGAATCTTGGGTGAGGTGTTGGTGCGTGCCGCATTCGCATTCTTCTTACAGCCGGCGAAACCGCAGGAATATGTATGTTCCATGACCATGTACAATGGACATGTGCTGAATATTGATCTTTTTTCCTTAACAAATACCATTATCCTCATTTCTAATCCACAAACTGTTGCATTACCAATGCAATGCCTGAAACAATAACGAACCTTACACGCCAACATGTGCAGCGGCGCGTGATACGCATAGTGCCAATTAGCGAGGAAATCGATCGGTCCACACTGTCAGCGCAGTGCCATTATTAATTACTACAGTAACTCTTGACACCAGCGGCCGGATTAAACACCGCTGACATTCAACAATAAAAGGTTCCGCGGCAACATGTAACGCACTATGTATATACACCATAACACGCCATCCCTGGAATCAGTGTACATTTGTTTCCATTTCGCGGTAAGATATGGCTATATATTCCCGTTTGTGATACACTGCAACTGTCAAAAACCCCGGAAAGGGAACGCCCGCCAAGATCACAGCCTGGTCGAGGGATGGCTGAATTATTCATTGACCTCCCGCCCGCCTCCGCGCATTATGTGCCGGTTAGGGACGCTTTCAGCCCGTCAAACGGGATTAAAAGGATTGCAGCAACACTCAACATCGTGACACTTAATCACCGTGGTGTACGCTGCCACGACACATGACAAATAGCTGGCCATTGAGTGAATCGACAAATTACCGGCTCTGACATGGTCGGTAACGCGAGTGTTTTCTGCCGGGAGAACTGCAGTACGGATGGTAACGTTACAGGCGGTTTCAATAGTGCTCCGGCTTTCACCGCTGACCAGATCGCCAGAGCCCATTGGTTATGGTGGATATGCTATCCGGTACTGTTGGCTTGCTGCACAGTGGGCAACGGTCTCAATCTCGTCGTTCTGATTCGCCAGGCCAAAAAGAACAGCACCACGTCGTACATGATTGCCATGGCGTTTAGTGATCTTGTTGTACTGTAAGTGGCTTAATTATTCGATTAAAATCTTCCTATGTTCGGTTCGGGTTCGCTTCTACAATGTTGCACTGTTATAACCACCTTGACTGCAACGAACTCTGTACCATTACAGTTAATCTATGTAGATGCACTACACATAATATAGATATTGTGCCTATTGCACGTCGAGATTTTTTTTTGTTTATTGCCATCAGTATCACATTAGAGATAAAATTATTATCAAAATCGTTAAACAGTTTTTTCGTATATTATATACGTATCTAGCCAATTATGTACGTGTTGTAGCACCAGTATCGATCTGGCTGAGTGTCTGGTATCTGTGTGTGCAGTAAGGTACATACTGTACTTTATAGTTGATAGATATGTAAGTACCGTCACAGCATTTTTATATAAGTGAACAGAGTGAACATGTAATATTATCCATATTTCCTGCTAGTGTTATCGGTTGTTCTCTTTTCCTCTGCACTGATTAGGTGGTTATTTTTTCCGATATTCTTATGGAACATCACTAGGACATTTAGCCTGCCGTATGCTACGCCGGCACACAAAAAGATGTTGCTACAATCTATGGGCACTCAAGGATGGATACAGGAAACATTCATGCATTTATGTGACTGGTACGAAATATGAAAACAGAATCACGGTGAACAAGTCTCTACATTTTTAATAAATTATGCGCGCCGAAAAACTGAATCTCATGTTGCGCACGCTGATTCCCTGAAAAATGAATTTACAAGACAGCCCACTTCAACAATAGCGTGAAATATCGTTTCGAATTCATACTGTATTTGAAAGAAATTTGTTGATGCATCGCATCATGCGTTACGGATTGTGTGCACTCATAAGTCCTGAAAATTGCAGGGTATTGCTCATGTTCTCCGCTGAACGATTAATGGCCTTTGTCAAGCCGTTTTGGATTAAGAAGTTGACGAGCGCATTTTCGGCCAATATCATCGTTGTCGTTCTGTTCGTGTCGTCGGTCCTTTTTAGCGTGGAGAATTTTGTCAATGAGCGTTATTGTGCCGCCACAGGATGCGGCAGCACTTACTCCGCTTACACGTATGCAGCCGTTGTATTGTTTATCGTTTAACATGTGTAACTTTTGAACACTTATTCCGCTTACACGTACGCCAATGGTTTTAATGTTTAACAAGTCTGCTTAAAATGATTTTATTTCGGTGTAAAAACACGTTAATGATCTAAACAATGTGCTAACGTTACTCTAACTACGGAAGAATACCCCACGTACCTGGTTGTGTAACTTAGTTAATGAGACCCATCGTTCTCTATAACAGGACAGATGAGGGAAAACCGGCTTGGCTCGTTAAATGGGGGGAGATCCAGAACACCGCTGAGGTAACGGCCTCAATCGTTTATCCATACGCGTAATCACAACAATTCCCATTACTTGCAGCTTTCCATGAATTTCGGCAATTTCTTCCTTTTATTATTCATCAACAGCGCACTCATAGCAGCCATTACCAAACAGCATCGCCAAGACCTGGGTCGAGTCAAATCCGATAACGAAGAGCGCCAGAACAACCGCCGCCGGAATATCCATATTCTCCTGCTCAGCAGTGTCGTGCTGTATCTCGTAGCACAGTTCCCGAGTTTGCTGGTTCAAGCGCTGAAGCTGGCGGACAGTGACAATCCGGATCTGTGGACATTTGACGAATCAGCGAGAAAGTTCGCCACGCCCATCTGCAATGTAACTCTGCTGGCTAACTACTCGGTCAACTTTTTCCTGTACTTGACCGTGAGCAAACGTTACCGCGTACAGTGCACACGGACACTGCAGACATGCTGCGGTTGTCGTGATATTGCGGCGTACTTGAATACTGAGGGCAGTGTGGGTCTTACGGGCAGCACCACAAGACGGCAGCGTATGATACGCTTTCTGACGTCGAAGTCTTCGAAGAGCACGTGTTCCACTTCAATAGAATCCAGCTCCACCATGGAACGTGTGGCTAAACGCGAAGCCAGTCAGAAGAAGGAGCCGCTTAAAGGACCTCGGGCAGCCGTTTAAGCGCATTCTGTATAAAATAATAAAATCATATTAGCCGTAATCCGGGATTAGTCGAAGAAAAAGCGGGATCATTACATTCTGCTGTTCCCTGACACATCGTCCGCATCAGTGATAAACACATCTTAAAACGCCTTCGTCAGCAACCGACAACAATAGCCGATTTTTATGGCGGTCTCCAGTTTATCCCCGGTAAGAACCCAGATCCTGATCTCCGCTTGCGCCAGGCTAAACGGCCTCCGGTACACCGTCCTGCCTCTTATTCCCTACAGCCGTGGAGCCGACCACAGCCAGGTCTTTCACAACTCCGCGGCCACCGCATCCATCTGCTCTTCCCGCTTTTCTAATGTCAGCGACGCTGCAGTGTACCTGGCACTCCATTCCGTATAACGGTATAAGAGATAACTTTCCACGCTAAGCACAGCGTAAGCAACTCATCCAGAGCGAAGAACTCCAGATGTTTGTTCGTGATACTCTTTAACTTGATGATGGAATCAGCACCTTTACAGAATAATTTTCCCGTTTAGTCGCAACGGACATCGTTTGCAAGCATAACTGAGATCAAGAATCTGCAGGAGCTCATAGTCTACAATGCGCTCTTTCTAATCCGTTCGATGCGAATCAAATTAGACAGGCGGTACAGAAAGTAGTACCCAAAATACCGGGCCGCGTCGACCAGTGTCTGACCATCTCCGGTATTCGAAGAACCGAAATGCCGCCGAAGACCGCCTGGCGATCCTGGTCGAAAGCGACATCTGTTAATTCGTCGGCATACGGATTATTGGAGAACCCGCAGTGCTGACTGGGGTCACCGTTGTCATCCATGATGTTGTCACAGTACCGACGACCATTGATGGTGCATTTCTTAAAGGTCATAATGGCTCGCCGATATTTCGCCGACCATCCCGAGAACGATGGCTAAGTAAACCCAAAAAACCGAAGAACATTAGGAACCTGGGAACCTAAGAATCCTAAAAAACCTGAGAAAACCTCCAGTCCGTTCGCTGAGGGGAACTCGACGCTCCGTCTCTGTTGGAAAACAATCTGCGTTGTGTTAATGATCAAAATTAATAAGATTTATACCTGGTAAATTGGTAAAGTTGATTTAGCTGCAAGTTTGACCTTTGGGGGTAGTGATCTCTTTTCGGCAAGACAGAGAAGCAATTGCTCGAGACACTAATAAGAACGAATTTATTGACTGAATAAATTTTAATCATTTTGATGCCGCTCAGTACGCGGTGAAATGTAAAACTGAGCGAGACTGGGGATTGTACAGTCTGTACGTAGGTTGCCTTTTGTACAGTGTTCACAGTGTTCTTTTAAGTGCAATCTTAACGCTGAAGTGCGCACGACACGCCGTACTGGCACGTATGGAATGTCGACTATGTGGACGATATACCGTAACAGCATTGCTAAAGCTCTAGCGTTGGTTTTACGGAACTTACAACGACAGCTGCTGTCGGTAGTCTTGATCTAGAGTAGTTACTGCTTACATGCACCACACCTTTGTTGCTGCTACATAATTAAAGGCAGAATTCAGTGCGTTGAAGCATTTGATTTACGTTGTGAGCATTTAAAATTTTCCAGATAAAGGAAGCACGTACTTGCTAATGGTAATAAAGGAGCAATATTTACAGTATACTGTATACTGCAGTTTGTTTTTTAAATGTTGGATTCATATCGATGGCACATACGGGCTGCTAACAAGGCTAAAAGACCCTCGCATATAAGATGCCCTTAAAAGCGTGAAAAATATTAGTAACAAGCTCTTCCGTCTAAAACCATGCACCGTATTTACGGCATGTTAGTGCATAACGATCGAGAACATAAAACGCGCAACTGGTTAGTAAAAATGACAGTTCTTTTACATTACTGATAAATCATGCTACGAGAAAATGTACAAAAAATCTGTCGATGTCCATGTTGGGAAGCGTTTTCAGGGTATTACACTATTAACCCTCTAGTATGTTGAGAAACCGTACTGTTCTCGAAACCGTTCTGTACTTAAGTCGAGACGTCTATCGTTAATTTTAAAAACAAGAATGTGTCTGTCGAACCAATCAGAATAATTTGAAAAGGGCAAAGCGTCGGTTAAAGCGTATAATTTTCTATAGTGGCTTATTTAGTAAATAAAAAGTAGAGTTCAACAGTTGTCAATTTGCAACACCAACCTTAACGCCCTCATATGTACTGTTTTTCATGGTAAAGCGCATAGTTGCAGAAATTAAGTTTTTCCAACGACTCCAGCTGTTTTTTCACACTAGTGATTTTTTACAGTGGATTAATCAGCATTATTCCATAGGTACGGTACACGTACAATAATTGTTAATTTGCAACACCTCCGCCCTTGTATCAGTTATATCTTGTGTGTGGCGCCGGCCTGAGTTGTTGTGAATGAGCTTTATATTTTTCCACCTCAGCGCACGGCTCCTTCCCACTTGAGATCCACTTGGTTAACGCAACATTTTTAACAATCCCGGGTGAGGTTGGTGTGGCCTATGAGCATTCGCCTTACAGTCGGCAAATCGTAATATCTCTGTAAGTCTGTGTTACATAGTTTATAATGTAATTGCTCATATTATGTATTGTAATTGTATGTTCCATGTACTGTCCAGTGGATTGTGCAACAATAGATGTACTGAATATTGATCCTTTTCCCTCTGAAAATCACATTATGCTCATGTTTAATTCGCAAACTGTTGAAATATACCAGTGCAGTTGCTGAAATAATACGAACCTTACTCGCTAACAAGTGCAGCGGCGCATACGTACGTGTAATGCATAGTGCCAATTAGCGGGAAAATCGATCGGTCCACACTGTTAGCGCAATGCCATTATTAATTACTGACTCCTGACACAAGCGGCCGGATTAAACACCACTGATATTCAACAATAAAGGGCGACCGCGGCAAAATATAACGCACTAAGCAGTACAACATAACACGTCATCCCTGGAATCAGTGCACATTTGTTTTCATTTCACTGGAAGACACAGCTATATATTGCGCGGTGTTACACCGCGCAACTGTCAAAAACCCCGAAAAGGGAACACCCGCCACTATTATAGCCGCGGCTGAGGGATGGTTGCATTATTCATTGACCTCCCGCCCGCTTCCGTGCATTATGTGCCGGTTAGGGACGCTTTCATCCCGTCAAGCAAGGTTAAAAGCATTGCAGCACCACTCACAGCATCGTGGCACTTAATAACCCTGGTGTATTGCGACGGTATATGATGACAAATAGTTGGCCATTGAGTGTATCGACAAATTACCGGCTCTGACATGGTTGGTAACGCCAGTGTTTTCTGCCGGGATAACTATACCGACAAAAATCTTATTGATGATGTCAACTGTACGGAAGGAAATCTTACCGCCAATTCTACGGTTCGTCTTTCGGCTTTCACCGCTGACCAGGTCGCCAGAGCGCAATGGTTATGGTGGATATGTTATCCGGTACTATTAGCCTGCTGTACGGTGGGCAATGGTCTCAATCTCGTCGTTCTGATTCGCCAGGCCAAAAAGAACAGCACCACGTCGTACATGATTGCCATGGCATTTAGTGATCTTGTTGTACTGTAAGTGGCTTATTAATTATTATAGATACAGTGCAGAGATTCTAAACTGCAGATCTTTATTGTTGCTGTAACCACATTTCAAAAACAACTTAAGTACACAGAAGGAATGTTATGTATGTAGTTTTATTTGCAACTCATGAGTACAGTATTCTTTCGCATGCTGTTGGTTGCCGCCTTCTTTCTGTCTGTTTAGGTGGTTATTTTTTCCGATATTCTTATGGAACCTCAGTCGAAAATTTAACTTGCCGTATGGTATCGACGCAAACAAAGCAACGATATTCCAGTATATGGGTATTCAAGGATGGATGCAAGAGGCGTTCATGCATTTGTGTGATTGGTATGAAATATGAAACACATAATCAGGGTAGATACACGGCAATTAGGGTTAATGATCCACAGAGTAGTCTACAATACGTATACATTTTTGATAACTTTTGCGCCCTGAAAATACTCAATCTCGTGCTGCGCATGCTGGTTTACTAACAACACGTTAACAAGGCTGGACAGTGTAAAATGTTATATTCCATAGAACCATTCTAGTTCTACATCGTAAGTACTTCTGCAAAGTAAGGTCATGTGAGCGCATTACAATGTGACTGCCGACAATTGCAGGGTATTGCTCATTTTCTCCGCAGAACGATTAATGGCCTTTGTCAAGCCTTTCTGGATTAAGAAGCTGACGAGCGCTTTTTCGGCCAATATCATAGTTGTTGTTCTGTTCGTATCGTCGGCCATGTTTAGCGTGGAGAATTTTGTCTACGAGCGTTATTGCACTGTCACAGGATGCAACACCACTTATTCCGCTTACATGTATGTGATTGCATTTGCATTATATCCTTTATAGATTTAAATAAATGATCATTTTTTGTGCTACGACATCGCAGTTAATTGAATATGCGGTTATCAAGGAAAACGTTGGTTGTGCAACTTACAGTTTTTGCACTGATCGTGTAGGAATGAAGCGGCAAAACCGGCTTGGCTCCTTAAATGGGGAAAGATCCAGAATACCGCTGAGGTAACGGCCTCACCTGTTCGTTTCTGCCGCTACAACACATATAAGCATAAATAATTCCAATCATTTGCAGCTTTCCGTGAATTTCGGCAATTTCTTCCTTTTATTACTCATCAACAGCGCCCTCATAGCAGCCATTACCAAACAGCATCGCCAAGACCTGGGCCGGGTCAAATCCGGTAACGAAGAACGCCAGAACAACCGCCTGCGAAATATCCATATTCTCCTGCTCAGCAGTGTTGCGCTTTATCTCGTAGCACAGTTTCCCAGTTTACTGTATAAAGCGCTGGAGCTGGCGGACACCCTGGAGGTGTGGACTTTCGACAAAAACGCTAGGGAGTTCCCCTCGCCCATCTGTAATGTCACCCTGCTGGCTAACTATTCGGTCAACTTTTTCCTGTACTTGACCGTGAGCAAACGCTACCGCCTACAGTGCACACGGACACTGCAGACATGCTGCGGAATTACTAATATTGCAGTGTATTTCAGTACGAAAGGCAGTGTGGGCCTGACGGGCAGTACCACAAGGCGGCAGCGCATGTTACGGTTTCTAACGTCAAAGCCAACGAAGAACACGTGTTTCGGCTCAGTACACTCCAGCTCCACAATGGAACGTGTGGCCAAACACGAAGCCATCCCGAAAAAGGAGACTAAAATGTGACCTTTAGAAGCTGCTGTGTTGTGGTAGCTTGCTGCTGTGCGTTAAGATGTTTGTTAAACATTTAAAATGCTGTGAACGGTTTACGTCTATGTTACTTGCAAGTAAGCGTATCGGCACTGATGAAGCTATTCTAGTTTTATACTATTTCGCGGGAATCTAAGCTTGACAGAAACATGGTAGTGGTGAATAAAGCGCATGTACAGATATCTGTATACGTATTCAAAAAATGCTTTGGTAGTGCTGGCAACCAATTCAATTCTCTGGCTGCTCCGGTCATATAAATATTGCATGGAAATTAATGGAATCGTGATCTTAGAAATGTGTAGTCGGTGACCGTCCGATTTCTTCCACCCATCCTTTTCGACACGTGGAGATTATCCAAAAATGTTCGCTCAGATCTATCAGAAACACACGTACGTTATTCAAACTCTACGGCCTGTCAAATGCGTAATCTTTACTTCGCATGTATATTGATCGATAAGGCTAAGCTGAAGTTTAATAGAGATTAGTCGTACTCTTACCGACATTCCTCATAAATGTGCCATCGTAATGATACACCTTATGACTGACAATATCGTAGTAACCATGTCCGACATCCATCGTGTTTTCCGGAATTACCGGCGCGGGTGGATTCGCGACTAATGACGCTACAAATCAGTATTACAAACTGTTAATAAAACAACATCGAGGGGATGATGATAGTGCATTTAGTAATTCCCTTGTATTGCTGACGTCACCCGCCTGGAGTGTGACGTTACGGCAATACATATGGCTAAACCTGGCGCGGTACATGAGCCCCATGTTTAGCCACAACGTAGTACTCCAGCCGGTTTACGGCAGCAAGTACAGGGAGTGCTGAAATGCGCTACCGTCATTCCCTCGATAGCAACCAGGTGTGCTCGCCTTTATGTTTATTATAACTACGATAATATTCTGTGTCAACCAACGTTTTCCACTAAGGTCATTTTGGATTTCTTTCCAAAATCTCCGATCGTTCCCATCGCAGTATCCCCAAGGTTTATTCGCATCTGCCAGACCCGATCCGGGAAGTCCGCCGTCGTATATCAGTCCATCTGGAAAGACTAAGTGACCCTGCAAACATTTTCTGTTACCGACACTTTTAAAGTTATTGCAAAAGTTTAGTTTTCGACCGTACTGAGCTCAACTTTCCATGATCCCATGTGCCTTTGAACAGTGTTCCGTCAGGATAAATTATCTGGCCTACTCCATGGTAAAGGTCATCCTCGAAACCACCTTCATAAACCATGCCTTCTTTGGTGACGTACCGGCCGGTGCCATTTGCTCTGCAAATTTGTTATCGATCAGGTCAGATAACTTTTGTATACTGTTCGAACGTTATAATAGTTACTGTTATATGATTCTACTTGGTACCTTCCGTTGCGAGTGGGTCCAGCATAGTGATTATCCTTTGGGTTGTCTGCCGCTGCTTTGTTTTTACTGCACACTGGTACCATTGTCTTAAAACAAGGCTGTTAATGTTGTAAGTACCGCAAAATCAGTTGAATGTTTGACATGAAGCAAAGCACAATGCAAACGCAACTGTACTTCGCTATTTCTCCAAGGTCACCATGCAACGAAGCAGTAGAGTGGTTTTTAAAAGAAGCCTCAAACTTATGCATATCTGTAGTGTGTCTTTCATTTAAAACAACATTGTACATAGATCTTTCGCACGGTACACGTTACTGACCTATGTCCTTGAATACGAGATGAAAACCACTGTAGTACACAGGACTTTGCGCGCATTGCATATTTATATTGGAAATCGCGCGCTTCATCAATAACCATGCCGAAATAACAAAGCACGATTCTTTCTGAGCTCCTCGTCTATTACATGACACAGTACCGACAGGAAGTTTGCTCCAGTTTTTTGCCGGGGGACGGTTTTTTAATGCATGTATCTGTACTTACGTCAAATTATTTTGTTATGGATTATGGAGTAGCATTTATGCACAATCATACAGGCATGATAAAGCGTATGTATTCGGTAAAATTATGCTGGCTGGTATCGTAGCACGTACATTGTACCTGTACCATACTGCTTAAATTCCACCGATATTGTCCAACGCACAAAAACCGCATTGCTAATGCTGCATCGCACAACTCACTTCCGAAAATTTTGACTTTAACCGCATATGCCTCACCAAAGTGAATCTTTGCCCGGAGCTTTAGTTACAGCCGGCTGCTTTTTACAGAATCTTTTTTTTTGTTTTATCAGCAAAAATTTGAATATCAGGCAGGCATCAAAGTTCAACTGCACGATATAATTCACAGTATCATGGCGGAAGTACACTAGGACAGGTAGTAGGTACCTGTTTAGGTACGTGCGTATATGATCATAAGAGCGCAACCCATGTTTTGGGTGTATTTTTAGTGCGAATAATTAAATCATAATGCGCATTGCTGAAACTGAAATTAGTGGACATGCAGTTTTGAAAGGCGTGATAAATCAGCGTGATAGTCAAGTTCATGGTCGTCTAATAAGAAATGCCATTTTTTAAGAAATACTACTAATTCAAAAAAATTTACAAACATGAATCGACTTTGCATATAATTGGTTTGCTCTCGGCAGTGTAGCATTTGACGCTTTTTATGATACTGCCAGAGGCTCGACAAGTTAAGTTTCAAGTAACTAAACTGAAAACCAGACGCATGCGGCTTGGCTGCATGCGAGAATTGACAGAAAAACTTTAATGTATGGTAAGGAAGTTTCGAGTACCTATAATATTTACTAAAACATAGCGGAAACTTCGGATTTTTGATGATATCTTTAAGCCATGTTCATCAATAATGGCACGGCTGTTTGTGGAGATGCTTGCAATCTCAACATCACGTCTGATAAAGCGTTTTCCGATGACCAGATTGCCGGCGCACATTATTTGTGGTGGATAGTGTATCCGATTCTGCTAACCTGTTGTACGGTTGGCAATAGTCTGAATTTGATTGTACTGATTCGCGAGACGAAGAGGAGCAGCACCACGTCATACATGATCGCCATGGCCATCAGCGATATCGTTATACTGTAAGAAGGAAAATTCCAGAACCAGCGAATCTTAGTCAAAATTTTGGATCATTTAGAAAGCAGTAATACTCGTATGTACATGTACTTATGTAAACAACCATTAGCCTGATCAGTGATAAATACGTCATTATCTAGTACCATACTTTACATTGTGCTATGGCAGGATGTTATTTAATAAATGCGAAAGTCACCGGTATTTATTGTTGTAGATGGGTGTATTTTCCATTATTCTTATGGAATATTAGCAGCGCCTTCCGGTTGGCATACCACACCAAAGCTAACAAACGCATCACAACAAGCTTTATGATTGGACAAGGGTGGATACAGGAAACGTTTATGCAGTTTTGCGATTGGTAATGGTTGCAGTCAACCTGTCAAAATGTATCCAGACATCAGTGGTTATTTCGTTAAAAGCGTCACATATGGACGACGAAAGCGTTGGATTTCAGGCATAGTTACGGAATATATCAACAGTCTGATAATTATGGGAATTTGCTACCGGGTTTATCATGAATTTTGCTTTGTACGCAGGGTCTTACTGACGTTCTCCCTGGAACGACTAATTGCTGTGCTGAAACCACTGTGGACTAAGAAGCTGACCAGTGCGTCAACGGCCAATACCATCGTAGTTATTCTTTTTGTCCTTTCCGTTATTTTCAGCGTAGAGGAATTCGTGAAACAGTACGTATTTGCGGATTACACTGATATTGGCTGCGAAAAAGAAAAGAACCTTGCTATTATTCACTACCTTGCTGTAGGTTGGAAAAAGGTCAACCGCGTTGGATAATGAAATGGGACGAAGTTCAGTTTGGCGCAGAGGTAGAAACAAAATGGTTTTATTTCTACCGGATGACAAATAACAGCTGGCAACGTTTTTTGCAGATGACAATGGTCTTCGTGAAATTTTTCGGATTACTGATAATTAATGCCGTCCTGATCATGGCCATAGCCAAGCGGCAACATCGCGATATCGGGCGGGTTTCCGCGCGCTTGCATCGCCGGCCCAGCGTTCGGACATGGAACACCAATATCCTTCTGCTAAGCAGTGCCGTGCTGTATTTGATTGCCATGTTCTCCAGTTTATGCGTCAACTCCCTGGCCTTAGCAGATACACTGGGCGTTCGTCCTTTTGACGAATCCGCCAAGAAGTTCGCCACGCCGTTCTGCAACATTACCTTGTTAACGAATTATTCTATCAATTTCTTTTTATATCTCACCGTCAGTCATCGATACCGGGCGGAATTTCGCCGGACAGTACTCAGTATCAAGCGCCCTGTGGAAGCGCTGAAGAACAGTATCCGCGGTACTGTTACCGGGAGTCAACGGCGGCGGAGTGGGCGGGAACATCTTGTGGCAAAGTCAGCGTCAGAATCACGCAGTAGCAATAATATACCCGATCCAAGCGGGCCATCAGCAATCAGAACGAGCGTATCGGAAACGCACATGTAAATAACATGCAACCAACCCGGCATGCGCAGCAAATGCCAGACCTTTGCCTTTTGGCCTGAGGAGATGGCTAATTCTTAAATTTCAACCATTGATACATTTTTTGTATAGCATAAAAATTGTTGTCTGTTCACGTGATGACCAACTGGCATCCAAAACTCTTTACCTACCGCGAGACCCGGCATTTTAAGCGAACCCTTTTTCCTCGTTTAGGACGCTCAATAATAATTTACAATTTGCCATTATGAAATGACATTATTTGACATTTGACATGTAGCTTGAACTGCTGAAGCAGCAAAAGTATGTATGATGGTGGTTATTGTAAATTTGTGATTGATTTAGTGCAAGAACTGTAAACACAAAAAGTGTAAAAACCGGTATAAATATTAACAGAATATTCAAAAACCTACCCGAGTAGACAGCTAAGGACAGAAGAGAGCAATAAAAATTTCAAAGGAAGAGAGTACTGGCACTAACCCATCGCTCTCCATATGAACGGTTATAAAACCGTTTCATAACCGTTCATCTGGAAAGCGATATGCAACCATCCTCCACAGCAAATTAACAAATTGTATAAAATGGTTCACAATGTGAACTTCACATACGCCTGTTGGCGATTACGAATGTACAGATTATCCTGGGAATCGCTGGCGCATTGCACCGCGTCCAGTATTCCAGTACTTATTGTACCGATACCTGTAAGAAGTCTCCAGTCTGTAAGTACTCTGTAGGACTGCATATACCGGCGCCGTCACACCGGTTTCCAGTCCACTTTCACTTCCCAGATGTTGTTGTGATGCTGTACTCGTAATTCGTACGTGCCGTACCGAAAACCATAGCCAAGTCAAAGACGCCCATCTGCGTGATACGAGTGCATCTTATGAACTATGAAGCACTGATGGATGCTGCAGTACAAATGTACCATGTGGCGGATCGGCAGCCCAGCCTCCCGTTTCATGTAACAGCTACTCCATTTTAATACTTTCAGATGTTAGATGACAGCTGCACAAATATGCAGTTTCAAACTTTACGGTTTATGAGCGCTTGCATTTTTACCCAGCTGCGAAATCTTGTAAAGGAAAATTAAAATTTAATAACGGTGGTTTCTGTAGATTGAAACAGTTTCTCTGTTAGATTCTGGAATATGCCGTAGCGCTAGACTACCCGTATGCAATGCAGCGGAATCTGATTCCCAAGCAAACGCTACGCTGGGAACTATGTATCCTCTGTATCACCGGTTTCGTGCCCATTGCTGTGCTTTATCCCCGAGCATTCACCCCCAAAATAACAAACATTCTTGACATACTGTCCCGCATTGTCGGCCTCCTACTAATAACGGGTTCATGGATATGCTGCTCCGCCGTGTGCTTCCTAATCATCACCCGTCTGGGTCGTACCGACTGGTACTTCCCCACGAACAATGTAATCATCCAAGCGGCCATTGCCAGCACCGTTGTACTGGTCAACCTCCGTGCGGCGGCTGTTTTAACTATCCTGTACATAAAGCGCGACGCCTGGCACGAGATCTTGGCACAGTTTGATCGCCTCACGCAGTCAACCACCCAACCACCGTCCGTCAGGATCTTCGGAGCCGGGACGTGTTTACTGCTGATTATGACTGCAGTCGTGTGGTCCTACACGCAAATATCCATTCTCATCGGCCGACAGATTTCGTTTTACGCTGCCGATTCCTTCGAGCCGGTGCCGATTGTGTTCATAGTTTACCAGTTTGTCATATTTTGGTGGATTTTTAATACCGGACCGCTGTTATTGACGCAGCTGCTGTTAGGCACTCAGATGACCTTTGCGCACTTCCAAAACCAGACGCTGCAGCTCATCCTGACTTGGCAGAATCAACTACTGAGTAAATTGCGCAGTATTTCCCCGGAGAAAAGCGTCTTGTTGAGTGCGGATGTAGCGCAAATGGGGAATATGCACTACGAGACAGTGGCGCTGTGTGAGCGGTTGAATGCGGCCTTCAGTCGGGCGTTGTTTTTTATTTACGGACTGGACTGTCTGACCGCGTTCGGCAATGTGGCCACGCTCGTGGCGGGCTTTGCCTATGAAGAGCAGAAATTGTCGCCGCTGTATGTACGGATCCCGGTTGTTTATGCTGTTATGGTGTTCCTGTCGCACGCCACGGTGTGTTTGATCCCCATGGCACAAGTTGAACAGACGGTAAATCCTTGTGTATGTATTTCGATTGCACACCGATTATATAAATATTTCTCGTGACACGATGGGCGCTGCGGGTATAACCGTACGCATTACAACAGGTTGTATTTGTACTGTACATGCTGTATACTCGTAATTTTCATACACTGCAGGGTCAGCAGATTGCCGATGGTTATTATCGACTGTGGGGTGTCGTTCAATTGAATCGCTTGGGAGATGTGGAGAGGCCATCAGCCGCAGTAAGGCATTAAAAATTGTTTCATCTGAATAGAAAGCGAAAAGCAGTTCGCACGTTAAATCGGACAAATCCAGTCACAAAATACTCACTTTACGCGATTATATACAGTAGATAAGCGACAATTATTTTTATTTTTGAGTTACGACACGGAATATTTTTGCAGAGCGTTATTGCTTTTGACGAATTAAAAAAACGAAGTACTTTTTAAATGCCAGTTTATGCTTTGTCAGTACTTTGTAGAAGCGATTTGCTAGTTAATACGCAGTTTCGGTGAGCGATGAGATACGCAGCCATTACACTACAAATTCTCCTACTATTGTACATTGCAAACTAGCGTCCAAGCCGTTGTATACGTATGTAGCAAGTACGAGTCCGTATGCATATAAATCGCACTGCAGCATGAATCAAAAAGCTACTCGTAGTCATGTTACAGCATCACATACTGCAATGAAAGCAATATGTACCTATATATATATATAGATATTATTATGCGACTGTTGCTCTAGGAAGCACCGACTCTCGGTGAGGATTTCCAGCGACTAGGAAAAATCAGCGAAAAAGCCGTACCGGTTTTCTATGCTGGACATGTGTGCCGGATAACGTGGCACTTCATCGCTAAGGTAAAAACTTCTAGCAAGTTTGTTTGGTTTTAAGATTTTTGCAGTCGACCTTCGCAACGTAAGCGGAGCCGGAAACGCCGATATAAATTACAGCCTGATGCTTGTAGACCTTAACGTACATGGCATCGTTCGTCATTCTGGCATACGAAATTGTGGATGTATCGGGCGTACGGGATGGTCTGGAGAAACTGCATAAAATTGTCCAAAGCCATATGAGTCTCTCCAAAGATTTTTTTAATTATTCCGCTTATGATCGCAAAGATTAATAGGGATAGTAGCGGCTTTTTTCACGATTTCGATTTGGTTGCAGCAGGTATTTGCCTCAAATTTGTACTCGCACATAAAATCAAGGGCCATTTCCGGTGCCGAGTTGGTTATGCACCCGCCAATTTGTTTATACAATTACATTTCGATAGCTTTAATTCAACAAGCTGAATCTTCGGACGGTCTAATTACAATTTTAACATTTCGTGGAAATTAAAAAATGAATTTTTATATGTCCCATACTTCTTAAATGACATCGATTAACTGAATACGCCATTCGGGTAACGGTAGGCTAAAACTAGACAGCCGCTGCTTTACAGTTTTTCTAACTTTATTGCGAACTAAACCTAACCGCGCTGACTATAAGCCGACTCACAAAATTAAATCCAAAGGCTGGTCATGTTGCAACAGCACGTAATTAAGGCCACGTATATATTTTTGTAGAACCCATTTAAACCCAACAAAACTAAAGAACAAACCGGGAGCATATAAGAGCAGCACTAGCTATACATTTCACCACGCTACTGCAGTATTAACTAAGGCACCAAATGGAAGCACTTCCGGTGGTTATCATTCAACAGAGCCGGTACAGTATCTAACACTAATAATAATAATATTAACATTATTTAAATAAAACAGCCGAGGCACACAGTGGAAAAACGCAACGCTACCGCGGACAACAGCTCGGACGATCTGTTTCCGCCGAAGAAAAAAAAACAGAACCACAACGAAAAACTCATTCTGCATGATGATAATCCACCGTGGTTTTGGCGCGCCGCCGGGAAGATAACTGGCGCGCCGAGCGCCGGGTTTTGGCGCGCCGCCGAAACAACAGTTCGAAAACGTAGCACAAGGGAGATTTAACATCGGATACAAATTCTCCAGTGCTTTTTTCCAGGTTTTTTTGGCATGGTTTTTTATGGACGATATATATATAATTTTCCAACATCAGATCAGGTTTGCAAAGAGGGTATGGTTTCATCATCGAGGAGGGATTTGATTATGCCGAATAATTTGCAACAAAAATGACACAGGATCGCGTGTAAAATAATATAACAGCGCTGCGCTTAATGATTTTTGGCTTCGACTTTCTTCTTGCCGCCACCCATTGTCAAGTTTTCTGTGTGGAACAAATGAAAACGCCAACATAAAAAGCAACAAAATATCCCACAGAAAAAATAGGAAAGTCCCAAACCAGGAGAAGGATTAAAGGAAGGAAGAAAGGTCACGCACGACGTCGTTAATCAGACCGTCACAACAAACATTCATATATACACTGACAGCTCGTGCACTTACTGTTAAAACATGCAGAAACACAGAATTTGTCACAAGTTTTTGTTATTATCATGCAGATGCTCTCTAAATTTGGGACCTATAATGAAACACACAAGGTGACAGGGCATGCAATTAGAGAGACACAAGGAACCGGAAATAAACAAACAAAAATAAACCACGCAGGACAATTTTGGGACGATAGGTATACAGCGTATATTACTGCTGGAATTATTCGGGCAGCTGTTTTGCGGAAAACGTACAAAAAGTTGTTTTTGGAGGAATGAATTTTTCTCGACTCAGAATATTACAGCAGCATAACAAATAACTCTTTCTATAATGGTTGCGCGTGTGGATTGATTCCAAAGTAAAATAATGAAAAGTACTAAAAACTCATTTTCTGTTAAAGTAATTATGTAATTTCATTTTAATTTAACCAGCATATCCATGAAACTTTCTGATAATTATGAACAATTTTACTTCATTTTACAATAAAAAGTTCCAGTTTATTTTAATATTAGAAAAATAGATGACCTTGCGGGTTTCTAATTTTTACTAAATATTTGGAACTTTGGGAAAAGTTAAGGATATACAGTTTACAAGCTATGACCGGATAGATTAATCCGCCACCATTTAACGCAGCAACTGCACTAAAGCTGAGAGAACCGAACACAACAACAACAACAACCCGGGAAACGCGGTATTTGACTGGTTTTATCAAAGGGTGAACAACCAAAATTACCAAATGGAGAACAAATCAAAGAAGCAGCAAGCCACAGCACGCGCCAAAAACCAAGGTGTTGGGTATGAATAAAATCGACAATCAAAAAAATACCAGAGCGACTTAAATTATCCGGCAAATCAAATCCAGATTCGACCTGCGAGTACTCTTCCGTTATTCATCATACCGTGTAAAACCGCAGTGTTAGTTTAAATCAAATTTTTCTTAAAAAACAACAAAACAACAGGGGAGCGCGACAGTTACGATCATAAATAACCACCACCTACATATAATGTATGCCAACCAGAGAGAAGAAAAATTAACGACGAAAATTCTCTATCACGCAAATCGAAACACTGGTTAAGCACAGAATTCAGGGGGAAATGCGTGCGAATATGGTGGGGAAGCAGATGGAGAGGCTTATTGGGGCGCCGGATTTGGCACCGGGACGGGATACACTTGGGCCGGATTTGGTTGCCCTGTAAAAGGTCATGTAGATCATCAACAGTCACTGTGTTACAAAAAAAGAAAGAATTTCAAAAGTATGTAAGGGCGCTGTAAAAATAACTTAATTCAATATAAAGCTGATAACTTAATTCAATATATAAACTACAGGAAGTGAAGACAAGCCGTAAAAGTTGCAACAAAAAAGCCATCACGCTACACTATCTATAATTACATTTACACTGCAAAAAATTTTTCTTATACCTGGGTATATGATATTCGGCGCTGGCACGCTAACGGCGACATTAACAATGTCTACCAGTTCCAGAGGGTGCCCCGAATGGCTCAAAATCAAACTAAAAAAAGAACAAAATAAGGTAGAGCATATTCAACGCATATTACATTGTTGAACAATGTAATAGCAAACTAAATTAAAATAATTACAAATCGTAAATTCTAAATAAACTTACAGTATTCCTTAACAACAACAGCATTCGAAGAACGTCAAATAAATAAATAAAATAACTACAAATAGCAAATATTAAATAAAATAATTACATAACAACACGAACAATCAGAGCCGCATCTCGGAGGGAGAAAACGAGAAAACGATAATAACAAAAACAAAAAAATATAATATAATTCTGATATAAACAAATTAATAACGAAATAAATTTAATATCTTTCTTCGTTATAATCAGTTTTATTGGTGTTTTGCACTTCACATACATAACTTAGTTCCCATTGACATTACAGTCATCACTACATACGTTCGTGCCAGTTACGACTGAAAGAAACAACCAAAATCCGAAGAAATAACCAATACCAACAACCAAACCAAATTTGTGTGGTAAAAAAGAACACGCATTACGAGTATAATTTAATAACGAACCAAATTTAATAATCGCATTTAATTGTTTTAGGTTCACAAAATTTTCTGCATTCTAAGAACGCAATAAAAGTCTGATTTCAATGAAGAACCAAAAACTAGCGACAAATTCTTACCGCATAGCATTGGAGTCACGAGCCAAGTCGAAGGCATCCCCATCACCGCGAGCTTCGCGCAGGCCGACCAACAGATGTCCGCTTTCCCTGCTAACAGACACGGGAAGCGCTGCCATTGCGTATCGTCGCCACGCTCCGAGACCGTAACGGGCAAAGAACTGCCCCCCATCGTCCAACCAACCCGCAGGTTGCGGGACGTTCGCAGTCCGACGGAACATCAAATAGGATCGCGTAATCACCATAGTATTCGCTGGTGGGGGGGGCCTGCATGATTTTGTCACGAGGAAGGTAAAACACCCACAAGCAATCACAAAATGTTATTAAAATCACAACAAATCCAGGATATAAAAAAAAATCAAGGAACTTATTCGCAAGCAGACTACTGCAGCGTGCAGATTTGCAGAATGATCGTTTGTGGTAATTTTTATCTTGAATCTGCGTGAGTGGCAGCACCGGAATAGCATACCGAGGCGGTGAGCAGGCGACGGGCAGTTTGGCAGTATTTGTGACAGCTGCCAAATAACGCGCAGATTTTAAATATTCAAAATACGTGTTAAACTTAGTGATTCTTAAGCGAAAATTTTATCCCAACGGTGATGGTCAGGACAAAGGAGCCGTTGATGCCCTGGTCCGAATCAAAAACGCGCGGCGTGATACCCGGTTCAATGTTGACTAAAGCGCCGACTGCCGGTTTTCAGGGATGGAAGCTGAATAAGTGTCGGTTGGGTGGATGCCGTTATAAAATTGCGGGAGACAGTCGTTAACATCCTGAAGAGAAACGATTTTAAAATCAATAGACTTGCGTAAAAAATTCAAAAAGTTTTTAAACTAAAAAAATATTTGTCATTAAGCTGTTAAAGAATATTTAAAAAATACTTATCATTTCGTAAATGAACAAGTACAGTAAACATATATGCGCATTTAACTACAAAATACAAAATGATGTTAGTTATTCGTTTTGCAGTTCGATATGCAAAAAAAAATACTGAAAACATGATCTTAAAATCTGCGATCCTTTGACACGTTACACCGAAGACTATACCTCGATAATAATACTGACTTGCACCGATGCCGAAATTCCCGGTGTGACCGGCAGCTCCGTGGCAACAATCGTCAACCCCATGGTCCCACCGATGGTGTGTGCCTCGCGATCTGACGGTTGCGATGCATACACCACACCGGTCTGCGGATCGATGGCAAAGGGTGAATTGGCCGGCTGCAGGGAATACTGTATGGGTTTCGGTATCCCACGGTCACCGCCTGCGCCAGTACATTAAACACCTCCTTCCCAATCGCGACAATGTCTGCGACATACTGCAGGCTGGGATAGATGATGAATTGCGGAGGGCGTGTCCTGGGTATTCAGCACCTGCACCACCACCCCCAGGGTGGCGGTGTTGATGCGCTGCAGCGCCGGTGTCCCGTCCATGGCGATGATGCGCAGCTGGTACATGGGCTGTGTCTCGTAGCCTAGCGGACCGGTGAGAATGATGCGGCCGGTGCCGGTGTTGGCGTTCAGCATCTCCACTTTAAATGTCTTGGCGTTGTCCAGTTCGTCGAAGTGGATCATTCCGTAAATGCCCTGGTCTTTGTCGCGGGTCCGATGACGGTGCCGGGTGGGGCGTTTCACGGCCACGTAATAGGTAGTACTGCAATCGACAAATTGAGGCTACAAAAAAAAGTTGAAAAAATTGTATTTTGTTTTTGTTCCTAGGCCTACCGATCCCTGCAGCAAACGTCAACGGTCGTAAAAACATGTCATAGAACAATAATAGTATCCACTATTTTAATATTTTTATTGCAGAATGTCACAGTAATAAAATAAACATTGAGCAACTGGTTTTAATCCATTTCAGATGTCAGTGCCCGATTTGAAGTTTCGTATCTGAATTCCTAGAGTTTGGGCACGTAGTCTTCGCCGGTCACATGTGATAAACTGCTTGCTGGACTGCAAAAGCAATAAGGGGTTTACGATTTTCTTTGTAAGGCGAAATGATATTGGCGAAATCCAACTGCAGCACTGAAGCGCCTATACCAGTAACATTATTGTAAGTTAAATTTTTATACGAGAACTATTAATTATAAAATATTGAAAATTTTAAGTTTGGCGTTAATTTACACTGTAATTGTTATATGCTGGATACCAGTCACCCTTGCCGTTTTTAAATTACGCTGTAATGCCGTTTAGTACATTACATTTGACGTCTCATCGCCCTCGTCACCGATATTCAGGGTGGAATCGTGGATTATGGGTTTACTGATAATCCCGTCGGTTAGGCTCAGCCGCAGAAGGTGCGACATATGGGCCTCATGGTCGCACTTCAGTATTTACGATTTCGATTAAAGTTAAAGTCCAGTGATGGGTTACTGAGTTTTTTGGACCTCTTACTTACTCTTACTGTTGCGATACTTTTGACTTACTTTACTGTTACTTTTTCGCTGCCACAAACGCTACTTTTACTTACTGTAAACTAATTCACCTTAAAGATTACTTACTCAGTAAGTTAAGTACCAACGGCTAAAACTTATGTTAGAAAGCAAATTTCGCGCGAAGCGCGAAGGTGACGAGCAAATTTATAGCGAAATCGTTAGAAATTTCAATAAAAATCGTATTATCAGTACAAATATCGCCAGCCAAAACTTTTCCCTACTTTTTACTTACTTTTACTGTTATTTTAGAAACCTTACTTACTGTTACTTCAGGCCCAAAACGTTAATGGTTACTGAATGCTTAATATTAGGCTACTGTTTACTGAGTAACTCTTCTTTACTTACTGTCTACTCATGCAGTAACCCATCACTGAGTTAAACGCGATACTATGTGTGCTTAAACCAGCGTGGGCAAAGTTTTTATTAGTAAACGTGGTAGCTAAACATGATAGTATTCTGTAGCAAACCTAAATTTTTTACAGGTTTTCGCGTTGTAATTACGTAATTTCTTAGACTACCCTAGATTAGACGCTTTACCTAAAAGAGGATAATTTTTTATGGCTGGACTAGCGTAATTAGTGCTGCTTACGAATTAATTGCTAGGATGAAAAGGTCACAGTTATTAGCCATGGGATGTATCTGTATGCCGCTCTTGGCAATCATGTATTATAAACATCAGATTTTTCTTTCGGTTTTTCATATTGATGGATTCTAGACAAATTTACTGAGCTCGTTATTTTGCGGAAAAGTTACTTATTTACTGTCATTGTAATTTTCTGGAAATAAATCGAACTGCTTAATTTTGTATAAAAACAGTATTTTTCATAGAAGGTCCATCATTTGGCCGTACTGCAGATAACAGTTGTATGGTAAACGTACAGTATTTCGCTTCATCGTTCAACAAAATTATCATGGTATAGCTCAAAGAAAGCCCAAAAAATTTTACGTTTTCTGGTGCAAACGTTTTCAGTATTAAAACAAAGCGAACTGAGGTTTTTCAAATGTTTCGAAAGCAAATCGAGATAGCATACAAAGTCAATGCAGCGGTCGGTCCAGACCGCACGACCGTCGTAAGCAAACTGCTTACACTCTACTCTAGAACCTTTCTGTAACCTCCAGTCAGCCCAAACTCCAAGCAAACTATGCATCAGAAATCTTTAAATTTTTTTCTCTATCTTCTAAACTGTGAGTCACTCGTTTTGAATTTGAAAAAACCTCAAAGCGTTTATCATAGCAACCTAGGGAGACTACGAGCCGTAAAGCATTGCGCTGGTGGATGGCTTACCTTATCGAGACGTAGCACCGGAAGTAGGCATGTCGCTTTTTTGCCTTAATGGTATCGTACTGCCATGGTTAAGTTTACAGTTTACATCGTTTTCAGCTGTTTTAACTGCAGCTCGGATTGGAAATTGGTAACAGTCGTCGAAATTTCATCAGCCATTGTACTATAAGTAATTTTAATGGCATCACGATGACCTCACTAATGGCATCACTACAGTAGTTTTGTGATTTGGTGCAGGAAGTGTTATTTACACACTGCGAGGCATTGATCCTGATCATGATCCGAATGCCATATTGACATTCGGCGTAAGCGCCAAGGGATCGAATGTGGTGTTGATAATCACCAGCCAACAGCCGGGCTCCCACGAGGCGAAGATCCGTCTAATCCGCAAACAAGCATCCAGCCTTACTGGGAACATCTCCGCTCTGTTTACCTTTGTACCGCGGTGGATCATATTTTACAAAAGCACATAAAAACGAGCTTGTTTCAAAAGGAACGCTTAATCCAAACACTTTAGCATAAGAAAAATGGGACATCGGCATTCGCTAGTCATAATTTGCCTTGGGACTTGGCTTTCAAGCAAAAGATACATATTGTAGTGGTACAATACATAGATAAGTACTGGCATTCGATCACTGGAATATACACAGTGATCCTTTCATTAACACACGCCAGTCACAATGAACAAATTTTGTAACAAAATAGAGCGAATTATAACTTTTGTTTGTTTCAAAATTAATGCGGTCATGTACCATTCTATCCGGATCGACCGTTAATAACAGAGTGTTATTATTTCGGAATTATGACCGGTTAAGCATGAGTTCCATGCGTAAAACCTACTGTAGCGCAATTAATATAGTACAGAAAATTCGCAATTAATATAGTACAGAGGCTTTTTGCAACTGCTCCACTTAACCATAGCCATACACTTAGCCATAGCGTATGGTTAAGTGCGAGCGTATGGTAAGTGCGGATACCATACAAACTCATTGTATGGTAGCCGACTTCCAGCGGCTCCTCTTAATTTCTGAACACTTTAACTTCACTAGAGGTGGACTTTCCAAGCACAGAAAACATCAGAGAACTTGAATTTTAATGTTTCGAAGGAACCAAAGCTACGTCGCACGAGAAAAAAAATTAAATTCGAAGACTCCCAAAAATCAGTTGCGCCTGTTCTAAGGTATCCTGCACACTGCCACTTCGATGGCGGTCGTCTAGCTACCAGATAAGTGATGGTAAAGGTATGGTTATGGTGTTTTCTGCAAAAAGCCTCTGTTACTGTGTACTGTTATTTCTTAAAGATCGCTGCAGAGTGCAGACGCTGAATTAGCTGCAAATTTCCAAATATATTTTCTGTACCGCTACTGATAAACAAATAGATCTTTACTAAATAAATATCAAGTATGTAACTAAAAACTTATTAAATAACAGAAGTGAAAACACGATGACATACTGACGTGTGTATCTTCTCGGACCTGCAGATTATCCATATTGGCGCTGGGATCAAATTTTGGTATGGTATTTTGGTATTTTTTTGGAGCCAGATGGTAGTGTTTTCTTAAGGCTGTGCAAGAAATGTAACCATAAGTAATAAGTTGTAATAAAGAGACTGTTTGTAGAAACAAGGTTAAGTCATTTGAATGTGTTAAAATGCTATTAACTGCTGACAGCTATGCAGTAGTAATTTACGTGAATGCCACTGGCACCAAAATATATGGCATTTATGTTAAATATAAATTTCGTACCGTTAGGACTTAGGTTTAAGCAAGCCGCTGTGGTATTTTTGGGTAGTACGTTGAAGGTAGTACTATGTGCGATGAGCTCCCGCTCGTGATTGGGATAATACTGCATAATAAGGTTTTCCAGATGAACAAGGCTCCGGAAGTAAATCCCTTTCGTGCAGATGTGAAAACAATCAATCTTTGTGGCTGTATCGTAGATTATGAAAAGACACAAGTCGTTTAACTAATTACTTATATGTAGGGACCTGCAGGAACTAATTTACAGTATCAGAAGTGATAGATCTATGTATTAGAAGTGTACTATTCTGGTATAATAAACGGATTGATTGATTTGTAGGCCATAACGGCCGTGCACATGCCACATGCCTACATTTGAACACTGCAGCGCACAAGCGCGCCACCTAGTGTGTAATGTGTATAATTATATGGCAGGGTGTAAAACCTGGCACTGGCAAGTGCCTATGGCGTTGCCACTGGCATGGCAAGCGATAAAACCTGGTATGTTATCCCTCTTGGCACGCAATAAAATATGGCATTTGCCAGAAAACAGGTACCACATTATTTAATACGTAAAAAGATGAAAAATGTTGACGGGTGTCTCCTTTGTACAAGTTGCAAATAAAATTGCGATGGTATCAGTAACAGTAACTGTTACATTAATAGCTGCTAATACTAAAGCCCGTACATCACAAGAGTTACAAGGCCTTATTAATTTTCTCAACGAATTATGGCTCAATCAGCAATTAATTGCGCAACGGTGTTGCACAAAGAATGAATTTGAGAACTACACTAAGCTGCAAACCACACCGCTCCACGAAACACTCTTTCCGTGTTTCGATTTGCAAACCTCTGGCAAGGGCCGTGTACGCCTAATACTGTAATGCAAAATCCTTATCGCCTACTGGGTAAGGGACACCGGTTGGCGCCCAGACAAAGTTCGCTGGAGTAAGTCGCTGCAATAATTAGAAAAATTTTACAATCGTTTCTACAGACGGTGCGGAATTATTCCGCGCCGTCTGTACACATACCTATACGCGATGGTACAAAGGTCACGGTAAAGAATTACATCCACACAAAACATATGCGGTTAAACATCCCAAGTCCCAGCAATATGCGCTCACTATATGATTTGGTAAAAGAAGCACACCATAAGACTGTAATGTGATTCTTTGAAAAGCCAAAAAACACCCGTTATTCTGCACTAAATAAATGCACCTTTAAAAATAAGGTCAACTTTTAATTGTTTTCATCATCATTCAAATTTTGTAATCAGCGGCGGCATTTGCATCCCCATATATTCGAACTGCTTTTAAATGTACATGTTCAAATGAGCACTTAAATTTCAATACGTCTTAGACTCTAGGGCGTATTGAAATTTAAGTGCTCATTTGAACATGTAATGTTTACATGTGCAGGCTTTCTGCAACCGGCACAAAGTGAAACGGCACTCATCGAAAACGGAATATCAACTATATTCATCTTTATCAGGCAAAAGCCATCAATACAATAAAAAGTGCATAAGCAGAATACTACGCAAAATGATTCACATTTAAACATTAAAAAAAACAACCAAAATCGTTAGCGCTGTCAGTCATTTTAGAACGCATACCCAAAGTGCCCAAAACACCAGCAGCATTTCCTTTTACAACAGCTAGGCTAAATCTCTGCTTTAAAAATGCGGTAGAGCGTGGCTCCCCTGTCGCGTTGCAAATCCTTCTGCCAACGAAACGAATAAGCTCCGAAAAAGACCAAAAGACCAAAAGTTCCAAAGGTCTCAACCGCAAGGGTATAAAGAATATCCCATTCTATCCACCAAGGCCTATTTACGACGTTTACTGTCTTATCAACTTAACTGAATATCAACTTAACCAAAGCTGGTGCATCGTTGCTTTTGACAGCATGTGTAAAAATTGGCATGACTGATAATTTAAAGGTGTTGTCTGGAAAACAGAATGATAAGCTTGCATGCAAAAAGGCAGTTTGCACTTGTACTGATGTACTTGTATTACGCTTGTGTGCGTATGTTTGATGTTTATGAAATTTGAATAATTATGGCGCCTGCTTTTCGTGCAACGGTACAATTTCATATCAGCACCGACCTTCTTTTTAGCCGGACCAAAGTTCAGTGCACATAGACACAACTTTATTATGGTAGTTAGTACTAGTTACCGTTCAGGCATCAAACGCTAATCACTTTTAACTCAAAATTACTGCGTTCAACCATCGTTGTTATGTATCGAGACAACTAGACGACACGCTGACAATTATACTTGCCAACAAACTACGAATAATTTTATTAGTTCAAGTTGTACGTTCCGGAACACTATTGATTGCATTTCCTTTAATCTGTCATGAAGAGTAACGATTGGAAGCGTAGCGATACTGGACACTATGTTTGACCACTCTGTAAGCGTTTGAAGCTATCATCTATGTGATGTACAACATCGAATACAAAATAATATTGATAAGAGTACAAAATAATATTGATAAGTACCGATCTTGTGAAGTGTTAAAATTATGTAAAAATTGCAATTGCGTATGCTGAATAAGATGAATGGCGAATATTACTGCTTTACTTTTATCGATCTCGTTCTAGGATCCCAATAGCGGGCTTGATAACTGATGCAAAAACGATCATGAACTGAACTGAACATGTTACAATCACCAACCAATTGCGATCGTAACCTGTTAAGTAGAGTAAGCAATTGTGGTAAATATTCAGGTTGATGTAAAAAGATATTAAGATATCTAATTTCCACTGGGTACAGTATTGTGATTTTCTTTTATTATGATAATATGTGAAGAATTGCCTTCTTGAGTCTAGTAATTCTGGTTTTTTGGCATATGCCATATTTTATTGCGTGCCAAAGGAATGACTTACCAGGTTTTATCCCTTGCCATGCCAGTGGCAACGCCATAGGCACTTGCCAGTGCCAGGTTTTACACCCTGCCTAATTATATATATATACCGTGCGTGTGGTACTAGATAGTAGTAGCAAAGTCTTTGAATTGAGCTTACGGTAGTAGATACTCGTATATGTATATCTGTATATCTATATTCTCGCAAAAGACAAAATTGATTTTACCTTTTGACGAAGGTTTATTGCAGCATCTCGCTGCGCTCGATGCAGATTATGGTGATATACTGTATACATATAAAGTGCATATGTGACTGCCGTTTTGACTGCAGTTACAGTATTACACTGTTTTATTACAGTGTAACAAACGCAGTCTGTAATCTCTGCTTGTCTGTTCAGCTTGGCTACGATAAAATATTCTTTTACTCTAAACATCCATTAAGTTATGAGAAACAAAGTCCAGTTTCTTGCGAACTCAGAAAATATTAATATAAGTAATTCAGATCAAATTTGCGCATCATCGGATTCTGTACTTACGGTTTTTGATGCCTGGATGGTAACAACCGCGAACGATATTCTCGTCATCGTAATGCCTACATAATTACGTAACACCTACATTACGTAAACCTACGTAAGTACGTAATACCTACATAATTAATGGCTGATCGTAGTTAGCAATTACATAGTATGAAGTATGTACTGATATTCTACAGACTACAGGACCGTACGCGCATGGCGCAAGGGGGGATCCATAAATTACGTACGCAGCGAACCAGGGAGGGACGGGTCCAAAAAACGTGACAAGCTGTGACGACCCCGACGAACCCGGGGGGGAGGAGGGTGGTCATCTCCATGTATTGCGATTGAGCGAACCAGGGGCGAGGGGTCAAGCAAACGTGACGGACCGCTACGAAGGGGGAGGGAGGGGTGAAAAAACCGTGGTTTTCTGCGTACGTAATTTATGGATGCTCCCCAAGTGCAGCACTTATAAGTATCACATCAAAAATCATTGGTATTATTTGGTGATGGTATCTGTACGTATCTAAAATTTTATTATTTGATTACAATTAACAGTGAATTTTAGATCGACACAGATATGGAAACAATCACTCATTAAGCATCAATCGACACAGGCGGCCTAATTACACAGAAAATTTGATCTAAATTTGCTCCCATCGGCGCTATCCCCAAGATCGATGCTGCATTTCCTCGTTGAATTTCTATGCTGATCCGCTGGCGAAGATATTCTAAAGCGTAGTTAAAGTAGTTAATAATCTAAAGAGCAGTTATTACATCTCTTTTGAGTCTTTTCCTTTATAATTCTAACTTTCACATTGTCACAGTACTTAAGCAGCGGTTTCCAGGAACGTCTAGAAATTTCCTGAATATAAGTATAAAACTTAATGTTGTTGTCTTGGTGATGTTATTCTTATTATTATTGAGTTAATATACAGCGTAGTCCCTGCAAGAACCCTCACTCCAATAAGATAATAATTACGAGGTAAGCCTCGCGCTCCGCGCTCGGCAAGTTAGTACATATTGGAAGAGTCAGGCTGGAATTTATGGACTGTTACGAGTTACGACATCAGTTTAATTACCAATAAAAATCTTCTTACATGTACCGGTACCGGTACGTAAATGAACTGAATCAGCAATAATGAATTACGGGTATTACTCTCCGAACGTCTAATGTACGGTAGCAAGATTGTATGAATGATGAGTTAAGGGTACGCCTTTCGCATTTCTCACAATCAGCCGATTAGTATACTATAGATAGGTATGATGTTCTAACACCTATGGCATTACAGATATTCAGAGTACGGGTGGTTGTAGCTCGGTCACTAACTCACCTCCAGATTTTGCTCACGGGCGGTGGTGATAGCTCGGTCACTCACTCACCTTCAGATTTTGCTCAGGGACATTGGTGGCAGCTCGGTCAGTGTCACTCACTTATTATCAGGCTATCGCAAAAATCAAACAGCGTCACTAGACGTACAGTAACTTCGTACAGTAACGTTGTAACTTCGAAGTACTACGAAGTTACAAACTACTCGCACATTATTATGCATAATGTCCCAAATCCATGGTTACAATTGTCATACTTACTTTGTCATCCTTACTTCAAATGTGACGATGATCCTTACTTAAAGAGTTAAATTACAAAGTTCTACGCAATGTTGTTGTCAGGCTTCTCAAGTACTGTAAGCCCTTAAGTAAGAAAAATACTTTGTCTGGATCGTCCCTAAATCTCAGAAAGGCAACTTAAGATAAAAATCTCACCCGTTCCCCACGGTGGTTGACATTCTTAGTATGTTAAATATAAAGTGCCGTAAATTTTTCCGCGCCTCACTTCTTACTATGGTCCATTACGAAAGTTTTGGATGACCTCGTGTTCTAATCGTGGAGATTCAGGCTTTCCTATACTTAAAACGACTAAGAGACTTTCCGAACCTGGCAGTTCTAGGGACAATTAAAATTCAGCATAAATACCTATGGAAAATAAGACATTTCAAGACTAAGCTGGACTTAAACCGACCACGCGTTGATTACGCGTTGTGACGGTAAGGTTGTATAAATACAAGATATCGGTTGCGCTAGCGCGCGACCAGCTGTGTTTGAGATAACGAAGGCGCAGAATGATATTAGTGTTGAATTTTTCTAATTGTTTTTATCGATTTTTTTTTTAAATATTTTTTTAAATTTATTATGTGCTTTTAGTTTTAATGTAATCTCGGTTTCTATGATGCTTCACTAGAAGTATTTACAGTATAAGTGAACTGCACACCACTTGTGGTGACCTGTCCGGCGTTTTGCGCTTTCTGTTTTGAGATAAGCTTTGTGCGTTATTTGGCTTTGATTAATCAGTGTGTAAGTTATAAAACGATCGGTAAATATGTAACTGATTTTACTTGCTGTCAATGCTGGCTGTTTAATGGTGTTTCTTCGGCTTGGGGCCGCGACTTCGCTTTGTGGGGTTTGGTCGCAGACGGTTCACAAGCGGTAGTCCGGTCAATTTTTTGAAAACTGATTTGATTGCATGATCGATTTTGCTAATTTCGATTTATTCTATAATTATCGATTAATTATTTTCAAAAAATGCTTCCAATATTTAGAAATCGAAGGCTGCGGCAGAATTTGATACTCTATTTTCCTCAGCCAGTCCTGAATTATTTTTGGGAATTTTTCTGAACCGTTAATTATTCTATTTTGATTTATGAACCGCATTACTGAATTTGCCCATAAAAAAACTGTTGACTTGCAGTACCTGTTGCGTCAGCCCGAAACCAGTAAAGTTTTAGGTAAAACATAATAACGCGTCGAAGTTGTGCATTTTGCCGAATACGACCGAGGAATACAGCTCACATGGCTTTGAATCGAAATTTTCAGTTATAATTCATAAGCAAACTGTTGTTGTTTTTTTAAACTGCGAAGTACCTTTCCGAAAGTTTGTGGAACTTTTTCACTAATTTTTCTGTTTCCACGTACGATGTATGTGCCTTTATAATGTACCTTTAAAATAGTTTTAAATATTAAAATTATTTACGTAGTGTAGAAATACTAAAATGTAGAGGTAGTGACCCTGCTACAGCATACTAGCTTTCTTAACCTCTTTTCTAATATTGTATGTACTTTGGCCGAAATGAGCGCGGGCGAAATAAAAACGGCCGAAGTGATCGGTAGCCGACCGGAGTTGCTCTTAAGGTATGGAATTATGATTGCGAAGGCTAAGTTAAAATTTATGGACTGTTTAACGAGATACGACAGTCGTACGTGCTAAATATTATCCGTGTAATTACTGCATTTAAATATTTCATAAATGTAAGTTTACGAAACAGCAATGAATTACACGTTTTACACTTGGACGTCTAATGGACGGTAAGACTGTATAAACGATGAATCAATGGTACATGCCAAGGTACTAGTACACGCATTGCAAAAGGCGTACTTTGTAATATCCTATGTACTTCAGATCATCAGATCAGATCTATATGGCCACGAATGGGATACACCAGAGCCGGCAAACCAGAAAGACTGACCAAAACCAATATTATATTCTGGAAGCCCGTAGTCGAAAACCCGGCCAGATAGTATTCATATCTTTCAAAACCTCTCCCGCTTCGAACACCAAAGCGGAAGAGTTTTGGCTACCTTCACCAAATGCAGCTAAATTATTGTAATAATAAATATCATCGTGGTATCTTTAACCAGGCAATGTTGCCATGTAAACCAACTAAAATACACAACTAAAAGATGAAAGTCTTTCTACTTTTTAAATTATCAGAATGAATTTAATTAGCAGACCGACAGAGACCGTTATTACGATGGGAACGACTACATATGTAACGTTGTCATCGAGGGCAATTTCTGCACGAGTGCCGGACGGCCAAATGACCAAGCTACCGGTACTGTCCAGTGTACGCGACCCGTTAGGTGAGCGGCTGACCGAGCAGCAAGCACTGTCCAGCGCAAATAGCCCGTTAGGCAGCGGGTGACCGAGCTAGCGGGTGCACAAAGCCCGTTAGGCGAACGAATGACCGAGCTACCGGTATTGTCCAGTGTTCGGGACCTGATTGGTGAGCGGGTGATCGAGCTATCGGTACTGTCCAGTGCACAGAGCCCGTTAGTCGATCGAGTGAACAAGCTACCGGTACTGCCCAGTGTACGGAACCCCTTAGGTGAGCGGGTGACCGAGCTACCGGTACTGTCCACTGCACAGAGCCCGTTAGTCGATCAAGTGAACAAGCTACCGGTACTGCCCAGTGTACGGAACCCCTTAGGTGAGCGGGTGACCGAGCTACCGGTACTGTCCAGTGTACGCGGCCTGATTGGTGAGCGGGTGACCGAGCTATCTTTAGTGTCCAGTGCACAGAGCCCTTTTGTCGATCGAGTGAACAAGACCGTTACTGTCCAGTGTACAAGACCCATTAAGTAAGCGGGTGACCGAGCAACCGGTACTGTTCAGTGCAAAAGTCCCGTGAGGTGGAGGAGTGACCGGCCAGCTACCGATATTGTCCAGTGTACGGAACCCGATAGGTGAGCGGGTGACCGTGCGCTACTATCCGGCGCAAATAGCCCATTACGCAAACGAGCTAGCAGGTGACTGAGCTACTGGCACTGTCCAGTGCACAGATTCCTTCAGGATAAAGCAGTGACCAAGTTAATGGTATTGTCCAGTGTACAGATATCCCGTCAAATGAACGAGTGACCGAGCTTCCAGCCTTCCACTACCCAGATTTATCAGGTGAAGATTCACAGAATCATGAATTCAGCAGTGAGAATTTTATTTTGATTTGAGAGAATCATGAACTGATTAAAAAAGCATAAAAAATAAAATTCCGTGTTTTTATATGAAATCCGTTTTTTGCGCTAATAGCCTAATACGATGTATCGATTATGTTTCGACAAAATAGGTTATTCTAATAAATATTATTTGAAAACTAAATAAAGTGGCCGTTGACCACAAGAAACGCGGAGGCGAAGCCGAGGCTGTTTGTTGTAGTCTTTATTACGCCACGATATCACGCCATGAGAGATCTTCAGAAATTCTGTCGAAAAACCCTTTGAAAAAAATGGCCCGGCACAATCAAACATAACTGCATAGTGCATCCCTACCTCAAAATTTTAGAACTGTTTTATTTCATTAGAAAAGAGTTTAAGATTAAGCTAGTTCGGCGCAGCGAGGTCCCTATCCCTATTTTTTGTACTGTTCCAACACTTTGAAATCAGTTGAAAATAAGTCGAAATGCGCAGAGTTCCCGAAAGGTTGTGAATGGTGTTGCGCAGTTTACTTCGAGGTGAATCTTTAAAAACGAGAGTTGACAACTTCGACACCTAAAACTTTGAGTCACCTAAAACATACATGGCTAGCACAGCAGGAACTTCGTAAACAATTGTTTCCTTATAAGCAAATACAAGTAATACGGTGCTTGCACCTATTTAGAATAATTATCTTTAATTAAGAAAAATATGTAGAGATAATTCGGAATTGACCGAGGAAATGTAGCAGTTGTGCCGCAACGGCGCATTATATTCAGTTTCTCAATTTTGAATAAATTCGGTTCAATAATTTTCGAATAAATCAAAATTACAGTAGTAAAATTGATCATGCAATCAGATCAATCTTAAGCAAGGTAAGAAATTGATTTGATTGATAGCGAGTTGATAACGAGTAACTTAAAATTCGTATTTCCTAACCGTTTTGAAAATCAGTAGTACTGGAAGCCATGTAAGGCGATGAGGCATATTTCAAAACATGATGCACGAAACGCCGGACAGGTCACAGGCTCGCGCTCAAGCTCGGACTTGGACGCTCTGTATCTGTACATACATACCGTAAGTGGGGTATATAAAACGCTAAAATATTCCGAATAACTACTCATTAGGAAAATGGCAAAATGTACAATCGTATGCGTGCATTTTCTGGTTAATCTGAATATTTTAGCACTTTACACCCCAAGGTGCTTATGGAGGCCGTCGTATTTTCGGATAGGTGCACAAACATTTCTCGACTTTTGCATTCTTCGTTACAGAAATGGACTATTTCATGCGCGGAAGATGTTCTCCCAGACGCTTGAACATCGCAAACACAGTTTTGGTAAATTTCGGAGATGGCACATGGTACCTGGGGTATGCTCAGGATGCCCGCGATAATGCTTTCTTCATTGATTTTGACTGCGTCAAAATTAAGCCGTTGTGGGTGGGCTCGCAGCATGTTTGGCAGCATCAACTTCTTTCCGATGATTATGAAACTAGTGCGACGAATTCCGGTGTTTATGTGGCCCTACGAAATGAGAAGCAAGATCCGTATGTGTTCCACCCGGGAGTCATACTGAGTTACAGTCCCCGGAACTGTTGGATGTGTTGTGTCCGTGTTGCTTCCAACGGCACGGAGGAAAACACCGTCGGTCATTTTGACGTTGTGCATCGCTGGCAACTAATTGCAAAGTTACCTTCTCTTACGGATCGATTCGATAGAGTGCCATACGTTAGACATGTCATTTCTCTAGCGAATTGTCCCTCGTTAAAAGCCGTTGATGCGCACCAAATCAATACAATCCTAAACCATGTTTACCGCAATAATGAGGACGGCACCGAGCCCGGTCTGGATCGCCTTTTTGTGCGAATCGATGAATACACAATTACTTTTTTGATGTGGCATATTGAGATTTACCAACTACCAATGCAATCACAGTGCGGTGATTGGACAACGATAAGCAGTGATAGAATATATTATGCCTTAGATGCTTTCTGCCGGCCGGAGCAGCTTTTCACAATTGACCTGCGGGAAGTGGAAATTTGTCGCACCACCGCCACCATCACAGCATCACTCTCAGGTATTCGGAAACTGATAATTTGGAGCTTGCGTATGTGCCTTGGTTTGGTTAGGTAGGTATAGGTCACCACAGCTGTGATCTACAATAATAACGTTTACAAGAAACAGCCTCGGCTTCGCCTCCGCGTTTCATGTGGTCCATCACTTTATTGATTTCAAATGAATATTCGTATTAGTAAGTACTTCTACAACATCTATATTTTGCCGATCCAGACTCAATGCATGACAATTGCGCGAAAACACGGATTATATATAAAAATCAATTGTTGATTTTCTCAGATGAGTATTGATTCCCTCAACTGAATTCATGATTCTCAACCTCAACCTGCTGGTTCTCAGTAGTGGTAGCTCGGTCCCACGTTCACCTACCGATTTCCGCACACTGGACAGTACCGGTAGCTAGGTCACTCCTTCACCTAACGCCTTTGCTGTTACAGTACAACAAAAACTTTTTGACTACACATTTTGCGGACTTTAATTGCGAATCGCACGTTTAATTTATTGTCATATAATTTCCTACGTTTTCTCTGAAATTATCGATGTGAGTATTTTTTGCATTTAGAGATCTAGAATCTAGATACTGATGTGTTCACTGCATGCCTGAGCATACAATAGACTAAATATAAAAATAAGTACAGTAGTTTTACAAAATAACGAAGTATGTCTCATTCTTAATTCTTTCATTGTTGTGTTTATAAGCATCCATCGTTTACTGTATTATGAAAATTTCTGGAGCATGCTGGCTTTACTGACCTCACCTTCCTTAAGGGTTAAGGGATTTGGCCCGGTACATACCTTGCACCAAATTCGTGTACATCTACGAGAACTTTCGCTGTCGCGCACTCCCAAACTCTTTTTTGCATTGTTTTTGGAATTTTGTTACCCTCATTACTCCGCAACCGGATGTTGCGCGCGAAAACGGCTTTCAACGCCTACGTATACCATTCTTTTGGCTACAAAATATCATAAAGCAATGCAAAAACGAGTTTGGAATTACGCGACAGCGAAAGTTCTCGTAAATGTGCACGAATATGGTGTTATGCACCGGGCCAAATCCCTTAATTAACCCGATCCACACTATGCGTGTTAGACCGACATGTTAGAGGACTTCTTCTCTGCAGTCCGTTGTTATGATCACAGGTTGCTTCTATTGGTTTTGTTTCAAAGAAGTTACGAGTATGTTAGACGACAGTTTAAAATACATAACCGTAAGCTGAGTCATATCCGGAAGGTCCAGAGGGTGACCAAACATGATTAAAACTGACCAAACTGGGCTCCCGGAGGTCCTGCTTGTCTGTACAGCCACCACCACATCAGATAATTACCAAAAAAATCACAGAACTAATTGCGCAGTTTTATAAAAACTTGAAGCAAAGTTTCGAAAATTAACGCCCACTGGCCAGTACTGGTCACTTGCAAATCCCATGTCCGTTATAACACGGTTGGGCACGGTACTATTTTATTAAGGGATTTGGCCCGGTACATAGCACTAAATTCGTGTACATTGGCGGGAACTTTCGCTGTCGCGCACTCCCAAACACTTTTTTGCATCGCTTTATGGTATTCTGTAGCCAAAAGAATTGTATACGTAGTTGTGAAATCCGTTTGCGCGCGCAACATCCGGTTGCGGAGTTATGAGGGCATCAAAATTCCAAAAGTTTAAATGCATCCAGGTGTACCAAAAGTCTCATTATGGACTGACCCCTTTCAAATTTTGCACGTAAATGCACATAACCATGAAGATTGTTTTGGTACGGATCCAGACTTCTACAATTTTTTTCGAATTTTAAAATGAATTTCAAAAATTTTTAAATTCATTTTAAAATCTAAAAAAAATTCTAGAAGTCTGGTTCCGTACCAAACAATCTTCATGGTTATGTGCATTGTCAAAATTGAAAGATCGATCCATAATGAGACTTTGGTACATCTGAATGCATTTAAACTTTTGGAATTTTGTTACCCCATAACTCCGCAAATGATGTTGCGTGCGCACGATTCACAACTACTATACAATTCTTTTAACTATACATAAAGCAATGCAAAAAAGTATTTGGGAGTGCGCGACAGCGAAGGTTCCCGTGGATGTACACGAATTTGGTGCTATGTACCGGGCCAAATCCCTTAATAAGTGTCAAGAATTCATATTAACTGACAGAAGCGTCCTACAAGACACAATAAACAATCAAAATAAAGCTAAAAAAAAGCTGTATTAACTGACTTGTACATAGTGGTCAGTGAAGTGACCGTTGGTCAGCAATGACCGGAAATTCGAAAAACGTAATTTTTGATTAAACGCAATTAAAATTAATGTGAAGAAAAGGCAAACAAGTTGTGTAATGACCGCTGTGAGTAGCTCTGAAATTGCTATGACCCGTACTACCCGGAACAATCAGAATTCAAAAGATTTTGCAGTGTACCTGCTTGCGTATAACGCCGTTATTGCCATGTACTGGGACCTACCAGCTACTCTATTGTTCCAGAGAAAAATCGTATATTCTTTGCAGATTATGTCGGAGTTAAACTGTAGTAATGAGTGTAAAATCTTGCAAAAATTATTAATCTCGTGTCTACACTTCGCTAATTGAGCACCAAAAACATTTGAACCTTCCGGTTCATGAGCGCTTGCAACTTTAGAAACTTAGAAACCAGTCTGTGCAAAGCGGTCGGTATAACGGAAGAGAGCATTTGGGAGTAAAGGCAGCCTCCGTTTATGCAGCTAAGCATTATTTAGCAGCGGTGCCGACATAGACAGTGCAAAGTGTAATCAATCACTCACACACAATTTGGATAATTCGTGATGCTTAGGGAGTCGGCTAGCCTACCACCACAAGTCAACTAACAGAACTGCCTTCCTTTGTAAATACGAGCATTTGTTGTTTTCTATAAAGTTTAAACGTAAGTTAGATTGAACGAGTAGGCTTTTTGGCAGGGTTTTATCTACGGTCTGGACAATTGGTCAAGTGACCAATTGTCCAGACCGTAGAGCAGATGTGACCAACTGTTGCGAAATATCGAAGTAGCGCTTATGTACTGGTGCATATTGGGTTTTCTTCGTTTCTGAATTTTCCTTGACCAGTTATAACCTGTTATAATGATGACGATGATATAAACCTTTTGTTTATAACAGATGTTGATGACCTGTTATAAACGACAATGGATAACATGTCGGAGCAACATGGTTCCCAAGCGTGTTAGCTCGACATGGTCATCTCCTGCTTGACCTATGGTCGCTAAAATTCTGAAAAAAATATTTTTTCCTTAACTGAATGTTTCTATCCCAAACTACCAATTTTCAAAACTATAGTCCCATCCCTTCTAGTACCCGGTTTTCCTGGGTTAATAGAAAGTGGCCGCTGCTTTCTAAAGTTTTAGAGTTTTCCAAAAGATTTCAGTGATGTTGCTAATAATTAAGCGCCTGATTGTTACTTTTTACAGAATTACTTTGTTACCTTCGCGATGCTTATTTTCATTTGTTGGAGCAATGGTCCTTATAAGAACCATGCTGTGTATTTATGTATACGTATTTATGCAACAACAACAACAACAACACCAACAAAAACACCAACAAAGTAAGTATTACTATTTTGTTGAACTTAATCAGGAATTTGGTTTCAGGCAACGAAGCGCAAATCAGCATCATTCCGCTAGAAATTTTATGGGCAATAATGGAATATCTGGATCTACATTCAAAAGCTTCAGCAAAAAGGTAAGCTTTGCAAACATCTTTATTAGGCTAGGTTTAGATTAAAACTTGAACAGTCTCAGAAATCGATACAACAAAGGTTTTCGGTATTTGTCTTACCATAATATTACTAAACTAACTAATAGTAATATTTTGGTCTTACGGTTAGTTTATTAATATTATGGTCTTACGATTATCGTATCTATATTTCGATATCTTATCTGCAATAGATGTACATGGGTCATGGAGTAGTAAGTAGTCTGAATTTATTACTCACTTGATTGGTCTACTCTTGGATTATCGCTATTAGCCGAGCACAATCTGTTGATAGAAAAATTATACAAAAACAATAGCCGTACTTGATAGTTTGTATTATGCAACAAGTTGCATAATACCAAGTACGGCTGCAACAAGTACGGAACAAAAATTCATGATGTCATTCCCGTTCAGCCAATAAAGGCAAAGTACACATCTTCCTTCTCAACCATGTCTCTAAATGTACCGAGAACGGAAACTGCGTTTTCAGTTTGTAGTAAGCACATTAAGCAGTACCCCATTGATATTTCGGTTGTGCCATACCCTTAGCATACTCAAATGTTTATGTACTTCTACGGAGAAACGTTTTCGGAGAGAAATCTAGAGAAAAAAGACTTAGCGACAAAATAAGTTAAAGTCAAATTGGCGATACATAATATATAGACTGATAGGGGTAATCAGGCTGGAAATCGTCAAATAAGTAAAAATAATGAAAGGAAACAATAGTTTACTTACCATGGATAGACAGAATTTTTATCGGCATTTGACTGAACGAAGGAAAAATTCAGGAAAAGTATTTAGGGCGTATGAGGAATATAAAACGGCACTGTCAGCACATGTGCTTCGCTTCGTCTGATATAATAATGGTGAAATAAAGAAGCGCATGAATACTGAATGCCCAGGTAATGACTGCGCACGTGTCTGGCACATCGATTTCCTTTTTTATTTTGGCATTGCAGGGTATGTGTGGACTGGAAAGCGGCAGTTGTTCTATCTCAAACATCGTGTGTCCTGCTAGATCTTCGTGGGATTGACTTTTATCGCCCAGGCCATCAATCTGGTTTGGCTATGAAGGGATATCACCTAGGAGTCTTACTGAACTGGTCAATCACGCCGAAAAGCAAAGCCCTTGTTCTACTAAATGCCGGCTACAAGGCCATTCCGGTGGTTTCCACTGTGCTTAGTTTGAAAAGGACTGTCTTGCCTGTTATTTTATTGAGAAACTGCAGTACTTTTTCGGAACTTTTTATATACAAGGAACACTTCCCTTTTTCTGGTGAACCCAGACAACATTATTGTGCAACATTATCGCCGCTGGTTCCACACTGCAAGCGTTTATTGGTTTTCCATTGGACAGTTTGGTTCCACGTGTGCCAGTGTTACCAAAGCAGACCTTCTGCACTTCAAGATTTCAGAGGCGTAGTAATTCCATCGCTAGCCCTTGACAACTCCATGAATTCTGCAGAAATCGTGAAATGTTTTATAAAATTCCTGCCACCAGCCCCTTCCTCTTCAAAAGAACGCTTCCGAAATTTCCATGGCCGATTGCTGAAGACCATGCCGTATCCGGAAGGCTGGCAAAACTTCAGATATCTGTTAAGGAGGTAATAGCACTACAGACTACAGAGTATAATTTCTAAACTAGAGTTTCCGTAAATCAACGGCACCAGTATAAGTAATTCTGATAAATTTCGCTATCAGATTTGGTAAGATTCTTCTTGCTTTTGAGCATCATATACACCAAGCGGCAAGCAAACAATTAGCGAAGTTGGGCACAATGTTAATCCATTGTGTACTGCTGTAAAGTGGTACTCCCCGTCGGGCGATGGTTGCTGGGTGGACTGTTCGCACGGTACTGTACTTACATAGTAGATACCGAATGCAACTGTGCACGGCATCTATTTCGAGGACAATCGGTTGGGTGAGCTTGTTATTTGACCTTTTCAGTTCGAATTTGAGCTTTGTTGCTTTGCAGCCATGCATTTACCGATAAACCACCGGCGGATCGATTCTGGGATGACTTAGACTTGCGAAACTTCGAAGAACTGCCTCTTAATAGGCTCGTGATCGACTTGGTTGTTCATTATGTTGATACTGTCTACGAAAGAATCAGCGTGGAAGATGTGCCGCTATTGTGACACAATATTCCAGCGGACGCCAGAATCCATGGAGAATATACAAATCAGTTTTGTTTCTGCTACTTTAGTAGCACATGTTCCCTGTTTGTTATTATTATTATTATTATTATTATTATTATTATCTTCCTGGATCCGGAGAAGACAACCCTTTCCGAGACTTCAACAATGACATTACAGTTGTTAAAATGACATTGTTTTGTCTGGTCGAAATAGTAAAGTAAAATAAACAAGCGAAGAAAAGAACCACCCAGTTAGAACTTCAAGTCAAACGCCTTCAAAGCAAACTTAAAAAACCCAACACTTTCGGAGTTCAAAATTTCCAAGTTAACTTTCTGCACATGCTCAAACAGCTGTTTTAGCCGCGAAGCGGAGTGGACTCGCCGATCTTTTTCTTCACTTTCGTATCGACACGGCTGCCGATCCGCAGGTTATAGTGCTGTTTCGTATCCCGGAAGTTCGCAAGTCGGGACTGATAATCTGGCAGAGAAAATTTGTCTTTGTTCCAGATCTTGAAAAGCCACACTGCTTCGCTCTGCTTGCATCGATGGAGGATGGGAGTGACTCCAAACTCCTGGTACAAGGTCCGGTTGAAAGGGCCTTTGTATCCATTCATGGCTCGTAGTGCTTTGCGTTGTAGCCTAGCCAGCCCTTCCTTCAGTGCCACAGACGCCGGCGACCACACGGTCGAACAATAGTCCAAATGTGACTGGACGCAGGCGTGATAAAGGCTCCGAAGTTGAGATCGGCCTAGCCCTTCCCTTGCCCGATCAATCATTGAAATTCCAAAATTTGCGTTCTTTTCGACCCTCTGGAAGTGCTTACTGCATCGCTATACCGAAGCAAGCCAATGCCCGACAGCCGGATGACTACCGCCCTATTTCCCTTGTTTGCAATCTATCCAAAGTATTTGAGAAAGTAGTGCAGAACCAGCTAGTGGCAGCTCTGAAAAGAAACAACATCCTATCCGACAAGCAGTCTGGATTTAGGGAAGGTCATTCCTGCGAAACACTGCTACTTAAAGTTTCAGAAAGATTGCGAAAAGCCATGGATAAGGGGCAAGTTACTGCTGTATGTCTTTTGGACTTGAAAAAAGCGTTTGACTCTGTTTCCCATGCCAAACTTATCGAAAAACTAAGAATGATCGGAATTGAAGGTAACGTGCTGAAGTGGTTCCATGGATACTTAACCAGTCGTAAGCAGAGAGTGAAAATGACCGCGCGTGTTTCGGACTGGCTACCAGTGCGGTCGGGGGTGCCACAGGGGACATTGATGGCGCCGGTACTGTACACGGTTTATACAAACGATATGACGAACGGAAGCGACGCAGAATGTTTTGCGGATGACACTGTACTGTTCGGATGCGGTGCCAGCAAAACAGAAGCAGCAGCGAAGCTAACCGTGCAGGTTAACAACGTAACTGCGTGGCTTGCAGACAACACCTTGTGCATCAACGAGAAGAAGTGCAAGTTAATGTACATCTGCTCGGAAGCAAAGAACAGCCAGCCCTCTCCTGCTGTAATGATTAACGGTCACCAGATGGATGCAGAACAGTCGGTAAAGTATCTGGGAGTTTACTTTGACCGCAACCTGAAATGGGGAGTGCATTATGACCACGTACTGCGGAAAGTCAACTACGGCATCGCTATGATAAACCGCGCGAAAGACGGCCTGGATCTGCCTCAGCGTAGGAGCCTTTACCATGCCTGTGTACAGCCACATCTTGACTACGGGTCAGGTACGTGGTCACCGGCATCTTCGGCTTTACGCGGCAAGTTGGACAGGGCACAGCGGAGAGCACTGCGGGCGATTTCTGATTACAAGGAGCGGGTTACACCCGAACTGTATCAGAAACTGCGCATCCTGCCGGTGTACGACCGTTGGAAGCAGTCGGAAGCGGTTTGGTTGTATAAGATCTACAACCACGAAGCATACCGTCCTCCAAAGTATATGGTGGAAATGATCGACTTCACAGATTTGGGAGCGCGTTACAACCTGCGGAACCCGACGAGAATTGCTGCCCGTGCGAAGACGAAAATTGGAGAAGGCACGCTGGCTATGCGACTAAAGAACATTTTTGAGCGCATACAGAAACATAACATGCAGATACTCAGTGTTGATGGTGTGGGATTTTTCAAATTTGCTCTCCGAACTGTTGATCTGTCTTAGCAATTGCTTTTTTGTTTAGCTTTTTACCGACCAGACGTTGAAGTCCCGTTTAGCGGGTTGTCTGCTCCTGATGTAATAATAATAATAATAATAATAATAATAATTTAAGGTGCTGATCAATGTCGACTCCCAGGTAGCGTACGCACTTTTCCACCTCCAGCGTCTGATCGTTAAGTTTCACTGACGGTTGAGAATTATCTCTGTGCTGCTCTGAACAGACATACATCAGCTTGCATTTCCGTTCATTTAAGCACAAAGAATTTTCGCTGAACCAGGAAGTTATTCGACCAAGCGCCTGGTCAATTTTCTCCGTAATAATTAATTACGTGCTTTTTAATTTTAAATAGGATTCTGGTATTCTGCAGTACCATTTCGGCATGACTCGTTCTAATGGCTTTTTCAAGGTGTTAGTTACTTATAGTTAGTTAGTTTAGTTCAGTCTGAGATCGCAGTTAATCCAATGAGCAAACAAACCCTAAACGCACTAAAAGTCTAGTCATGGTCAGCAGGAGGACGTTCAAGTAAAAGCGAACCACTGCAATATAGAACAACAAAAAACTAGAACCATTACCGGATGTCCTTTAGTTTCAGTAAGAACGGGTGAACAGATAATCTCCAATGGAACCACAGCCAAAAACTTCATGACTATGATTTTTCTCACACTCAGTAGTCAGTAGTTTTACCAAACAATGATTTCCGCCTCATTGCCAGGGCCGTCTTTCCAGTCTGAGCTCGCGCTGCGATGTAGATGCGTTCCTCGGAGGAGCTCTCGACGGAGAGCATATTTCAGCGCTAGTCTCTTTAAATGGGATGAATTCACACATATACGGTGGTACGTTACATTTGTCCAGGTTGCGAATCTTATTCCGCCATGCTGCGTTTTTGGCGCCACCGGCCAATTGCTGCAGCTACACCCAGCCGTTAATGCAGTTCCGGTGTCCCGGTCGCTGTTATTGGTTGGGTTGGGGGATGTTTGGGTACGAAGATGATTGGGATTAAGTAAGTAGCCTTTGAAAGTTGTAAGTTGTTGCAGACTGCTAAAAAAATTTTCTGCTTAAGGAAAATGGCCCGGTACATAGCGTCCAAATGGTATACATATTACATATACTAAAACTTTCGCTTGTGCGCACTCCGAATCACTTTTTTGTAATACTTCATGTCATTCTAAAGCTAAATGATTTGTTTACATTGTCCTGAAAACCGCTTGCGCGCGCAACATCCGGTTGCCGAGATATGGTGCAACAAAATGGGCGAAAAGGTTAAATGCATTGTCGTGCACCAAAAGTCTGGTTATTACCCGATTTTCTTGAAACTTTGCTGTAAAAAATACATGGCCATAAGGTCGAAAGTGAACCAATTTCAGGTTCATACCATTTTCCCATAATTTTAAAATGAATTCTAAAATTTTTGAAATTCATTTTAAAATCGGAAAAAATGCTGTGAATCTGAAATTGGTTCACTTTCGACCTTATGGCGATGTGTCTTTTACAGCAAAGTTTCAAAAAGATCGAGTAATAACCAGACTTTTGGTGCGCGACAATGCATTTTACATTTCGCCCATTTTGTTGCACTATAACTCGGCAACCGGATGTTGCGCGCGCACACGGTGTTCAGAACAATGTAAACAAATCACTCAGCTTTAGAATGACATAAAGTATTACAAAAAAGTGATTCGGAGTGCGCGCAAGCGAAAGTTTTAGTGTATGTATACCATTTTGGACGCTATGTACCGGGCCATTTCCCATAAGTCGGGAATATGCGGTAAAGCGTATTTCCATTCGCGAGCAAATCGCTGGAAATTACTAGTGCGAGTATAACATGCATTCTCATATACAGCATAACGGTATAACCGGCTTCGCAGTCCTTACCTGGTTAGCTGCGCCTTTATCCCTGAGCATTCGCTGCCAAAACTGAAAAAAATTTCGACATACTTTTACGCGTTATCGGTATCCTTCTGTTAACGGGTTCATGGATTTGCTGCTCCGCCGTGTGCTCTTGATAATCACCCAATAGGGCCGCACCGGCTGTACTTTCCCACAAACAATCTGATCATCCAAGCGGCCGTTGGATCGCCTCACTCGATTAACCACCCAACCCGTAGTCCATCAGGATCTTCGGAGCCGTGACGTGTTTACCGCTAATTTCGACTGCAAACGTGTGGTCGTATACGCAGATATCCATTCTCATCGGCCGACAGAATTCGTTTTACGCTTCAGATTCCTTTGAACCTGTGCCGATTGTGTTCATCGTGTACCAGTTTGTCATATTCTGGTGGATTTTTAATACCGGTCCGCTGTTATTGACGCAGCTGCTGTTAGGCACTCTGATAACCTTTGCGCACTTCCAAAACCAGACGGCAGACGCTGCAGCGCATTCTGACTTGGCAGAATCAACTGCGGAGTAAACTGCGCAGTATTTCCCCGGGGAACAGCGTCTTGTTGAGTGTGGATGTATCGCAAATGGGGAATGTGCACTACGAGACAGTGGCGCTGTGTGAGCGGCTGAATGCGACCTTCAGTCGGGCGTTGTTTTTTATTTACGGACTGGACTGTCTGACCGCGTTCGGCAACGTGGCCACGCTCGTGGCGGGCTTTGCCTATGAAGGGCAGAAATTGTCGCCGCTGTATGTACGGATCCCGGTTGTTTATGCTGTTATGGTGTTCCTGTCGCACGCCACGGTGTGTTTGATCCCCATGGCACAAGTTGAACAGACGGTAAATCCTTGTGTATGTATTTCGATTGCACACCGATTATGTAAATATTTCTCGTGACACGATGGGCGCTGCGGGTATAACCGTACGCATTACAACAGGTTGTATTTGTACTGTACATGCTGTATACTCGTAATTTTCATACACTGCAGGGTCAGCAGATTGCCGATGGTTATTATCGACTGTGGGGTGTCGTTCAATTGAATCGCTTGGGAGATGTGGAGAGGCCATCAGCCGCAGTAAGGCATTAAAAATTGTTTCATCTGAATAGAAAGCGAAAAGCAGTTCGCACGTTAAATCGAACAAATCTAGTCACAAAATACTCACTTTACGCGATTATATAAGGGGCGAAAGTAAACGCGTTCCACCGTTCCCCTGTACTGCTGCCGTCACCCGCCTGGAGTGTGACGTTACGGCAATACATGTGGTTAAATCTGGCGCGGTACATAAGCGCCATGTTCAGCCACAACGTCAAACTCCAGTCGGGTGACGGCAGCAGTACAGGGGAACGGTGGAACACGTTTACTTTTGCCCCCTATATACAGTAGATAAGCGACAATTATTTTTATTTTTGAGTTACGATACGGAATATTTTTGCAGAGCGTTATTGCTTTTCACGAATTAAAAAAACGAAGTACTTTTTAAATGCCAATTTATGCTTTGTCAGTACTTTGTAGAAGCGATTTGCTAGTTAATATGCAGTTTCGGTGAGCGATGAGATACGCATCCATTACACTACAAATTTTCCTACTGCATTGCAAACTAGCGTCCAAGCCGTTGAAAACGTATGTAGCCAGTACGAGTCATACATGTACGCATACGTACGTATGCATACAAATCGCACTGCACCATGAAACAAAAAGGTAGTCATGTTACATCACATACTGCAATGAAAGCGATATGTACATATATAATATTTGCGACTGTTGCTCTAGGAAGCACCGACTCTCGGTGAGGATTTCCAGCGACTAGGAAAAATCAGCGAAAAAGCCGTACCGGTTTTCTATGCTGGACATGTGTGCCGGATAACGGGGCACTTCATCGCCAAGGTAAAAACTTCTAGCAAGTTTGTTTGGTTTTAAAATTTCTGCAGTCGACCTTCGCAACGTAAGCGGAGCGGAAACGCCGATATAAATTACAGCCTAATGCTTGTAGACCTTAACGTACATGGCATCGTTCGTCATTCTGGCATGCGAAATTGTGGATGTATCGGGTGTACGGGATGGTCTGGAGAAACTGCACAAAATCGTCCAAAGTCACATGAATCTCTCCAAAATTTTTTTTAATAATTCCGATATTGATCGGAAAGATTAATCACGGTACTAGTGCCGTTTTTTCACGATCTGTAAGTTGCAACATATATCTTCTTCGATCCTTACGAGAGGCCGCATTCGAACCCGTACACAAAATAAACAGCCATTTACGGTATCCGACGCTTTTCGAGTTGGTTACGCAGCTCTCGATCTGTGGAAACTGCGAAGTACTGTATTATATTTTGATAGCTTTAGTTCAGTATGCCGTACTTTTTGCCGGTCACATTTTTTGACTTTCATGGAATTAAAAAAAGGCCGGGACGATTCCAGCTTTAAATTGTACTGAACAGATTCCAGCTTTAAATTGTCTATATGCTGTCGATCAGATGGCGAAATATATATTGACACAGCCGCTGCTCTACAGTTTTCTAGCTTTATTGCCAACTAAACCTAACCGTCAGATAAACTACTGACTAGCCGACTCACAGTATAAATTAACAGGCTGGTCATGTTACAACAGCACGTAATAAAGGCACGTATATATTTTTGTAGAACCCATTTAAACCCAACAAAACTAAAGAACAAACCGGGAGCATATAAGAGCAGCACTATACATTTCACCACGCTACTGCAGTATTAACTAAGGCACCAAATGGAAGCACTTCCGGTGGTTATCATTCAACAGAGCCGGTACAGTATCTAACACTAATAATAATAATATTAACATTATTTAAATAAAACAGCCGAGGCACACAGTGGAAAAACGCAACGCTACCGCGGACAACAGCTCGGACGATCTGTTTCCGCCGAAGAAAAAAAAACAGAATCACAACGAAAAACTCATTCCGCATGATGATAATCCACCGTGGTTTGGGCGCGCCGCCGGGAAGATAACGAAACAACAGTTCGAAAACATAGCACAAGGGAGATTTAACATCGGATACAAATTCTCCATTTTTTTCCAGGTTTTTTGGCGTGGTTTTTTATGGACGATACATATATAATTTTCCAACATCAGATCAGGTTTGCAAAGAGGGTATGGTTGCATCATCGAGGAGGGATTTGATTATGCCGAATAATTTGCAACAAAAATGACACAGGATCGCGTGTAAAATATAACAGCGCTGCGCTTAATGATTTTTGGCTTCGACTTTCTTCTTGCCGCCACCCATTGTCAAGTTTTCTGTGTGGAACAAATGAAAACGCCAACATAAAAAACAACGAAATATCCCACAGAAAAAATAGGAAAGTCCCAAACCAGGAGAAGAATTAAAGGAAGGAAGAAAGGTCACACACGACATTGTTAATCAGACCGTCACCACCAACATCCATATACACAGACAGCGTGCACTTACTGTTAAACATGCAGAAACACACACTTAATTTATCACAAGTTTTTGTCCTTATCATGCAGATGCTCCCTAAATTTGGGACCTAGAAGGAAACGCACAGGGTAACAGGGCATGCAATGAGCAAGACACAGGGAACCGGAAACACACAAACAAAAATAAACCATGCAGGACACTCTCACAGTTAGAACGACAACTACAGTGTCGATTACCGGTGGAATTATTCGTGCAGCGTTTTTGCGGAAAGTGCACAAAAAACCCTTTTGCTTTAACGAATTTTGCTCGAACTCAGTCGTATTACGCAAATTTAACAAACCACTATTTTTACTTATAATCCATGCGTGTATGGATTGTTTTCGAAATAGCGCAGTAAAAAAATATTCTTTATTAAGTTAACTGGATAATTTAAATAATTAATTTTGTGATCAACTAGAATACAAATAATCATGAAATTCAGTAGATCATTTTCTGCTAATTTAAAACGCTTTTACTAATACAAAACGTAACTAACCTAATTTAAAACGTTTTATTAGTACCGGAAAAAAATTAGACGTATTTTAATACTGGAAAAAGAACTTTCGGGTTTCTACTTTTTATTGGTTATTTAAAACTTAAAGATATAAGTAAAGAGAAAAATGTTAAGGATAAAAGCAAAGCAGTGACGATTAAATTATGAATTTTACAAGCTGTGGGATCTGATGTTTGCAGATATAAATCCGCCACCATTTAACGCGGTAACTGTACTAAAGCGGAGAGAACCGAACACGACAACAACAACACAGGAAACGCGGTGTTTGACTTGTTTTTAATCAAAGGGTGAACAACCAAAATAACCACACGGAGGATAAATCAAAAAGAAGCAGCAAGCCACAGCACGCGCCAAAAACCAAGGTGTTGGGTATGAATAAAATCGACAATCAAAAAAATACCAGAGCGATTTAAATTACCCGGCAAATCAAATCCAGATTCGACTTGCGAGTACTCTTCCGTTATTCATCATACCGTGTAAAACCGCAGTGTTAGTTTAAATCAAATTTTTCTTAAAAAACAACAAAACAACAGGGGAGCGCAACAGTTACGATCATAAATAACCACCACTTACATATAATGTATGCCAACCAGAGAGAAAGAAAAATTAACGACGAAAATTCTCTATCACGCAAATCGAAACAAAATTCTCAATCGTCATTTCCCCTTCACTCCGCCCGAATATTTACACACAAACCCGAGACGACGACGACGATCACCGTCCCATCGACTATTGTTTTACGCGCACTGAAACGCCAGATCAACGGGCAACCTTTCCCCACCATGCATTGAAGAAAGAATTTCCCCCTAAATTACTAAGATTTTTTTAAAAATTTAATTTTTTTTAATTAAAAGAAACAACACCGTAATTTTAGTTTTTTCCGCCCAGCGTGGTAGGATTAAGCGGGAAGTGAGGCACGGACGTAACGAACTGGTTAAGCACAGAATTCGGGGGGTGTGTGTCATTGACGGGGAGAGAGTTGTTAGATGGGGGAGTAGGCCATTATTCCCAGATATATAGCCCAGGATGCCAGTATCCAGTGGGCTTCCATTAGGGGATTCTTACCCTCGCCGATCTTCCGCGCTACAAACTTCAGCGTCTCATCCAGCAGCACCACCGGGATGGAGATTTTTATCACGGCTATCCATTCCGTAACGGTCAGTGGGCACACTTGGAACACGTTCTGCAAATAATTAAGAAATACGTCGTGAAATAATGAAATAAATACATAAGACAAATAATTATACGGTACGGTATAATCATTTTATTATTCGGTCAAACTGCATCAAATCATAATCACAACTTGCTGCGTTTACCATCAACCCATTCTCTTATTTTAAATCTTTACGGAATATTTCTGTAATTTTTTATGCGATCTCATTAGTCCCTTTGTGAGTAATTTATGGCATATTAAAAATTTTATTCACATTGTAGATTTCAGTCAAAATTTCGTGAGTCTTCTTACCGCCAAGACGTCGATGTAGAGAATAACGAAATGCAGAGTCATGGATAATCCCATTGCACCGATCAACCACGGATTGGTCCACGGTGGCATTTGTATCAAAGACTGATTTTCCGACAGACTAGAGATTATACAACCCAGATTAATTTAAAATTCCCATTTCCGGTAATATTAACACCACAAGTCACAACCGCACTGACCTGTTCATGGCGTTCAACATTTCAATGCTGACCAGCACGGACAAAGCCATCGTCATCGGATGGGGATCCTCAAACACATCGCAGTCCATTCCACGGAAGTTCTCGGGTTCGTTGGCACAGGCCAAATGATGCGTCTGTTCACACATTAATTCCGATATTATTAAATTTTATCAAACGTCATATGCATTTTATCATATGCATTTTATACTCAATACGGCGCGAAGAAGTGGAAATAATTCCGGTAAATCGTCAGAGAAAATAAGAAAACTGTCCAAATACTAATGACGTACCAACTGATAGTAAGAAAAATATTCAAATAATAACGTACCAACTGATAATAAGACATTTGCGGTCCGGTGGGCGAAATCATGAACCACCAGGCAGCCGCTCCCACTGTTCCCGCGCCGACATATCCACCGATGGCCATGTAGCGGAAGAACAACCAGCCGGAAATCAGGCTTTCCTTGGAGCTGCGCGGCGGCTTGTCCATGATGTCCAGATCGGGTGCGTTGAAGCCCAGGGCGGTGGCAGGGAGACCGTCAGTCACCAGGTTGACCCACAGAAGCTGCACGGGAATCAAGGCTTCCGGCATACCCAAAGCGGCCGTCAAGAAAATACTACAAATACGAATAAAAATTTCCAAACCCGAAAAAATTATTTTAAAAATTCTGGGACGATACTGTCACAAAAACATTTGCAGAAATTAATAAGAATAATCAATAACAAAAATTAATATGCCATAAATTAATACAATTATTACGCATCTACTGTGGTAAACCGCTAAAAACAACATTTTATTCCGCAAAAAAATAGACAAAATGCAAATTTACCTGACGACTTCACCGATGTTGGAAGAGATCAGATATCGAATGAACTGCTTCATGTTGTTATAGATAGCACGGCCCTCTTCCACAGCGGATACAATGGACGAGAAGTTGTCGTCGGCCAACACCATCTCTGAAGCGCTCTTGGCCACCGCCGTTCCCGAACCCATGGCAATACCAATTTCGGCCTTCTTCAACGCGGGCGCATCGTTTACACCATCACCCGTCTGCGTAATCAATGTCATTAAAAAGTGATCGTCATTAAACGACAGCAACGAAGTCAGTAAACATACCATAGCCGTGATTTCACCAGCCGCCTGCAGAAATTCCACGATCTTACTCTTATGGGCCGGTTCCACGCGGGAGAACAATCGGGCACGCAGGACGGCATTCTGCTGTTCGTGGACGCTCAAATCATCGAATTCACGACCGGTGTAGGACATTCCTACAGAAGCACACATTATGCAACAACTTAAAAAAAGCTATACACTTTCACCATTCGGTTTGTCCCAGATTCAACGCCTTTATATTCAACCACTTCATTTCTGTTAGTTTCTAATTTTATTCGAATTTTACCATACAAATTCTTTTACGAAATTGCTAAGTTATTACCTTCTGTGGATTCGTTCTCGCCGAAGACACCGATGCGTCGGCAGATAGCCTCAGCCGTTCCCTTGTTATCACCCGTAATGACAATCACACGGATACCGGCACCGCGGCACTTCTGGATGGCATCGAAGACTTCCTTGCGGGGCGGATCCAACATGCCCACGACACCCACCAGCGTCATGTTGGTCTCGTATTTGTAGAAGAGGGTGGAGTCTTCCAGGTTCATTTGGCTGGGATTCATCGGCTCATCGACGGTGGCCAGGGCCAGACAACGCAGGGTATCGCGTCCGGTACCATATTCGCGGGTCTTCTCGAAGATCTTGGCCTTCAGCTGCGGAGTCAGGGGGATCTTGGTGTTGCCGACACGGACGTGTGTGCACCGATCCAGGACACCTTCCGGAGCACCCTGTAAACGGAATAAAATAGCAAATTAATGAGATAAAATATTAAAATTAAATAGGGTAATTAGTAAAATTAAATCAGAAAGCCGTTTCTACCTTGCAGAACATCTTGGCGCCACCTCCACCGGGGAATTTGCTTCCCTTGGTGGGCGAGCAGTACGAGCTCATGGACTTGCGGTCGCGAGAAAACTCCAGCGTATAATCCTTCTTCCACATGCCCTGAATGCTACGGTTGGCTGCAATACCCAGATCGCGCTTGCTCAGGCCGTTCTTCTCGGTGTTGAAGGGGTTGATCTTCTCCGCCAAGACGATCAGTGCCGTCTCAGTGGCTTCACCAACTTTTTCGTAGATGTGCTTGGTCTACAATTTCCCGTATTATTATTTTCACAAAATACTGAATAATTTTACGACAATTTCTCAGAATTATTGTTATCAATTATAGTATTTTTCGTTTGTAAAAAAATCATTATTCGCACCTCGTTGTAATCCACACTGGAGTCATTGCACATGGCGCAGATGGTGGCCATTTCCACCAGATTCTCATACTCCGTTCCCTTCACGCGGCGTCCACTGCTGTCCTTAATCTCTCCGACAGGCTCGTACGTCGATCCCGAGATCTCAAACTCATGCAGGCCGATTCCACCGCCCTCGCGCTGTTCAATGAAGAACATCCGGCTGACGGACATCTGGTTGGTGGTCAGGGTGCCGGTCTTATCCGAGCAGATGACGGACGTGCAGCCCAGTGTCTCCACGGACGGCAGCGAGCGGACAATGGCGTTCTTCTTGGCCATGCGGCGGGTGCCCAGCGCCAGACAGGTGGTGATGACGGCGGGCAGACCTTCGGGGATGGCGGCCACAGCCAGCGCGACGGCGATCTTGAAGTAGTAGATGGCGCCCTTCAGCCACGAACCGCCGTGGATGGGATCGTTGAAATGGCCGATGTTGATGGCCCACACGGCGATACAGATGATGGTGATGACTTTCGACAGCTGTTCACCGAACTCATCCAGCTTCTGCTGCAGCGGGGTGGCTTCCGTCTCCGTCTGGACCATCTCCGTGCGGATTTTACCGATTTCCGTGTTGAGACCGGTGCCGATGACAATACCACGAGCCTTACCCGACGCCACATTGGTACCCTGCAAAGTGCCATGAATTATCATAAAAAAGTATTATAAATGATTTAAAAAAATTTTGTTAAGTGCATTAAGTTAACTAGATTAATTACTAATTTGCTGTACACCGCGCCGCCGAATTTATGACGATAATATTAACGAAATAACCATCGCACCATTTTTTCTCGTTTTAAAATTGAATGTTTTTAATACCAGTAAATACTGGTATTTTAAAATATCATCATTAATTATACATATTTTAAAAAACGATTATCTGTGCCATAAAAAACCGGTACGTACCGAGAACAAAACGTTCTTCTTATCCTGGTTGACCGCCCGCTCATCCGGCACAGTATCACAGAATTTAATAACCGACACCGACTCTCCGGTCAGGATTGACTGATCAATACGGAGAGTAGTGGAAAAAATTTTCGTGAGACGAATGTCTGCGGGAATCTTGTCACCAACTGTTGAAAATACAGCCAAATTAAATCAGCATTTAATTCAAATTTACCAAAATCGCCATACTTACCACTGACTTCAACCAAATCACCCGGTACAATTTGGTTGGCTCGTATTCTTTGGATACCGTGCTTATCCGATCGAATGACTTTGGCAATTTCTGGCTCATACTCCTTCAGCGCTTCAATGGCGCTTTCGGCGTTCCTTTCCTACAATAATCACACAGAGATTTTCGAAATACCGCTCTTTACGCTACTGTAAATGTTAAAAACATTTGTGCAACAACTGTATCAGGTGGTTTCGAACTGAAATTTACCCTATTTGCTACCACAAAACCGCCTTCCAAATGTCAATCATGAGCTTCTAAACGTTCCCACAAGCAAACATTGTTGCATAACATCGCAGCTGCACATGATCTCGGCTCGTAGCGCGCGCCTTGTCAAATGTCAGCCCATGTACAACCGACGAAAAGCATCAAGGCATTTCGCGATCAGCACAAACTAATGCGTTATCGCACAACTATTTATATTAACATCTAAAAATACCCGCACGTTAATCGTGCTCAATTAACAGACAGCTGCTGTAGCTACTTGTTCGGATCACATTAAGACCATTATTCACTTCAGCTGTTTTTTCGTGCCAGCTACTTTCTCACCCAATTAAAAATTCCCCGCCAAATTTATTAAGCTACAAAAGTAAAACATCAACAAAAGGGCGACATACAGCAAGTACCTGTGGGCGGTGCATACAAGTATGTATTTCAGTAGAAAAATACAAAATAAAAAAGAATTCTTTCACACAAGCCGGCATTCAAGATTTGCAGAATTTCGATTCCGAGCATTTTATTTCTCAGAGCCATAAAAAAACCAGTTTATCCTTTGAACGCAAACAATGTAACCGCGGGCTCTTCCAACGCAGCGAACGAGAAATTCAACGTCCTCAATCAGCCACATTGTTCCACCTTGAAAACGCCTTCACGTACACACAACTTTATTCACCGGTTAAAAAAATTTAATTTCCATAAACATTAAAGAATTTATTAAGAAGTTTCTCGTTCTCCTCCAGTCTTCGTCGAAAAAGAAATACCTAACCCAATATATACGGATGTTACGTTGCTAACTAACACCTTTATTCCTAACTGCATATTTTCACCACTCTTGAGCGACCACCGCATAATCATGCCTTTCTCTACCGGCACAGCGCCGTAACGAACCCCTCGCTGCATTCTTCCATGCAAGTTCTCACAGCTCCCAGCTGAGCACCGACTCTCTGGTGCATTTCGCGGCTCACTACTTGTTTAGACAAGACGTTACATCACTCCCGAAGCGGAAAAATGTCATGCTAAAAATAACCAGGAACCACGCACACATCAGCCGCCGACGAATATGCACGGTTTTTCTTTATCAAACGCAACCAATCCAAGCAAATCAATCGCCCAAAAAACGCTTGAAAAAGTCTTAATCAGTTAAGCAGATTAAAGACATTAATTTCAATCAAACCTACATTTCATGACAATACTGAACAATTTTCCCGAAAAACCAATCCTTAAATTTCCTGTCTGGAAATTTAAATTTCAAAAAATTTTAGAAAAGAAAATCAAGCGAACAAAAAATTAAATTCTAGCATCTGTTCAATCTAAATTTCACACAAATATCCTATTTTATAATTGGAGAAACTCCGGAAACTGGCACAGACACAGACCCTCCCAATCCGGAAGTCCCGCCCTGACTGTACATTAACGTCATCCGGAGACCTGACAGCAGCACTTTTCAAGGCTTACTCCCAATATGGCAGCTGCTAATCTGAGCTCGCGCTCTGGCCCTTCAGCATCGGGCGCTAGTAACGCAACTCTTCATCGGCATTGGCGGGATACGAAGAATTTCTGCAGCGCTCTCGTCTCCGGCAAAGCGCTCGCCACTCAAGAGGAAAAGAGCCGCTCATGACATTTTGGCTCTCCAAAACACACACCAGCAGCAGCAGTGCAGCACACACCATACAAGCTATATACTCCAGAACTCTGTACACACACATTCTGACATTCCATTACTTATCATTCCTGAATTTATTAATAGCGTTTTCTTCTTTCTCATTAAACATTCTCAGACTCGCGCATTCTTCCTCTGATCCCGCGTTCTAAATCGGAACAACACCCCATATCGTGCTGATGCGCGCAACTTTGGCTACCGTGGATGAAAAATCAAGGTTCAAGGCGACGATTGAAAATCGGCCTGGAATGTTCTCATTTTCGGATGCAGCACCGCCAATTTATCAATGAGACAAACTCATTAATCTCACAATACCGAAAACCCGTAAAATAAACAAAACGTTATCGCCAAATTAATGTTTATTAAGCTTACGACAGAGAATAAAATTAACAGAATTTTCACAACGAAAATACGGTGATTTTCTTACCTGCCACACTCCGACGACTGCATTAGCAATAAGAATAAGCAAAATCACGAAGGGCTCCACAAATGCCGTTACTTGATCATCATGTTCTTCAAAAAGGGCGAGAACCTGTACAAATAGGAATCATGTAATTTTATTACGATTCCAAAGCAACAATTCTATTGAAAATTATATAAAAACTCACAATAGCGGAAATCAAATGAAATACATTAAATGGCCGCATGTATTAATCATGTATCACCACCTGCCATGCGGAAACCGACTGAATCAACCGTCATTAATCAAATAAAAAACTCAACGAAAAATCTCTCGCTGTATTAATATCGGAATCGGTTGCAGATGAAACAGCTAGAACAATTTAATCAAATTTAAATAGCAATACTAATTAGGGCACTTACAAAGGAAATGATAGCCGCGAGCAAGAGAATCTTGACTAATAAATCGTCGAATTGTTCCAAAATAAGGGCCCATAAGGGTTTAGCTGCAAATAAAAATAAACCATAAACACGCTTATGATGTACTGTTTAAACAAACCCGAAAGCCGTCGAAACCGTGGAAATTCGAAAACGTACAATAAAACGATTAATAAAATCAGAATATTTTTCTACACGTCAAACAAACGTGCGGTATCCGCGAATAATGACTAATCTGCGCATTTATACAGCTGAGCGATAAAAACGCCGCAATCTCGTGAAACTTTCTCTCATTACGACAATATTACGCTGTGCTTTTTATTAATGTATCGTGCCTACAAATTAAAACGACAGCGCAGTTATATAATAACGATCTACTACGTGAGTTATGCAACGTTACCGATTGACAACAATACTTACATTCTTCAGCGGGGAGTTCTGCAAAAATGCACAAAAAATTAGATAAAAATTATACACACCCAAAAGATAAATTTGCGGAATTTTCCTCACCATTAAGGCCATATTTCTGCTGGTTGTCTCTGACTTGATTATCGGAAAGACCATTTTCGGGATCCACACCAAAATACCTGATCACCTCCTCGGGTGATTTCGCATGGGCGTTCTCCATCGTAACGCGAGAGGGGGGAAGGAGAGATAAGGATAAAAAAGATTAAATAGAGGACACACACGCCGCGCCGCTCCTCCTGCGGATCGATGGAGGGGTTATTGCTCCACGGTCTGTGTACTCCCCGGGAATCAACGGAGACTGCTGCTGCCGGTGATCAATGACACACTGCGTGGACGCCAGTCCACAATAATCCCACGATGGTCGATTTCCGGGTTAAAGAGATTCTACGTAAATCATCGTTGGGTGAATTCCACAAAAAAAATTGAAAAATCGTAAGTTAATTCTCGCATGCACGTTCCCTGTATCGCTGTCGTGGATGCGTCACCACAATAATTTAATCGTTACAACTCTCGCTAACTGCGCAAGTAAGAATTCTTCAGGTTGGACTATTTCATAATTAATTTATCTCTGATTAAGTATGAACCTTAACCACAGTTAATTTCGATAAGGCCCCGAGAAAACGCATTGTGACAGCGAAGCCCCACGTCAGAGAAATTTCTGAAAAAAATCGGAACTGGTGCAGCAAGTCCGTAGTCAGACGCCGCTACTTTTCCTCAGACCTGTTCCGCAGCTTCAGCCAATGTAGATGATTACAAAAACTACTTCTAAATAAATTTGCCTTCGGGACACAAACTACTTTTCTGATACGCGGTAGAACGCGAGAACCTTCTCATTTGCCAGAAGACACACAGCATTAACAAGCCATTAAGAAGTATCAAAAGGGTGCAATGGATGGGTTTCCTTGTAGTTTACGGCTGCAAGCCATACGAAAGGAACAGGGAATTTTGGAGACGGGCATTCACACTACCTGTATGCAGTTCCCGTCTGGGACTGCTGTTTAATGGCACTCACCCCTTTTATGAGATGAATATAAATCTCAATCCCAGTGGGATGATAGAAAAATCAGCTGTCTAAATGATAGTCCGATCCCCGATGTTGAAGGAGTACAGCAAAAAACACATCCGAGCTGGTGAAGGATGTATAAGATGGAAATAGCAGGAATCACATAATCGTCCACATGAAAGCTGTTGTGCACTACGCGGTGACTGTGCAATAGGCTGGCTCAGGCTGTTGGCTTGGCTTGCGGCAGGCTGGCGTTTGATGCCTACAAATAGCCGATCTAATTCACGCCGTCGGTCCGGTTCCAGGAAGCCGTGTCGCTGACGTGGCGAATTTGTATTGGCTGGCGTAAGAAGTGCCACGTCATACCTACCGAAAGCGTTTTTTCTTTGTTTTCCAGATCTTCGGCTGCGTTAATGACTCAGTGCAAAACTGCAACTACTTTGTACGTTCCTAATTGTGGGAATTTCGTCTTTAGTGCGATTTATATTGATTAAGTATTTTATTCTATACCATAATAAAAATCTACCGTGAACACGCTAGCGGTGTGACAAGAGTACGTAACGTAATTATTTTTTGTTGTTTTAAATTTTAGCTTCTTCACTTTAATAGTTGCTCGGCTCCTGTTGCGCATTTTAATTAATGTAAAAAGCATTTTTGTAATTTCGTTCATGAATTTTGTGCAAGCAAATAAAAAAAACTCTAAGAAAGTTTTTTTAAAAGAAATATACTGCGACCGGCATGGCCCAGTCGGTCGTATAGTAATCGTTGATCGCTCCCAAATACGAAAACTAAGTTTTCTCCAGGTATATACATTGGTACAAGTACTGTCAATGGTTCGGCTTTCAGTATTCCTGTCACTTCGTGTTCCATCGCAACTACTACTGATTCGAGCCGCTTTGTTTGTCTCTGGTAAAGGTCTTCCGGAAAACTTTATAATACTTTTACGGTCGTAACTTTCCGAGCGAAGACATTCATAGCCCTTACACTTGCATGATTGTATCGTGCCCGCGCAGTGAGCTATATTAGTATATGCGAAAGGTCATGCACCTGATCCCTGCAGTCTTACGCTCTTATGCAACATCAGCTTGTGCATTTTTGAATTGACTGGTTTTGTTTAAAATCCGCTAAAACAGGCTGGCAAATTCGCTGTCTGCATGCGGGGATGCCACGCGCCCACGGTGCCGCGATCACGAGAAACGGGAAACTAAAGGGCAAACATTTGCAAGACTAACATTACTACGGTGCGTGACAGCGACGTTGCACCGCATAATGTAAGGTACGTCAAGTACGGCTCTAGGTCTGCCGGAAACCTAAACCACAGGCAAAAAACAGCGCTCTTCGTTTGACACATGGTGAGTACGTGCCTGGGCATTCGCAGTACGACCCAGCGTTATCCAATACGCTTCGCATTCTTCCATGTTCTCCCGTCTGCTGGCTGCAGGCACTTGGGGCGATCAACTATCCAACGAGAGAGCTGGCTCCCACGTACGTCACGGTAGCATGCTGTCTCAGAGCAAAAAACTGCTCACATTGCAGAATGTTTTTTTCTCAAGACTCGCCGTGGCTATTTTCGGTACGCGCGCGCGCGCGCTCGGCACCCAGCGATCGCGGAACATGCCGGGAATATACTCGTTCGGCTCGCATGCTCATGAAGATAAAAATGTCTGTCAAGTTTCGAATAACCATCGCCGACGTAATAACTATAAATGTCTGGGCGATAAGAGCCGTCATGTTATGCAACGCAAGGCTGCACTGAACAACATTATTTTATAAAGCGCTCAGTACGTCTAGATCTGGTGAGTATGTGCATTTCTTTCGTGATCAGCGAGCGGCAGGCAGATTGGGCCCGTAATGAAATAGTGTGCAGATATTTGTCAGCATTAAATCAAAAATGCGATGAGTAATGCATTATTGCACACCTTAATTATATGAATAATTTCGCAGTTTTGTTTCGATTTTTTAACTACTTTCTAAACTCGCGTAGTGGGATTACTACTCGGCATAGACACCGGCCGTAGCCAGTTCGGAAGATCCGTATTGCCGTATGTGCTCCAGGAATATAGATATCAGAATAAATGGACAATGTACATTCTTTCTGATATTACGTACTATAGCACTGCCCTGAATCAAGCATCGATCGATCAAGATAAATAGCTGTCGATGAGGATTCCATCTGTTGCTCCCATAATACTTATATATACAATACATATCGTATAAATGATAATATTATAAGATTTTGTTGGTTGTTTACCGGCACCCGGCAATGTTATCGGCAATGTTATCGGAAAATCTGGAGTTTCATTGAACGTAACACTATCAACTAAATAAAGGTCATCTCATATGAAAATAAAAACTGCATCTTCTACAGAAGTTTGAATTGTTTTAGAGAGTGATTGTGTTCTCGAGTATATGAGCAGTAATGGTCTGCACATGCAAGGTGAACAGTTTTTAGTTGGTGTCCATCACGCACTTGCGTCCAGTACGAGCAGACGGGATTTCCGGTCCACGCCTCTTTTTGTACTGGAACAAATACGCAGCAGCACATTACTACGCAGTACTATGCATGCATAATTAACAATTTAACAGGACCATGGCCAAATTTAAACTAGCTGCTAATAAAGTACAGCTTCTTTTTTCAACAATCAGCAGTATATATACCTGCCGGCTGCCAGTATATTTCGCAGTGCCGCGATTGACACTGAAATTAAACTGAATATGGTGCCCAACTGGCTTGGCTCATACGACGAGACTTTCCCCGGAATAAAGATTACTACGGTATTACTTCATCGAAAACGGTTTACATGCAATTGGGCCACATGTTTCTCCAGTTCCAGTATCCAGCAATTCCCCAGTTTTTGACTTGCCTGCTTTTGTGCGTAGACGTACTCGTGCTAAAAGGTCGCGCGGGTGACGGTGAAGTTTCTGTCGTACTACATTACTGTATTACACTATTATTACTGTATTACATTACCATTATTACATTATTGTGTTACTATACTGTGTTACATTATTGTGTTTGTCGTATTTGAACTCAGCTGAGTTGGTCGTCATTTTGAGGCCAACCACGAATAATGGTCTTTAGTGAGAAAAGCTAAATCGTGTGCGTCGACGTGTTTTTCAGTTTATTTACCTAATTCTGGTTACCGTTCTCCAAGCGCTTTATATTCGTTCTGGTAAGATTTTTTACTGTTGATAGTTTTGCACTGGATTTTAATCTCCAGCTATGTGCAACTGGAACGATTTGTAATTAGTGATCTCGGTTCACCGTAAATCTTACCGAAATTTAACACACTCCGGCTCGTAGCATGGCAATGTCCGAGTCTGCTTGGATGTTGCTTCGTAGCCACTTTCCATGAAAATCTACGCAGAGACCGTATAATAAATCTGGCCATTAATAACCATGACAATCCTACGACGCAGATTACTCTCACGCCTTCTTTCTCAATAATTTCATTTTCTGAAGAAATCTGGTCTTGTAATTTCGAAAACTACACCGTTACAAGTAATTATGAGGGAAAGCTGTGTGGCATCAACCACCTCGCCATCTGGCGATACGATATCGGGAAGCGTAATGGTATCACGCTATCACCAGCTGGTAAAAACACGAGGTCTTTACGTTTTCCATCACCAGATGGCAAATGGTGGTAGCGACTGATGAAAACCTTTACTTAAAGAAAAAAATGGCTTGTTATCTGCGAGATGTACTACTCTAGTATTTATACGCTTGCAAACATAAACAGGAGGGTTTGTTTCCTCATAAATATAAGTACATATTTAAACCATAGCCTTGCAAGTTCCTTATATAGGAGCATAGCATACGTTTGCAACGGTCGCTTGCTAACTTTAACTGTGCATTGTGCAGTTATGGCAGACAGTGCTCAAATGACCCTCTCTATGCACTTGGGCGTACCGAATACAACTGTGCTCTGAAAAGTATTAACAACCAATCGGCTCCAGTTAAGTACTTAACATTTTGACGAAGGTATTGCTAAGACTTTTAACAGGTGAGAGCGGAAAGTAAGGATAGGCCGCACAAACTTGGTACGGGCCCATCTGAGCGGTAAAGGTCACAGAATTCCGTCCGATCCTGCCCACATCTGATCGCATCTCACCCATAAACTGCGATCATATAGTACCGGAAATTTTGCTTTCAGACAAGACACCATTATTTCAGCGCTAACCCCGTTTGTGATTGGAGTACTTACCCAGTATTCGTACTGAACTCGTCCATTTGCGAGCGTACAGAATACTGTACCTTGCTTGTTTATTAACCACGAACTCGAGATCACCATCGAAATTCAGTAGTAATTTAGTTAGTGATACTGCATTGATGCACCTGGCACAATAGGAAAGCGAGATGAATAAAATCAAATGCCTAAAAGTACGAAGAATGTGCTGTACTACAGATACATGGTGCGCAACGCGCACTGCGCATCCTAAACGAGAATCCGTCCAATCCGATCCGAAAATTGAAATGCATTCGGAGCGAATCGCAGTGCTGTTTCACACAATTTATACGTGTGCGGTCACTACGGTGTCAAGCTTTTACTGCAGCTATACTTTACTATCTACATACTTACGGAAACCCGTGATCTTTATTACTTATTTTGTTCATAACATTTTCCCCGACCGAATTAGCTCGTGATGTTAAGTACTTCGCTCACGTTTTGTACTTACGCTGGTGTTTTACGCGGATACGTCTAATAAACGGGTTACGGATAACAGCTACAGACCGGAAAACATACTCTTACTCTTATAGATATGTATAGTATAGATATTGTACAGTACAGCACGCAGTGACGCACCTACCGTACAGCTCTCCGCATGTCGAAGAGCTCCTTTAATAGGCGGAAGGCATCACTACCGATTCGGAATGTCTTTTGCAAAACAGAAGGGAGAGAATTATTCCCTCATGGACTCCGCGGAGTTCCGGGTAAATTCGTCTTTTAACGGAACAGTTTGATTTATTTGTTCCGCTGAAAGAAGAGTTCAACTGGGAAATCGCGAAATTAACTTCCACGGTAGATTAACGTTTCCTCCGACCTAGGCGGAGATGCAAATGGACGAATACGTTGGAGGTATCGACGCCAAAACCGGCTGCATCTCCGCGAAGGTTACGCTACATTGTTAACGCTTGTAGCATAACCTTCACCGAACTGCATCTGGTTATAGAGTCTACAGACGTAGCGGTTGTAGTGACACTGACGGCTGTAGCGGCTACAGTAGTAGATTTCGCTGATCTGCAATCCTTCGGGAACGAATTTCCAATACTTCGAGAACGGGCCAGAGCTCTCGTCTTGGTCTAAAAAAATCAGTTCGTATACGCACGAAACCTATGTCAGATTGTTACGTCACGCACAGATGACACACCAAAGATGAAATTCGAAAGAAATCCCAGAACGTGCTGCATGAAATTACGAACGTTGACGTTAATTATTGCAGCATGAAAATTTCCTGCTGAAGTGTTTAAGTGTAAAAGCATAATGAACATGTATATCTGTGCCAGAAACTTTATTAAAAAATAAGCACCCCATGGTTCGTCCGACGTACATGGCTCTGGATCCATTCATTTTAATCATTACGAAAGATGAAGTGTTACACTTCGGTTTAAAATACAGTAAGTAACTAACATTTTACGAATCGTCTTTAATAGTGATCGAGAAGGAGTACGAATGAATACCATTAGGCATTATGCTGTAGATGCCAGATGCTTTTGCATAGTGGGCCATAACACGATAATACGCACTTCGTGTAAGCCAATGTGGAGAACAGCAAGAGGAAATTTCGACAATATATCTCAACTGCGCTATTTGTTAAGTTTACATTAGTAATTTCAAAAAAGCAATTCAAAGCTGCAGTTCAGTAAATAACAGTTTTATCGCTGTATCGCTGCAGTTAAATAATTAAATTTTACGAAGGAAAGAGGATGTCTTCCGTCAGCGCTCTGGATATGAGTCAAATAACTTGAAAAGATTGGTTTCGAACTTTCGATTAATCATCCTACAAAGCATGATGTCACCATCGGTATCTGCTATCTGAAAGCACAAATTAAGAAAAGAGCTGCGGCAGCGTCGCGTGCTGCGGCACATCCAGCAAGCAGCCGAGAGTCACAGAGCGCTTACAGGTCCAAAATCAGAATCATGCAAAAACATGATTATAATATCGCAAAATCAAATGTGCAGTATGCACTTGCAGAAAAATTTTGTAATAAACTGCTTTCTGTGTGAGCTTGGTACAAGACTGCCAGGTACCGGTACATGGTCGGGCAATTCGCACATATTACATATATTAGCTGTGGAATCACTGGAATTTGCCTTGCATCGAATCGTCACTTGCAAGTTGCAACTTTTGCCTTTTTGCACAGGAGCAGTCGCGCGGTGTGTAGTGTGTACTTATGCTCTCATCATTGTTACTTCATTACTGAGTACTTCACCGGTGTTGTACGCGATCTTGTACGGCTAATATACGGCAACCAGCCTAGTTCGATTTACGACTTAACTAACAGTATCAACACTATGCAATCGCAGCATCCGCCTGTTGTTCCCCTGGGTTGCCGGTCGGGCAGACTGAATTCGAATCGCACTGAACGTGAAACAGCGCAAAATCGAATCCTAACTTCGCTGTCAGACGATCGAGACGTTGCTGAACGCGATTTGGCTATGAAAGTGAAGAAGTTAGAGGAGCTCAAGGAATTCAAAAGTCCTTTAAAGCGGATTATTGACGCACATACCCACTGGAAAAGCGATCCCAATCCAGGTTTGTAAAAATTTTAATAGTTGTGATACTTATAATACCACTACTAATAAAAACGTCAGTAATTATATACAGTACCTTCACAAGTCTGTCGTAAGCAATTGGAGGGTTTGACCTTATTACTGTCCCTTGCAGAACTTCGTCGACGGCTCGTTAATTTAAAACGGCTCTATGTGTTCCTATACATCTCCGGACGATTGAACATTGACCTACCGTACGGTACTTGTGTCCAAATCCACGAAAGCGTCAAAAATATTTGTCAGGTTAGTAATTATTTTTCCAAGTTTTGCAGTTACTTTAATTTGTTAAATTTAAATAATAGCGAAAGTTACTAAGAATTTTTAGCTCTTATAGTGAATTCTTTGACCTTTTAAGCGCATAAGAATCAGATGCTAAATTTGTAGCGAGATTTCTGTCAACCCGATAGTGTTTATTTTTAAAATACTTTACGGTTTAGGTTATGCGCCAGGAATCGTCCAATTTCGCTGGGAGATTTCCTTGGGTTAGCGAAAGACTTTTCTTCGAGGTCGAAGTAAGTTGATTTTCATAACGTGTTGTAAAATTCACGAAAATTCAACATTCAACGGCTTTAAAAATCTTTGTTCTTTTGCAGAAAGAAAACGTAAGTGATTTACAATCTAGGAATGATTTCCGGGTGGTTAATTTTCACCAGTTGTTTGTTTATTTTTTATGTCTGGAATTCGTACTTCAGGTTTTTGTGTTTGGCATTGACAATACGCTGTCACTAGTTTTCTGTAAATAATAACAAGAATAATATAATTATAAGTACCTAAATTATAATCAACACTTTTAAGCTTACGAGCGCAAGAAAATTAGACCTCTCTCTCTCGCAGATCCCGCCACCGTGATGCTAAAGTACTTACTCCAACAAGTGTTTGTGTACGTACGATGAATATCAGTTGCCACTTGCCACACTCCGCTTTGAACGGTTCCAGCCGAACTGACTGCTGTTTCGCAAAGAGCGGCAGGGTTTCCATGTGTAAAATATAGGAAAAGCCTTGAATGTAATTATTACTTTGTATTTTCCATTTACTGCTTACGCTTCATGTTGTACTTGTATAAATAATTATTTTTGTGTGGACACTAAGAAATCACCGCAGACAATGCGGCAATAATGAAAGGCTTTTCTTTTCGATCAATTTAGATAAATGTTGCGTTTTCTTCTAAATGACAAATTATATTTATATGGTTTGGTTTGCCAGCCGTTAATTATTTCAGTACAGTAAGAGTTAAAACTTGCCTGCAGGGTGTGCACTTGTCAGAATGTCATTAAAGAGATCTAATATTATACGAGTATTTCGTAATCGCTGTATAAGTGCTACTGTACAACTATTACTGTTACCAAAAATTTTGAAATAGTAATTTCACGCGAAAGCAAAAAAAAACGACGGAAAAAAACTGAACATTGAAGAAATCAGTATTAGCAGATTTCAGGTACTAGTAAGTCGACACTAAACAATTACAGTAAATTTTTTTGCTTCACATGGTCGTGGCAAAAGACGTAATATTCTTATTCTTACCTACTAATTACAAAACTCCAATGAGAGAGAGACTGGTGATTTTCAGAATAATAATAGCTTGTCAGTTACCAGTTATCACTGATAAAAATGATAATGAGTTATGGCTGGATAGAGCCACCTGCCACTTTAACGGCCTCGGGTCACCATTTGCTAACCGCCGTGCATGTGCTCTTAACGTTCTTGCCTGCTCTATGCGATGAATTCGAAGGCCCAAGTGGATTTCCTGAGCGTACTAGTTATTAGATTGACATCAGAAACAGATGGGCATATTTTCACGATATCAAAGTGTTCAGATATCAGAATCAGATACTATCGTAATAATTATATTTATTTTCGTAATTATCATACAACGTATCTGTACAGTAATCACGCATGATATGATGTTCGTGTTTTTACGGATGCTGCAAATTATGAGCGAAACGCTTGCATACTGTACGTATCAACCATTACAAGTATACACAATACAATAATCTCTATTACATCTTCACATTCTTGGTAATTCCCGCAATTTTGCAAGAAAAAGTGCTGATCAACACGCAGTATTCAGTATAACCCAGTCACACACAGCACGGTTACTGGGACTGAAACCGCTCAACGTACTTTTTTCCTCAACGGGACCATCAACGTACTTTTTTCTTTTGAGATTTTACTATTGAAAATGTACCACCATCAAGGCTAACTTGTGACAAATTAGCAAAAAAATCATGTGTTACAAAAAAACTGGCTAAAAGCAAATCGTACATACTTGCGCCTATACCGGTGTAAGGAAATACATGACACCCTTCTCGACCATCCATACAAGTAGTCGTGTAAACTTTGAAAGATTAAGCCTATAATATCAGTGCTCGGTATGCGCGGATCGTTTTTAACAGTTTTGACCGTACCGGCCGCATCGCCTGCGGACCCAGACCCGAGGAGTCCGCATAGTCAATTGCAACAAAATCAAATGCTGGATTCCTGTGATGTATATACATGCTAGGAGTGATACAGACTGACCAAAGCAGTTTAAAAGACAAAAGCGGTCTTTCCCTTTTTGGTGTGAATTGTAATTAAAAAGTACTTTACTTGAAGCACGCACTGCGCAGTCTCTACAGTATACAGTATACCTCTGTATTGTACACTGCGCTGGTTCTACACTGCGCTGATTTTGTATAACATTTTGGATAAAACATTCACCAGTCCGAAGCTACACGCGCGTGCATATCGTGCACTACGTTATCATTGCAAAATGCACCGCAAATCGGCAGACATCTTCGCCAACCTCTGCCACAAGCTAGGCGATCCGCTGACCATGAGCTCTGATAGTGGCCTAGCCAAACGTTCCTCAAACCGCACAGACTCTGCCACCGAATCGAAGACATGTCTTCCGCAGAGCTGTACCCGCCTCGTGTCCTCGCCGGGCCTATCGTATATAAGCTGCGCTGAACACCATGTGGCGCGATCAGAACATTCAGGACCGATATCAGTTGAGCATCCTCGCCAGATTTCCGCTCACTTTTTTAGCTGAAACTTGTGCTCTGTGCAGCATGCTTTTTACCAATCCAGAAACCCAGGCAGAACAGCTTTCTTACCGTGAATAAAACTGTTGACCTTTCGTTACACTTCTGTGCCTATCTGGCTATCTCGAAAATAACAGCTGGCTGACGGTTTAGAATCTAGAATATTTGTGCGTCATTATTTATTGATATCGAGATAAAAACCGTAATACCGTTTTTAAAATTATTCCTGGTGCTGCAAAAAACGTAAGGGATATCATGGATAAGAAACCAGTTACAACTCTTGGTGACCAAAGTATTCGCTTGAACACCGTAAACACCGTGCATCGACCTGCGCTTCCACGCAATAATTATTCGGCGACGCGTATCTTTGGACCAAGAATGCGCATCCAAATGCGGTGGAGGAAGACACAATTGCGACGGTTCCGCACTCCGTTACGGCGTATTATCGCCGCACATATTCACTGGAGAGAGCATGATAGCCCAGGTACACTCGCTTTAGACTGTTTTAGCGCAGGTCACATGGAAATATAATGCAGCGGCAAAGTCTGATGCCGTTAAAATAAACAAAATGCTTTACATACAATGTATCATGAATAATGTAAATCGTTACACAAAATTACAGAATGATATCATATCTGACCTACTTTAAAAAGTGCCTAATCGACTACTAGATCTTTCTTGAAAAGCTTTAGCGTTTTTAAACAGTCCCTTAAAATATTATCAGTATAAAAACTAAAACGTTTTAAGGTCTGTACGATGACCTTCGATCAAGAATCGCTTCCGCGAATGAGAATCTCTTCCTCATGGATAACTAAATTATGCCTTCGTTGAGAAAACATAAATGTTTTATTATTTCTGAGGAATTCACAACGAACGTGGGATTTACCGTTATGTAATGCATCGCTGTCCACATTGCTTGAGATCTTTCATGACGATGAAATAAACAGGGCCAGACTCCTCGCACAATCAAAACCGGAAGCTGGCATTTGGTTGAATGCTTTGCCTTCAGCTCACATCGGCAACCTCCTGGACGACGACACCCTGAAGATATCAGTTGGGCTCAGGTTAGGCGCTATCATTTGCGAAGCACATCTATGCGCGAAATGTCACAAGCCCGTAGATGTATATGGCCACCACGGACTGTCATGCTCATTTTCCGCTGGACGTCATCCTAGACACGGTGGACTTAACAGCATTGTGTGCCGATCGTTGGTTTCAGCGGGCGTCCCAGCAAAACTGGAACCGCGTGGTACGTTCCATACGTCCGGTCGCCGCCCAGACGGATGCACTACGTTTGCCTGGAAACGTGGCATGTGCTTGGCATGGGACGTGACCTGCGTGGATACTGTCGCCTTGTCCCATATAAAGTCTACTTCGGCTGCCGCCGGATCCGCAGCAGCGCAGGCGGAAGATAAAAAAGCCAAGTTGTATGCTTATCTGGAGGGCCGATACATCTTTGCGCCTCTTGCATTCGAGACTTTTGGTCCCTGGGGAAAGTCGGCATCACTTTTAGTGAAGGAAATTGGCAAACGATTACAGCAGCATACTGGCGAGCTTCGCTCACTCGAATTTCTCCGTCAGCGTTTGTCGATTGAAATCCAAAGAGGCAACGCTGCTTCCGTACTCGGAACCATGGATGGAGCCGAGAAATTTAAGGAAATATTTTTACTGTAATTATTTCTGTTTTCTTTATATTCTGTGTGAGTGAAACTGGCTTGCGCTATTATTTCTTGTTAGACTGTACTCTGTACACATACTGTACATATTGGAAAAGGTATCTTTTGTTCCATTTCTCCTATTGAAATCATTTTCTGTTGATGTAATATGAAATGCTTCCCTAGTAATTGTCAGGTCTTATATTCGAGTACTTACGTTTATACTTTTAAGCTGTAACACTACTAACAGCAAGACTTACACTTAACTCGCTTGTTACACTTAACACACATAGTGCACTTAATACATTTAACAGCCAACCTTTAATTACACGTTTCACTTTCTTACTGATAGTGAATTTACACTAATTATAAAAACTGATATGTCACGCTATGATACCAAGGTTATCAAAATTGGGGATCTTTTCTACAAGCTTATATAACGTGTCTTTGAAATTCTGACTGCAAAAAAAATTACATTTCTTTTGTCACTGCAGCGCTTCGACGGCGATGGTATAATCTGAAGGATCTGCTCAGCGCTCTCGCTACTGAGTATCTGAACCAACTATCCTATAATAGACTGGTCCAACTTCATGAAACCATAGAAAGCGTATTACAGGTCAGAAAGATTTTTATTTAAAGTCCAGGTTACCTTTGGTGTAAAATTACAAAAATAACGCGGTATGCACTGCGCAGTGCAGGCTAAATATTATTTCGGTCACTGAAACCATTCAGTAAAAGTTCGTTGATCAACATTATCGTTGTGTGAATGCATAAACGTTTCTAGACGAAGAACCTGGAATCGGCTGCGCTTGCTGCCGCACATCCTGAGTTATCCAACAGATTATTCTTCGTGATTGAGGTACAGCACATTGACTACTTAGTGTACTAGAGTAGAGTACCTTCTGAAGGTAACGATGGCGAAGAAATTAAAATTATACGCCGCTTCTTAATAATACACATTTAGCTGCGTTCCTAGTATCGAATGTTTTAAGTTGTAACCGTTCCGTATTATTTGCAGAGAGAAAACGTAAGTACGGTACGCTTATGCTGAGTTCTTCGGGAGGCTCTTCCAAATACAACATGCCATTTCCGTTTCCGAGGCGAGCCACGTGCTCTTCTCATCGATTTTTTGTCCATTTTAATCTTTACTACATCAACTTTCATGAGCGGTTTAATAACTATTGCACTTGTTGAACCGAAAATACTACGATAATAACACTTCTAATGGCAATATGAGCAAATTATTTCACAGTTCACACTAGCAGGAGCACGACGTATCCGTATATATATATTACGCCACCAAACTTAAAATAGTCTCAATAACTACAGATACAGTACATAAACTCCCTAGTCAGTTATTAACTCATACCATAATAGTATTATTCTACGAAAGTGCTACACAACGTCATAAAACCACCCTATCGTTAGTATCGTAACCAAATTTATTGTCAACGGCGTTTTTAAAGAGTTGAGTGTCTTAGATGCGGCCATTTCCACTCATTAGTTTGGTTTGATTCAGCACATATTGCTTTTGGTGATACTCTGAAGATTCACGGATAACAGTAATACTCAATAATTCAAAATCACCAATTACGATAAGGCCCATCATGTGAGGCAGATTTACCGTATATTATTGCAGATTCCTTTGCTGCACTGATACGACTGCATATGCGCGAGCTAATGCATCAAGACGTTCTCCATATTTCTACCATGTCATTCTGCTTTAATACCGCGTCACCTCGACCACGCGCTGGACGAAACTACTTTCTCATTGGTGATTGACTGCATCTTCCATTTTTAAAAGTACATCACCGGGTATAACATTATATGTGTACCCGTAGCGTTTCCTTATATTTATACGTGCTTCTTCAGCGCCGGCATTATTGCATCGTCGAATTTAGGACGGAGCTTTTTAACTTTAATGCGTCAAATGATGCCCGCTTGTTACTGAATTGCTGCTAACTAATTTGTTCAGCTGTTCATAAATATGATGGAAAATTGGAAATACCGGCCAGTAGACGTGATTCTATATATGCTGAATGCTGCTAATAAATGTGATTTGATTGCGGCTTGTTCATATTGATGTAAAGATATGTATTGTAAATAAACAACTGTAATTACTACCAGTTCTTTCAAAGACGTTTTTAATTAGATGATGGTATACCAGGTATATGCTTACTACATATAATTTTAGAAATAATTTTCGTACAGTAATTTTTTTTCACTTGACAGATACTGGCGCAAAACATGATACCAGTCAGTCTACCATGTCAACTGCGAAATAAGCAAAAACCGTAGTAAAATATTAAGATATTAAACTGAACACTCTCCCAAAATACCACACGGAATTTTCAAGTACTTACATTTATTTTTAAGATAAGCAGAAACTGTTTACTAATTATGCAAGATGCACCGAAAATATTGTCAACCTGCACGATCACTTTTTCGACCGAAGCGAAGCGAAGGTCCTCTATGTTCAAGAAAACCGAAATTTTGTCGGTCACGTCGGTCATGTCGGTCATGTCGGTCACACATTAACAATTTTAAATAAAGTATGGAAGAACATATCAAAAAATAATAAATAAAAAATACAAAGTATTTTTTCAAATATAAAAAATGTTATTTCGAAACAGTTTTAAAACAAACTCAGCAAACAGCTTATTAAACTTGGTTTCCCGCTTCGTTTCGGTCTTTAAGTGCAAGCCAACAGCGGTGCACTTTCCTAGTCTATCATATTTAAAGTGTAAATATAAATATTTCACCTTTAGCACAATCAGTAGGTCGACAATCAAGCTCCCATTCATGGCCGTTGGGCGTTGGCTAGTATCCGTATTTAGCGGTGGCGTTGACCTGGAGCATTCAAATAATTATCCGATATCCACTCCACAGTCCACACTCAAATAATTATGGATATCGGATAATGATAGTAATAGTAGTACTGTAATACAAAAAAATGGGCCCGCCAAAATCCATTGTTACATGCACCATTGTGATAGGCGGGAAGCATACCGGTAATCAAAACTATTACATAATCCAAGCTGGAATGCCCCGACCAGCTGTGCAATAAAAAAATAATTTTATCACCCGTGATGCAGCTACTAATTATCACAGACTTAACAGTCTTAAGTTAAAACTCATATTTTCTGGCTTGCGCAAAGCTTACTGAGACTGTTGTAATCTTAAGTACATGCCGCAAAATAGCCGAAAAATAATCTTATGCACAGAAATCAATCGTATGCTTGCAAAAGTATACAAAGTATATGCTGCACCGACACGTACTGGACAATTTAGAGCCCTGCACGAGCAGCAAAAGTGCTGCTCAACTCGCTCGTTTCTGCTTTTTTAAACTTCCTGCTCGCTCAGCTCGCTCGCGCCCAAACCGCCGCTCGCTCAACTCGCTCGTTTTCAAATTTTTCTTTGCTTCCGCTCGCTCAACTCGCTCGTAATTTTATTTTGGCAAATCGGCTCGCTCGTGAGATCGGCAAAAATTTACGTATCAACATTTTTGCACGAATTAATTATACCAAACTTTTCACCAACACAAAAACTCAGTAAGTGTAATTGGATGTTCAGAGACAATCACTTATATCTCCATACTGGTAGTCCATTTCATCACAGTTTTCCATTTTTTCGCTAATACATTTCTCTAATTTTCAACTGGATGTAGTTTTCGTAATTCAGCCTGAAATAAATACGTATAATAGAATGCATGCTCGAAAATTAAAATGCGCCTTTCTTAGGAAGCATTCAACTGGTTCATAAACCCGTCAAATAATGTTTTTGTTGGCTACGAGTACAAAATATCAAAAGTTAGTCCAGAGTCCCAACCGGTCTAGAAAAGTTGGTACTGTAAATCACTTCGCGCGAAGCGCGAAGGTGACGGTGGTTTAAGATCGTTTTCAGGTCGGTCATTGTAATTTAGTACTAGAAACTTCTCCAGTTCGCACAATGTCAGCCTGTAGGCTCGCGAGTGCTCGCACCCGACCATCCTGCTCGCTCGGCTCGTTCGCAATTTTTTTTCTATTGCTCAGCTCGTTCGCAAATTCGCAAAACGACGCCTGCTCGCTCGAAGTGCTCGCGAGCGCCGAGCGCTCGTGAGCCGAGCCGAGCGGCTCGGCTCGTGCAGGGCTCTACTGGACATCCGTAAATTCTGGTTGTCAGATCAGAAATTGACTTGGAGCTGCAGACGTGCGCTCTCGTTCTGACCAATAAAATTTAATCGAGATCACCAGGAAGGAATTACCACATTACTTTGATATCTAAGGAATGCATTTTGTTTATGGTAAACGAACATGGTCGCACGAACTTAGTATATGGAAAATGGACATTTTTGCCAGCTTGTGGCATACATTTTTCTATAAGCACGGAAAACTTTAACAACATGCAGCTGCACTTTTCATTACACTACTCGTGTGTTAAATCGTACACGTTATAGAACATCACAAAAAGTACAATACATCTGCCGTATAGTTCAGTAGGGAAATCAGTACAGCAACTTTATCTTGTGGTCATTCTACCGTTCGATGTATATAAATTGTATTCGGTGGTCTTGACCAAATTAAGTCATAGCCACGTTTTTGCACTTTCCAGCTTTTGTATGCAGAACGAACTGAATGAGCGAGCTTTGTCACCATACGGGTAGAAGAAATTCCATATACGTACTCTGTAAACTGTTGTGCAAATGCCACCATGCAAGTTAAATACGGTACAATATCTTCTTCCCAACGAAATTGCAGTTACTTTTTAACGTACGAAATTAGTAGCTAATTAGTTAATAAGCAATATTATTGCGATAACGAACTTCCATATAACTTTACAAACTGACACTTAAAAATGATTGCAAGCCGCTGCAAACGGCTGAAAACGTGCTTTTTAATTCATTTTTGATGGAATTCCCACGTGTTCTTATAGGTCGACATTCGTCAGCTACACGGTGAATATAATCGTGAATCTTTTGCTGTTCTGATGACAATAGCAAGTCAAAGAACAGTACAGCCGTTTACAAAACCGCCCACAACTATGCTCAAAACAAAATGTTGTGATTTGAATAAACAAAAAATATTCGAATCAAAACATACAGTATTCCTCATTTTGCACCCACAATAACAGTTATGTAGTTGTCAAGAAATCAGAATTTTTAAAAATACACTCGTACCATAATCATGTTTCATCATATCTGGAAGCACGAAATACGTGCTAGCGGCAAGCAGCCGGCCAAATTTGCCAAACAGCGTAAATACTAGAGCACAGTAGCCGATTCTGAGTTTCTGACCGCTTGCACTGTTGCGCAGTCTTCCATCTAATTATCACCATGCCATGCAGGGAAAAAATAGTCTTCTGCTGCAACTCCTTCTGCAAAGTCACTGCCATTTTTGGCCAGTCCTTAAAATAGAAAACCTCTTGAGCATCGCTAAGGTAAGACGACCACCAGCTATAGCTGCCCACACTCATCACCATCACATCCATAAAGGTCATTATAGCCATGTCCACTTCGGCCGCATTGCCGTGGACGAAGACAAAGTTGGGCTCGCGGAATAATCGCCGACAGTAATCCAAGTCGTTGCTGATAACGAAGACGGTGTCAAGGTAACGGCGCTGGATGCGCAGCGCCATGCGCAGCAGATACTCTTCCGTAGCGGCCACGTGGCCATGAGCGGTCTGAGCGGCGTCACTGACGATGTCGCCCCGCCGCACATGGATCCCTACACGTACCGGCTGTATGCGGTTAAGAAACACGCCACGCCTGCTCAGGTTGCTCAGTCCGTCCAGGATGGCGTTAATAGCTTCCTGTTGGATAGTTTCTTTGAAGGTCAACAGCGCGCGGATCTCATGAGACGCATCATGGAAGTACTTCCACGATTGGCCGTAACCAGATAATGCTGCAGCTTGATCTGGGAATCAAGAGCTCACGTTGTGAAAGACAGGACTGAATTTTCCCGGACCTAATTCATCTGCAAAGTATCGGCCTAAGGCATCAAAAAATAACTTTAATGTTTCTAACAAAGTCCTACGTTAGAAGTACTCCAGCAAGTGTTTTAAATTCATCGTCTTTTCGCGCCAATTCTTCAGGCTTACCAAGAGTCTGCGCTTTACGTGAATTGTTCGGGAAAAGGACGGACCGGTTAAGGAAACCGATGTCCATCCCTTCAAAAAGGTCCAACCTAGAGTCGTGGGTAATGCGTACTGGAATCCGGTCATTCTTTCGAGCACAGCCGACAAGCATGGCAGACTGGAACATGAAATTTCCCAGTCCTCCATCCACCGGCTGATAAGTCACGAATCTGCGCAAGGATGATCCGTTGAGCATGTTGTCGTAGGCAGTTTGGAACGATGTGCTAAGCTGAATGTGGTACTTCTTAGCCCTTTCTATCCGACCAGCCATACGATTTAGCAAGTCGCAACGAAGCTGGGTCAGGTGTGTGTTCAATACTCTGCCGGATCTTTCCGATGACCGACACGTCTGCAATGAAACTGTGCAGTTTCATCATAATTTTATTTATAGTTATGGGCTTATGGCCTATTGGTACACTTGCTGACTCGGATTGCCTGTGCCTTTCGCTCCTGTCTACTCAGCAGTAAAACTCCACCTGGACACTGGTACAGCCAACAGTGTGTATGTACAGTGTATATGGCGCACCAGCCCCATCAGGGCACCCTTTGCGGGTCAAAATTTACGAAAGTCTACTTGTTAATAAAAAGGAAGAATAGATGAACTTACATACAGTATTGAGCTAAAACTGCACACGAAGTTTGCTCAAAACGCTGTCATATGCAAAGGTCAATCTGCACGCGCGGCAATAAATAGATTAATTGTAACTGCAGAGCACGTACAGTACTTGGACGTTTGCAAGAGAACGGATATTAAACAGCATCATTGGGCACTGCGTAAACCGTTAAGGTCTAATAATTATAGCCTACCGGATTCGCGCCCTTCGAAGTTGATGCTGACCTAATGAAACGGAAGTGATACGCGACTCGCCTCAGTGCGGGTATTAATGAAAAGCAACCAACGGAAAAAGCTAGTATGAGTGCAGTAACCATTATTCGCTGAGATGTCCAGTTCGTCATCAACTAAAGCTATGACAATCCTCCAGCAATCAACGACTGGCAGAATTCGTTATTCTGAGGTTAATTAGCAGATATCCAGATACATAACCAATATTGCATATGAGTACAAAAATTCATATAATATACTGCAGATAGTGTTATAATACATCATCATACCATAATTACCATTTAAAAAGAGCTTTTGAGGCGACAGCAGTTATCATAATAGAATACTACATTATACAGATACCAGATATTATTATATGTATACTTCAGATTAGAAGTAACTGGTATTGCATTAATAAATACTTTCCTTCCCACTACTTAAATTTTGTTGTTTTGGTATTCTGTTTCCATAACAAAATGAGAAAATTACAGTAATAATATCTTTATCTTTATATATTCATATACAAACCTACCGTCCAAAACGTAATTACCATGGATAGATCTGTAAGTACAATACAGTAATTAAGTAAGGATGGTTTTAAAAGTAATTCAATTTCGAACTGCCGGACGACTGCCGGAACAGTCCATAAATTAAAACCTGACCTTTCCAATACACCCGTGCCGAGCACGAATGCGCGAGGCTCCTTGTTATCATAATACAAGAAACAGCCTCGGCTTCGCCTCCGCATTTCTTGGGTTCTAAACTCCTAGGCCGGTTTACGGATTGTTAACTTAGAACGGATAAATCTGAAGAGCCCGATAACAGAAATTTTGTAAAAAAATGGATGTTTTGGTTTCGTGCAGTCGAACGCAATTACTTTGACTTTACAGATCATTTTTTGTTAAATTTTCGTAGCGAAAACCATCCGAATCTAATCACTCACGAGAGTACCACATTACAAACTAAAAGGACGCTAAGACTGGACAATGGTGCTAGATAGGTCACCCACTAAGAACTTAGCGGGCCCTGTTCTATTTTGCTCAGTAATATTGCAGTTTGGTCATACGTTCACCTAACGGGCTCTGTGCACTAGACAGTAGTGGTAACTCGGTCACTAGATTATTTAACGGAGTTCGTGCACTATACAGTAGTGGTAGCTCGGTCACTAACTAGATCACTTAACGGAGTTAACGATCTCGGTCACTAGATCACTTAACGGAGTTCGTGCACTGGACAGTAGTGGTTGCTTGGCCACGCGTTCACCTAACGGGCTCTGTGCACTGGACAGTATTGGTAGCTCGGTCACTAGATCACTTAACGGAGTTTGTGCACTGGACAGTAGTGGTATCTCGGTCACTCTTTCACCTAACGGGTTCTGGGCACTGGACAGTGGTGGTAGCTCGGTCACTTACTCACCTAGCGATTTTTTGACGCACTCAATCACTAGGTGAGTGACTGACCGAGCTCCACCTGTCCAGTAAGAAAAATCGCTAGGTAAGGAGAAAAATCGCTAGGTGAGAAAGTGACCCTGCTACAACTACTGTCCAGTGCGCAGAGCCCGTTAGGTGAGCAAGAGCAAAGCCCGCTCGATGACTCACTCACCTAGAAACTCCGCTCAGTGGGCAGTTATGGTGTTTCGGTCACTCACTTGTCTAGTAATTTTTCTTACTGGCCAGTGGTGGTAGCTCGGTCACCCACTCATCTAGAGATTCCGCTCATTGTCAGTGGTCGGTGATAGTGTTTCGGTCACTCACTCGTCCAGTGATTTTTCGTATTGATTTCATATTGATATTTTTACATTTTATATCGGTTGATTTTAAACGTGTTTCGAGCTCGGCAACACCGGCAGCAATGTTTGAATAACACGAGTGTTTGAATAAGTACAATAATTTATTTATTTTTCGGTTTAATTAGTGTAATAATTATTTCAATTGGTATTTTGTATTGTATCTAGGCAAGTATTTCTAAGTTTCAAGGTGACCTTTAAGATGGGTTGGATCAATCTGGTCTTGATGCCGGCTTGATGCCGGCTCGATATTTTCATAAAAGAAACACATGCCGGCCACTTCTGAACTATCCCGGATCTAATGGCGTTGTCCGTTTTTCCAGAAGTTTTATGGTTATAGAGATCTCAAAACTATGGGGCGCCGCGCGTAGTATAGATCTTGTACTTAATATAGTAAGAAGTACTTAAGTACGTAAAAACACATTCGAAACGTTTCCAGGTTACAGAATTTTTCAGGTACACATCGAGCACCTGCCTGTATTACATACCGAGCTGATTAAAAACGATTTTACAAATGAGACCCAGATCTAGACATTTCCGTAAGGCAGAGTATAAAGGACAATCAAAACAATTATAAATAATTATATAACGGGCATTCTAAAGAGGCACCACGACATTTTTCAGACACAACGCGAAAACTAACGGCCACTGAAGACATATGTATGTTGCACAACGAATGACAATTAATTGTTGTATACAACGGAGGACATCTCGTTTATAATGGTCAGGTTGAGACCATTAAAAGCTGCTACAACCCATGTGTTGCCCTTACGGTTGGGCACAAATAACTGCGACCACAGAAAGTTGCCGCGGTAGACTTGCACAATTGCGTTCGATGAGGCCAGGTTCCAGTCATCTGGAGTTTTACGAGCTTCGAAGTCGTAAACCACAATTTTATAGTCGCCTGCCAACTGTTTTTTGATCATGGTAATGTCCAGCAAATCGCCGGCATAACAGTTATCCATCAGTCCGTCGGCACTTACACTTGAACCGCTGTATTCTACCCGACCGCGTTGACTGCTGTTGGAAACTGGGCCTTCGACAACCAAATCCAACCAGCGCACCCAGCGGTGCTCCTGGATCATTAAAACGCGCACTTCACCTTGACTTGAGCAGTCGACGTCGGGGATAAGGCCATGGAATAGCTCTGGCATTTCTTTGCCGCCCAGAACAACGAAAGTAAACTGTTTAGCTTGATAGCCCTTGCGCGTGACGAGTGCGGTGTAATAACCAGTAGTGAAACTGCTGACGCTCCATTCACCACTGGCCGATGTCTTAGCACTGAGAATAATAGGACCACTGACATTGTTAATGCCGTAGCGAAATTCAATTTTTGCGCGAGACGCAGGTGGTTCTTCAGCACGGGAAAGGCTGATCTTTCCGCTCACTGTTCCACTTCCGGTGAATATGTTGCGGATGAACAATAGAGGTTCCATGGAAGATCTTGGTTGAAAGCTAAACTGGCGCTGGACGTTGTTCACAGTTATTGGATAATATCCTTCAGAGTGGAATGTTATCCCGTAGGTGCCATCTTTTGGTAAAGATAAAGTGAATTCTCCAAAGGAGTTAGTTTCTGTTGTTTGACCTTTGAATGGCAAATCCCCATCGCTGTACAGGGTAGCCACAGCGTGCACAGTGATGTTATTAAGTTCCTTTAGCGTATCAGCATCTCGCACAAGCCAGGTGACCTTTGCCTTGCCGTCTGCAATTACAAAGGACGAAGGAATATATGGTAAGTACCTTCCAGAAAAAGAAGTCAAGGGTACCTTCCAGAAAAAAAAGTCAAGGGTATAACGCAAATCAAAACAATCGCCGAAAACGTCGTTTTGCTTATTACTAGAGAATAGCTTCTGGGAGAAACAGTAAAATTAACTTAATACAGTAGCTTTGCAACAAACTCGACAAATTTACTGTCAAGTCTTGAGGTGGCGGTAACATTTTTAGCATTCGGGAATTAAGGTCTTAACAGAACGACGTACCGTATGGATACTCGCATGGGAGACAAGCCGGCTGGCTCAGCGTCGGCGTGGGAATAAAACTGCTAGTGCTCGTTGCCAGCAGCTGCAATGTATTGGAATACTGACCACATACTATACCGCCAAATCTAAGAAAAATCAGCCACAACGAAGAACAGAAATACGAGTTCATTTTGGATCAGTGTCCACAATGGCAAAGTATGAACTTTCAGTGTTAGCGTTAAGTGAATATGATCCTGGCATTATTATAATATTATTATTTTAAACATTGCTGGTCCCGTGTTTTATAGCAGACGACATGTAGGTACTTACCGCAGCAACCGGCATGTAGGTACTTACCGTAATTTTTATTGCTGCAGTGTTGCATGCTCCTTTTGTTGCGGGGGCATTAAATGCAAATGTGTGCATCTGATGGTATGTTCTAAGCTTGAGTTCAGAGGACGGCTACTGAATCACTGAATAGACTATTTGCAGTTGAAATTGAAGTGCACCTGCTATTGGCGTAACAAACTCGTTATTATCCTGTTCACTGTTACGGAACTATTAGGCTGCTGCATACGAAACACCATGTAGCTAGTTGGCCATTAGGAACACAGCCGGCACTAACTGATCCAGTTATTGTATAGCCAACTACCAGTACCGACTCGAAATATACATAGCTGGACGAGAGTGACCCAATAACAAGCAAAATATTAGAAAATATTCAAATGTTTCCGCATTCATTCCTAATCAATTCACGTGCCTGTAGGTTTCCGTCGGAAACGCTCCGAAGGAGCACTGCATTTGATCATTCTGCCTCGGTAAGTATCTGGTTTTGAAATGGCACGAATCACAGGTTTGTTCACTGACACGTCAAGCATGCATGACTTAAAACACTGTCCATAGTCCTTCAGTTACCACTTATTTTAATCCTTAGTATACAGACCTTAACTGAGCACACCTGCCGAATGAACGGAAGTCACGAAACTGAAAATATTGTCCAGTAGTTAGAACCAGCTACTCGAATTAAACCGTTACCGCTCTCCACTGGTCACCGCTATCGATTGAACAAAACCAGCTATACAGATACATAGCTCACAGTCTCACATTGTGCAAAGGTCGATTTCGCATAGTTTAAGTTATAAATTTTGCATTTACAGCAATACTCTTTGACATTTTTCGATTTTTCATGCAAAACAACGAAGTTTCTAGTTCCTGTGTGATCTAATGGTGGCGTCAGTTTCGTTCCAAATGCTGGGTTAGCGTGATCTCAAAACTACTGGAAGGTCGCGCGTAGTATAGCCTTTTTCTCAATATACATTAAAGCTTTCTAATGTTCATTGAGACTGATACAGGTACTTGTACTTGTAGTGTCTCGTATTTTAACTTTGTTTCACGACATCGGAAAGCACGACGAACAATTTTGACAAATTAAACAGCGTAGATGATAATAAAAGAGTCGATATTTTTTCGCTTGCACACTGTTGCGCAGTCTTCCGTCTAATTATCACCATGCCACGCAGGAAAAAAATAGTCTTCTGCTGCAACTCCTTCTGCAAAGTCACTGCCATTCCTCGGCCAGTCCTTAAAATAGAAAACCTCTTGAGCATCGCTAAGATAAGACGACCACCAGCTATAGCTCCCAACACTCATCACCATCACATCCATAAAGGTCATTATAGCCATGTCCACTTCGGCCGCATTCCCATCGACGAAGATGAAGTTGGGCTCGCGGAATAATCGTCGGCAGTAGTCCAAGTCGTTACTGATGACAAAGAAGACTGCGTACGGGTACCGGCGTTGGATGCGCAGCGCCATGCGCAGCAGATACTCTTCCGTGGCGGCCACGTGGCCATGAGCGACCTGATCGGCGTCACTGACGATGTCGCCTCGCCGCACATGGATCCCTACATGAACCGGCTGCATGCGGTTAAGCAGCACGCCCCGCCTGCTCAGGTTGCTCAGTCCGTCCAGGATGGCGTTAATAGCTTCCTGTTGGATAGTTTCTTTGAAGGTCAACAGCGCGCGGATCTCATGAGATGCATCATGGAAGTATTTCCACGATTGGCCGTAACCAGATAATGATGCAGCTTGATCGGGGAAGCGAGAGCTCACGTTGTGAAAGTCAGGACTGAATTTTCCCGGACCTAATTCCCCTGCAAAAGTATTGGCCTAAGCATCAAAAAATAAGACTTTAATGTTTCTAACAAAGTCCCACGCTAGAAGTACTCCAGCAATTGTTTTAACTTCATCGTCTTTTCGAGCCAATTCTTCAGGCTTACCAAGAGTCTGCGCTTTACGTGAATTGTTCGGGAAAAGGACGGACCGGTTAAGGAAACCGATGTCCATTCCCTCGAAAAGCTCCAACCTGGAGTCGTGGGTAATGCGTACTGGAATCCGGTCATTCTTTCGAGCACAACCTACAAGCATGGCAGACTGGAACATGAAATTTCCCAGTCCTCCATCCACCGGCTGATAAGTCAGGAATCTGCGCAAGGATGATCCGTTGAGCATGTTGTTGTTGACAGTGTGGAACAATTTGTGCTGTTGGATGCGGTACTTTTTGGCCACTTCGATCCGACCAGCCATACGATTTACCAAGTCGCAACGAAGCCGGCTCAGGTCTGTGTTCAGTACTCTGCCGGATCTTGCCGGTGACCGGCACGTCTGCAATGCAACTTTACAGCTTCATTATTTTATTTATGGTTAGGAGTACACGGGCTCACTCGGACTGGCTGTTCTCTTTCGATCGTTACTAGTGAAATTCCAGATGCTTATGCGCAGTTGCGCACCTGGCCATGGATACTGGAAAGTACGTCTAATGGTAAGATATAACGGTTTGTATGTTACGCATCAGCCTACCAGATTTGTGCCTTTCGAAGTTGCTGATGCTGACCAAACACAACAAAAATTATACGCAAAACGGCTCAGTGCCGGTACCAATAATAAGCAACCAGCGGAAAAAGCTATTATGAGTGCAGCAACCAAAATTCGCCGAGATGCCCAGTTCGTCATACTACGGTAATTCTCCAGTAAACGGTACTACACACCGATTGACAGAATTCGCTATCTTAGGTTAGACAGATATCCAGATGCATAACGGATAGCATATGTAAATACAGAAACTCAAAGAATACAAGAACATGAAAATAATTGCGGCAAATAGTCGGGTAGTAAGTACATCATCATACTCTCTCGAAAACAACCTTTAGGGACAACATCACCTCTTGCATAATTTTAAGTACTCTTATTACCGTATGCATAACTATATTGGAGCCTGTAATATATTCCAGATTTGGAGTAACTGGTGTTGCATATTAATACGACGTAAGTACCCTTTTTCACTTACTGATTTGTTGTCTTGGTATGCTGTTTCCATAACAAAAATACAGAATTGTACAGTACCTACATAGATACGGATGCAAAACGTTACCAAGGAACCAGTATACACAAATACATTACATACCGATTACCGAGTAATTAGAGGTCTAACCTAAGATTACATGCTCAGCGAATCTTCCCCAGTACCCGTTGCCAACGACTTCGACATCGTTAAACGTCACCGAAGATTCCCGGGTGCCTTTCGCTATCGTTGAAGCTAACGGCGCTAGTCTTAAGCCAACAGCGCCGTTGAATTTAAGCACTGGGAAGCAACAAAGTTTTCAGTTCGAAAGCCCCGACAGGTTTTTTGCTTCAAACAAAAACCGAGGCCGACGGTGAGCATTACCCATCCTCAGTGCAGCCTGTATTTATGTTCTGCTACCTGATCAACAGGAAACAGCTCAGATCTCATTAAAAGTTTAAAACCAGTAACAAAAAACTGCTTCGGCAAGAAACAAACGAACTATTTTCCCCCTTAAAAAAACCTTGAAAAACAGGCAACATACACCAACTAACAAACCCGACAAGCGATAGCTGCACTACTTGAAATTTGATGAACACGAATCGCCTAAGTAACTACAGTCTACAATAGCACGCACAAGCCAAAAAAAAACAGAGAAAGGAGTGTAAGTAACGAAAACTCATCGCGAGTTGGGAATTATTGCGGCTGAGGATAGTTGGTGTCGGCGGCCGGCGGGCGGTTGTCCGGAGAACTGTTGCCCGTAACCGAGGCAGCTGGGCATCATGCCGGAATTTTGTCCCTACGCAGTCGTTTCCCCCGGCATCATTCCCATGGACGTCGGATAGGGGGTTCAGGCGGCTGGGTCTGCATCTCGTCGCCGGAATGAATGGGCGCCTGACCGGTGGACTGCGGCTGGGAAGCAGCGCCCATGCCGGAAACCGCTGGCTGCTGGTCAGCCTGCTGCTGAGCAGCCTGGGCTCGATTGGCTACTGCAATGTGCGACGGCAGATTCATTAAATATTAATACAGTTTATATGAACAGCGTAATGTATGTAACCATTAATTTCCTAATCAGAGTAAATTTTACTCCGATTAAGAAATTAACGGTTACATTACGCTATTATAAAATTATTACACTGTTAAACTGATCATAAAAATTATCTGTTCATTTATCTGAAATTACTTGAGAATTAGTTTAATTAAAATAAATCTAAAAACTCCGACACACTTTAATTTTAACTTTTAAGTACACGGATAAAACATACAGAATTAGGCAAACTTCGTAGCGAAATGCTTCCTAGCCAGAATCAGTAAATTGCAGGAATCCCATCTAATCGATCACACAAGGATATAAGAAATAAATTTGGACCGATTACTCGTAGTACTTAATTATGCACAATGCAGGTAAGTGTATACAGGATTATTGGATTAATGTCCGGAGAAAAGCCAAATTTTTTCCATTGTCAATAGTTCAAAATTCACATTATGATCATTATCGCAATTAAATTCCAGGAATTTATTGTATGTTCGCAGAGCGAAATAAGCTTGAATTTCTGCTTCAGTCATACAGTGTTAAAGTGCTCTATTTAAATCGGTCAGAATGAGAAGTATTTTTGTGAGTTAAAATGAGCAGTAAATTTATTCACAATACTTTCTTTGTACAATTACAAGCGAGCTGCGCTCAGTTCTGCACATGCGATCAGATGAAAAAGGAGATGAAAATCGAAAAATGAATTATTTCCGTATTATTGTTAACATAGATTGACGCTTACTTTGCTGAGGGACTTTGATCAGGCAAGCTTTGACATAATTGACGTACTCTTCCTGAAAACCACAAGTCAGCGATTGCACAGTATTCCCAGCGTTTCCAGATCCGCGATTCTATGACGAATGCAAAAATGTCAGTAGAAGGCTATACGGCGTCTACCCACCCTGCAGGTGGCTTTCAGGAAGATCCTGCTCTCCAGTTCATGCGCCGATATGTTGAAGTCTGGCGCTTTGGGCATGACTTTCTCCCTGTACAACAACAACAGCTCTACAGATCTCTTAACAGGAACAGTGGTATATACTTAATGATACTAATTTTCGAAACTACAGTAATTCCAGATCTCACATTTCGGAAATGCATTTTTTACGAAATTCCCAACTCTTCCAGTCTATCACTATTGGCATTCCTGGATTCATCCTCACAAGTCAAGTCCAAACGGTAGCCACAATCTTATCTGTCCATAAATTCCATTACCAAAAGAAGGGTGTTCTGATTCTGGAAAGAGAATCTTAGAATCCACAGTAAAATGTCAGATTGAGACAGAATCAAAATACTAGTAACTAGTATGCAAATCTACCAGATTATTATACGCATTATTGTATGTACACATTGTACAGTACTGTACTTGACTTCCACTGCAGAGTGGAGGCGGTTGCGATGTAGACAGAATCTTACTTCCGTGATGTGGGCGGTCGGCATGTAAACAGGGGGTCCTGCTTTGTTGATATTAATTTCGTAAAACTAAAATAAATCACTTGCCCGGCCTTGCGATGTAATACCCTTTATTACAATAATAACAAAATCACAGCAAAGCTGCCAAGAAAAACAACACCCGGGCACTAATTTTTCTCGATGTAGCTGTTCCTCACTTGAACACGTCGTCGCTAGTTACTGTACATAATAATTATTAAGTTAATAATTATAAAGAAGCCGTTATAGGCGTTGTGTATACCATAATCTAAATGAATAATCCATTCCAGATGAAGAGGAACAGCCAACACACAGTATGAGACAGGTTTAATTGTGGGGATTCGAAAATAAAAATAAATACACCGAAAGGATGGTCACCATGACCGAAAAGCCGCTGCAGTAAAGGCAAAACACAAGCCATAAGTTCGTCTTTTAAGAGCCTAACAAGAATCAATTCAAACAGCGGCAACAGGTCGACATGTATACGAGTACAGTACATCGGAATTTCCAGATTAATGGTAGTAATCTACATGCATATTCAACTACAATAATTTCCACAACACCTTCTAAACCAAAACTTGCTAATACAGTACAATATACTGTGTCTACCAGGTAGGGAAATTATCACAATAAATTTCCCCTAAGAAGCGCGTAAGCCGTACTATGTTGCGCTCCAGGCTTCACCTTTTAACATGAAGATAACTTGGGTATATCAGCAAATAAAATCATTCCGACAGTACGTCGGCCAAGCGTTAAACCATCAACTGCGATTCTGCACAGCCACCAGACTCTGCCTCCATCCATCCATCAGGTCAACCAGACTGCACCCGTTCCCCGCTCCCAATCCCGTGAAACATTCCCACATGACACCGCGGACATCTTTCAGGAACGCCGACTCCCCATACGCCGCCACATCCATATCCCGGTAGTCGATGAGCGTCTTGGGATAATCCAGGGGCACCACGACACCCACGGGCGGGACAACCGCCGCCTCTGCTCCATGGTTCTTCAGTCCGCAGCAGAGATATAGCACCTTTGCATCGCGGATCAACTCCCCATCCGGGTGCATATCCACATCCAGGATGATGTCGAAATCCCGCTGCAGATAGCCGGCTTCCAGCTGCAGCGCCGCGGGAATTTCCGCTGCCCATTTGGCGATCTGTTCGCTCTCACTGGCGATTGATAAACCTGCAATCAATCCCGGATTCGCATTAGCTTTACCGAATACAACTTTTCCTGCAATCACACTTGATATCCCTTTTTTATCAAAGGTAAACTGTCAACAAAATATATTACCGGTTTAAAAATGAACTCGGCCATAATTTTTCCGTTATCATTTTTATTCAGTATTCTATACAACATTTACTGTAAAACAGATTATTCGTACCCATCTCCTCATCGGCATCGGACAGATCCTTCTCGGCATCCGGTTCGGCGTCACCGTGCCGCCACACAACCCCATCATCCAGATGCGCCGGTAGACGCGCACGCCAAGCCTGACAGAGAGCGGAGAACTGTTCGCCTTTGAGCTCCGTTAGCACTCGCGATAACACCTCAGCAACGGGCTTGAGAGAGGGCCGTTCCACCCGGACTAGCGCATCCGGCACGGTGTCCGCGCCAATTAACGGTGTTAATCCCGGCAGACTGCCCGGCGTCTTCTCCTCCAACGGGGATCCGGCCGATGATTCCCCTAATCCCATTCGCTCCTACACAACACGGGAGACTGATAGTTCCGCGCCAAAAGCGGGAAAAACAGAAGTTAGTACGTTCTAGACGTACCCAATTAAAGTTTCTCAGGATGCCTTCGCATTTCAGCAGGACGTTATAAGGAACGAACTTCTCGTAAATTGTTGTTTGTAAACCACGGAGTCGTTCCAGTTGTTGGTGTCGTTCTGGAAAAAAACAATAAATAAGAACTAATTTGCAACAACAACAATCGATAATGATACGACATGCTAGCAAAACTCCCACATTATGCTACAAAAATTAATATTGTATCATCCCGGAAAACCAGTCGCCCGGCGCTGGTCACACACCTGGATCGTTGCGAAATTTCAACAGCATCCGTTGTATGACATCCTTAAACTTTTGCAATTCCTCCAGCTTTTTCTTGTACAGCTCCGATCCGATGGGTACCGTGTCCGGGTTGATTTCGCCGGCCGGTGACGGTGCCATGCCCGGCTGATTGGACGGTGGGCCCGTCATGCCCATCGGGGATGATTTGGGCGGCAGAGCCACCACAGAAGGCGGTCTGGCTGTCGTTCTACAAACACAAAATCGTCAGTTTCAGTTTAACGATAATATTTAGATTAGTTTTTCTCTAAGGATGACACTGTACCCGCTCGCATCCGGTTGCTGTGGGATGTTTCCTGGCTGTCCTTGACCGGGCGGCTGGCCCACCGGTCCACTGGGACGGAACTGCGGGTTCGGAGGAATGGGTGCACTGATCAGCTGGGTTAAGAGCGATGGTTGTTGGTTCAGCTGCGCGGCGGACGGTGGCGCGGCCGGCTGGTTGGGCATCATGGGCATGCGGGGCTGCATGGATCCCGGGTAGGCGGGAGCGTTGTACGGCTGGTTGTTCTGATTGATCATGCCTTGATTGTCCCTCTGCAGAGAGTCGTCACAGGTTAGGTAAGGAATGCCACCATCAGAGAACGAAGGCCAGCGACGCTTACCATGAGCATGGCGGCATTGGCCCGTTCCATGCGAATACGCTCCTGGTGCTGGAGTAGCTGCTGGCGCATTTGCTGCTGCTGCTCCGGAGTCATATTCTGTGGGACGGCTGTGCGAACGCCTTCGGGATAGGGACCTCTCATGCCGGGTTGGCCGCTCGGGACTGCAATGACAACAGAAATTGAGAGGGAATGGCACTTAAAAGAAACCGAACAAACAATAAAACGCTCGTATAGAAAGGAAAAGTCGATCCACCAGTAGCCACCATAGTTAAATAAGGCGATAACGAACATATTTAAAGAGAAGGCATTAAAAAGCAAAATATGCACTAAACAACTTGATTTCCGGAGAAGAAAAGATAAGGACATTTTGTCCAAAAACGTCACAAGGCCAGCTAACTAAAATAAGATGATTCTTCTTCATATAACAAGTCAGTAAGTATTTTTTAAGTGAGTAATTAGCTGAATAAAGCGACAAAAACATATCGAAACTGGAAATATTCGTTTATCAGAATAATTAAAAGTCTGCAAATAAATAGAAGTAACGGAAAATTTATTATTGCATACATTATCAGAAATAACAAAAAACCAGGGACGCACAAAATACCGCATCAACAAACACGAATGTACCGATACTGTCGGGAATGTGATGAACCTACACTGCTGCATCGGTTGTCGCTGCATCATCCCCGGCTGTCCCTGCATGCCCATTCCGCCGCTGGCCATCATCATCGGCCGGCCCTGCTGTCCCTGCATCCCGGGATTCATCATCATGCCGCCGCCCACATGCTGCGGCTGGGGATAGCCGGCGCCGGCGGGCGGTTGTCCAGCGAACTGTCCCATCTGGCCCGCTTGTTGGGACGGCGGCTGATTGGGATAGCCCGGCATCATGCCGAAGTTCTGTCCCGGCGCCGCTCCCTGGCCCGGCATCATCCCCATGGGCGGCTGGTTGGGGGCTTGAGGGAGCTGCTGCTGCTGCATCTCGCCTCCGGGATACATGGGCGGCTGGCCGGTGGACTGCGGCTGCTGGGAGGGTGCGCTCATGCCTGGACCGGTTGGTTGCTGGCCGGTTTGATGCTGGGCGCGATTGGCCACTGGAATAGAAAAAAATTGTACTCATTTTCAGATCCAAATCAAACGTAAACGCAGGTCTGCGCAGCTAATTTTTATGAATACTCGTACATGTGTTAATTTTATCATTTTATTTAGTTTTAGTATTGATAGTTCTGCTATTACTGACATTAATTAATAATAATTCATTAACATATCATTTTACGTAATATTATACAAATTATGAAAACTGAAAATTAATAAAAAGTAAACAAAAAGCGCTGGATAGAACAGTAAGGAAGTTGCATATTAAACGATTAAACTAATTGTAACATGCAAGTACTTACTGTAACTTTGCACTACAATGTGAGGCGTTCAAATGAAATTAATGGAATTCAACGATATTTAAAAATCTCATTGTGCACTGAGAACCGAAAAAGTAAATTTATGTCTTCTTCTATTCGTACCAAAAGTCAGGCAGTATTTAAGTATTCACCAGTTTTATCGGTGACCAACTCCATCAACTAGATGATTGAGTGATTGGCACTTACTTTGTAGTGGAACTTTGGTCAGGCATGCTTTGACATAATTAACGTATTCCTCCTACAAATCGCAGAGTTAGCGTTGGAACATCTTTCACAGCGTTCTCAACTGCACCATTCTCTGGTGAGAGAGAACAACGCAAAAAAGGCTCTACGCACGACGCACCCTGCTGGTAGCTTTCTGGAAGATCCTGCTCTCCAGTTCGCTTGCTGAGATGTTGGTGCCAGGAGTTTTGTGCAGGATTTTCTCCCTGTGCAATAACAGTATTATACTATCAGAAACAATGGCAATACTACAGAACTCACAACCAGTCCCAGAACTTACATTTCCGCCACGCATTTCTTGCGAAAATCCTGACTCTTCCAGTCCATTGGCATTCCTTGATTCATCCTCACAAGTCACATCCACGCTGCGGCAGCAATCTGACGCTTACCAGTCCATTCGCTCGATAAGAACAGCCAAGAATACGGATTTATACAGGATATCAGTCAAAGTTTGCCGACTTCTGGAATTTATGCAGTAACTTTTCCGAAACAGGATTCAAAATTATTATTAAAAGCAGTTAGAAAAGTCAAAAGATCAGAAATATTGAAACCCTACTCAATGTTCTGCCTTTAGGGCCTAAAGGCAGAACATAGGGTAGGGTTTCAATAGTGGATGCCTAAAGTTTAGGCATCCACTGTTGTATGTTACGGGCAACCGCCAACAGACGGCTGCTTGGGAGGGCTGTCACGTTACACATGAATCATGATGTGGTGAACGAAAAAATTCCATTTTGATTTATTTTCTTGTTTCTCATCTTCAGTTTCTGCAGAACTTGCCGTTACTTGCGGAATGAAAAATTATTGTTTTTGTGTTGAATTTGTTGATAAATTTTTTTCTGTTATTGTGATAATTTCGCTGAACTTTTTCGTTCCTTGTTCGTGCAGGACCCTGGCACCCTGCTGCTAGTAAAATTGCCGAGGCCTGTGTTGTGCGTGGATTTGTTGTGACTGGCGCGTGAAAACGACCCACGTCATTTCCCTTTTCATTGCACCGCCGCAAGGCACCGCACTACTCTGCCGATCGTCGAAACGATCCGTCCACACTTGCGTGGCTCTCATTCTACTACGTGCCTGACGTTCCGAATATCTCCTTATTTATGGGATTTCTGTGAGAGAAATCTACCGTCCTGATCACCGCACATTCCCCAAAATGAGGCTCCGCAGCGTCTTGCTGCTGATGCTTATATCGCAATTATCCCTGTTCATCAATGCCGAGAACGCCATCAAGCTAAAATCCGTCACGGCCAGTCTCTACACGAAATGGCACGAGACCCCGCTGCTGGTGGAAGCCAGTGAGTTTTTCTACGACGAGAGCCCGACGCTCTTCTGGAAATTCTTGGAGCACTTGCATCTGCATGTGGGCACGGCACCGATCGTCAGCGACAAGGAACAGTATGATATCGCCGTGGAAATCGGGGAAGTGCTGCTGTCGCCTGTCCGCCAGAACTTTCTCCTCTTCGCCCTGGCGCTGCGCTACTATTCGGCGCGCATTGAGATGTACCGACAGATTGTCGATTCGGAGAATATCGTGCGGGACTGCGCGGATGTCGTCGTGGATTTCGGGAATGGGAAACGCGCGTGTGGACTGGAAGAGCTGCAGTGGAATTTGGTGGGATTCCGCCAGCAACAACCCGCCAACAGGTGAGATTTATAATTAGCTTTGTACGTACAAAACGGCAGCAAAGATTTGGAAAAATATTTCTCGAGGCAGGGAAAAATTTCAAATTTGGCAATCATTTCTACAAACTGAACATTGTTTTTATCTAACTCGCCTTTTTCGCGCAGTATGTTATTCACTAGGCAGCCAGCGCACTACGATTTTCGTGTTAATTTGACTGCAACTGATTTTAGCTTTTGAGTGTTTTTTTCTTTGAAGACGGTTTTCTTCTGGCAGATGCATGCCGGTTTTTGTAATCTTTGGTCATTTATCATTGGTAAAACATGTTTTCATCCAAAAGCACGGAATGTGCATTTAAAACTGCGAATTTAAATCTCGGAAACTCATTGGAAGGTTTTTTTACTCATGGAAAGCCACTGTAAACATCTTAAAATATTTTAATAGGCATCTTGGTTATTATAAGAATATTCCGTATTTTTTAATAAAAGCCAGAATCAGGAGACTCTCAACATGGGTTAGTTATTTCAGTACCATAAGCATATGGAAATACCATATGCTTACGAATTACGGTAAATAGTGAATATAGATACGCAGATAATCATGGTACATCTAAGCTGCTTTCTTTCAAGAAAATTCGCGTCAATTTTATCTTAAGATTGACAATTTTTAGGCCTCTTCTCATGTCCATCGACCATCATTTCTCACCGCCCCGCCCCACCGATGCCACCATCATCGTTTACGGCAACATCCTAATCCCTTCCTTCTACCAGACGCACTCGTTTCTCGAATCCCAGCCGGATATCCATTACGTATTCCGCCACTACCTCCCTCCGAATCCTCACCCATCCCGCGTCCGCATTCCCGGCTACGGCGTCGAGCTGGCCATCAAATCCACGGAATACAAAGCACAGGATGATAGTAAAATACAGGAAGGCGACGCCGCTTCCACCGCCGATCTGAGCTCCGATGAGGAGCTGGACGCCGACATTGAAGGTTTTGATTTCGGGATGTTGAAGAACCGGCTCCCGTTGAAAAAGGATCAGCTGGAGCAGTTCAAATCGTATCTGCTGCACAGCTCCGACACGGAGCTGACAGCGTTGAAAGCCTGGCAGTTTCAGGATATGAGCTACCAGGCTGCGGAAAAAGTTCTCAAAGTGGCTAAAACGCACTCCGGCAGCGCGACAGATGCCCTGAAGACGCTACGGGATTTGAGCCAGAACTTCCCGACGCAGGCGCCGACCCTCCTGCGCATCCCGGTGCGCGAGGAAGTCAAGGGGGAGATTGAGCGGAATCGGGAGTTTTTGCGCATTATCTCAACGTCGAAGCCGGCGGTTCGGCGTTCCTGATTAACGGCGTCTCGTACGAGACGGATTTGTTGGATGCATATACGTTGTTTGATAGCCTACGCGAGGAGAATAAATTGTTGGAGCGGTTGCACGATCTGGGCATCCGGGGTCCGGATTTGTCCGCCATCTTGGAGATGGATTTCCGGCCGTCGAGTAGCGCCAAGTACGGAGTAGATTTCCGGCATCCGGCGATGAATTTTGTCAATGATCTAGAGAAGGATGCACGATACTCGGAATGGTCGGCCAGCGTGCGCGATCTTATTCGCCACACGTTTCCACCAACGCTGCTGAAAGCGATTAAAAAGAATTTTTATAATCTGATTTACGTAATGGATCCCGGGACGCCGGAGAAGAACGGTGAGATTCTCCGGTTACTGGAATCATTTTACGTCCATAAACTTCCGATTCGTATGGGCTTGGTCTTTGTTACGAATCCCGATGCCAGTGTACACGGGAAGACGGATGCTTCGCTGGCCGTGTACAATGCTTTTAAATACGTTGAAGAGAAGAAATCAGCCTATGGAGCGTTGTCGTATCTGACGGATTTGTACCAGAAATTGTCGACCGTTGAAAAACTGACACCGGAAGCGGTTATCGCTCACTTCGCTGGTAAATACCCGAAAGAGAGCGCCGATATGGTATTCGGGGAGAAATCGCCGTATGAAGATGGCCGCAACGATGGACGAGCGTTTGTGGATAAACTAAATCTGGGAGTCCTTCCGGTGGCGTTGTTGAACGGCGTTCCGTTGGATCGATCGAAGCTGAATATGGAGGAGTTTGAAAATGAGGTGCTGGTGGAGATTGTCAATGTATATTCCGTGCTGCAGCGCGATGTGTCGTCAGGTGAGCTGACGGATTTCTCCGATGTCGTGGCGCATATCATGGGCAAACCGCATGTTGTTCCGCGATTGAATCCGCAAATTTTAAATCCAACAGCGTATAATGTACTGGAGTTTGGTGGGAAAAGTTTGGATGCGTTGAATTATACGTTTCAAGCGTTCCAGCACCTTCTCCCCGCTGATCGGTAGGTTTGCATTGCAGCAAAGCACGAACAGGTGTTTTTGTTTGCTTTGTAAGGGATGCAACTTTGTTTTTGAAAGAAGAAAATGTCTGGATTTCTATCTGCGTTTATTTTCTTGAGAAATACCTAGTGACAACAATTGTTAGTTGGTAAAAATATCTGTATCTTCTGCGAGTCGATATTATTACTAAATAATTTTTTCATAGCGGTAACCGATCAAGTGACGGGGACATCGTGCCGTTGTTCTACATTCTTGGTCTTGTTTGCTGTAGTTAGATTTAAACGGTGCATGAAAATCATTTACAAAAATAGAATGTGTCGATTTACACAGGTAGGATGGATCTAACAAAATATGTATTTCAGCCGTTATCTTGTATGCCAGACGGGAAAAAAACCGCTAGAACGTCATACTTTTGTGCTATTAAACGATTTTTAGAAATGTGCATGCCTTCAAACGATAACAAGGGGAAATCATTTAATAATTTTACCAGGACTGCGACAATGGCTGCCGCTTCGTTTTACCTGGTTAAGCACGAAGATGAAGGTCCGTACCCGGTGACCATGTGGGTGGCTGCAGATCCGGAAACGTCTGCCGGTCGGGATCTGTTCTACACCGCCGTGAAACAGAGTAAAACCAGCAACAACCTCCGTGTGGCCTTTATCTTCAACCCGGGGAATGTGCAGTTCGACGGGTCAAGCCACCTGATCACCAAAGCCATCCAAGTGGCGATGGAAACGCAGACGGTTAATATGGCACGGAATTTCGTTACCAAATTGCTCAAGGAGGAGAACGTTGCCGAACTGCTTGCAGGTGAGAGAAAAGGTTCTGTTTGTACAAGAAGAATACTCTCCTCGTAAAAAAAAGATCACATCTATTTTTTGGAGAAAATGTGAAAAATAATCCGTTTGATCAGGAAAAAATTGAAGAAAAAAAACTTTTTGATGACAAAAAATATTGTATTGTATCCGCGCTGAAATACACGACGAAGCACTGCATTCGTCATTAATTAGGACGCCGGCGTTTTATTATTCTTTAGGCATGAAAACGCTGCAGGATTTCGAAGTAAATGGCATGGATATGGCGGCATTTAATTCCGGATTGAAGGAATTATCGTTGGACTTTTTGAAGATCCACAGCCTGTACGCTCAGCAGCAATTCAGTCTCAAACCGGGCGAATCTGGCGTTGTCGCTAACGGGTATATCATAGCTCCCGTGACTGATGATTTCGGCGCCGATGATTTCCAGTTGTTGGAGAAGTTCACCGGGACGTACGGTGCGACGAAGCTGTCGACGGAACTCAACCGACTGCATGTTTTCGCCTCGGCTGAGCAGGTTTCCGATGTGGTCATGATGACGTCCGCTGTTCTGAGTGGATTAGGTACTGTACAGTAATCGAGTAACAAGCAAGAATTTAGAAGGTGCTTAAGAATATTTTTTTTCATTAATGAAATGGCAGGTATGTACTCTCGAAAATTATTGCTGACGCTACAGCATTCTTATTCTTTTCATATGTGGAAATCTACCCTTAATGCTTCGGCTTGTTAATATCAAAGTAATTTTCAGGACATTCTTTATTGTTTTAAGATAAGAAACAATTTTTAAAAACCAAGGTTCGTAGGAGCGAGTCATTTTTTGACGTGACTTATTATTTTTGACGTTTCTTGTTCGAACGTCTGTTTGAAAATGGTTTTTCGAATCTGTAAGCCTCTGTACTTCGAAGTTTCCCAAGGATTTCTTTTTTACTGGTTATTTTGTCCGGTGTGGTGAGCTGACTGAGCTCCGCCGCTCCGAATTGGCTGATCTCATCATATCGATAATACTCGTATAATGCACGTTGGAATGCACGATACGTAGTGTACGGGCTGCTTATGACAACCGTGATGGCACCGCTTCAGTTAAGTACTTATATGATACCAAGTCACTCGCATAATACTTCGAAATCTTTATTGAGTTAAGTTTTAAAAATTGAAATGGTTATTAGTGGTTTTAATTTTGATGGCTCCTGTAACTGTATGTTTTTTTTGTATAAAATAACTTTAAGCCCAGAAAGACAAGACAGCACAGATGTCGTAGGAGTTAAGTGAAGCGTTTGTGTTAATCTAGGGAACACGGAGGAGGCGAAGAAGCGTCTGAAAGTGTTGTACAGCGAAACAGAGCATTCCGTAGTGAATATCGACGCCCGCAATCCCGATCGACCGGCGTTTGACATAACCTTTATTGCCGATCCACTTTCCAAGGAAGCACAGAAAGTCACTCCGCTCCTGATGGTCCTGCACGAAACGCTCAACTGTCGCATCCGCATCTTCTTCAACTGCCGTGATAAACTGTCGGAACTGCCGCTGAAGAGTTTCTACCGCTTAATTGTCGAGTCCAAACTGACGTTCTCGACGAACGGCTCCATTGCGGCGGGTTATGCTGTGGCGCGCTTCCCCGCTCTGCCCCATACCGCGCTCTTAACGATGAATCTCCAGCCACCGGATAACTGGCTGACGGAAGCCAAGTATGCCGTGTACGATCTGGACAATATTCGCTTGAATGAAGTGGACGGACGCGGGGTGCACGGGGAGTTTGAGTTGGTGAATCTGCTGCTGGAGGGTTCGGCCAAGGATCAGAGTACAGATCAGCCGCCCCGCGGGACGCAGTTCATCCTGGGGACACCGTCCAGTCCGGGAATGGTCGATACGATTGTCATGGCGAATTTGGGGTATTTCCAGTTTAAGGCCAATCCTGGAGCGTGGATTATGAAGTAAGTACAGCGTGTGGAAAAGTTCTTCTTTCTTCTGAAAGTTGTTTTACAATTTTCGTTTTTTGCCGTAATTTTTACTGGCAATTGGCAAATATGTTCAATATAAAAATTTTTGCTGTCACGAAATTACTGACTCTGAGTTCGGTGTTATAACATAATACCTGCGTGTGCTAACGTAATACATGGACTGTTTGGGATAAGAACTGACTCTTGTGATTGCATTTTGTTGTACAAAGTGGATATTTGGGAGTTGGTTTCGTATAGCATGGATATTTTGAATATTCTTTTTTGTAAATATTTTTTTTCGTATAGAATGGATATTCCGAAATAATTATCCGATTTTTATAATAAAACTTCGGTAATCTGCATTTTTTTGGTATTTTTTTCAACCTTTTGAATATTTTTCTTTAGATTACGAGAAGGCAGATCGCGCGATATTTATAATTTCGCCACGACCGAAGGCACGGAAAAGGACGGCTCAGATGCCGAACAAGTGCGTGTGGTCGTCAGTTCCTTCAGCACGAAAATGCTGACCATCAGCGTCCGCAAACGCAGCGGCATGGAACGCGAAGACGTCCTAAGTGAGGCGGCCGCCAGCGCCGATAAGAAAGCCGGCACCGGCATCCTAGACTCCATCTCCAGCTACTGGCACAGCGGGGAGGACGTGGCCACGGTCACCGCACCGGAGGACGATGTCATCAACATCTTCTCCCTGGCCAGTGGGCATCTGTATGAGCGCTTCCTGCGGCTGATGATGTTATCCGTTGTTAAGAACACCAAGACCCCGGTGAAGTTCTGGTTTTTGAAGAATTATCTGTCGCCGCAGTTTAAGGAATTTCTCCCGTACATGGCCAGTCATTATGGGTTCCAGTTTGAGTTGGTGGAGTATAAATGGCCGCGGTGGCTGCACCGGCAGTCGGAGAAGCAGCGGTTGATTTGGGGCTATAAGATTTTGTTCCTGGATGTGCTGTTCCCGTTGTCGGTGAAGAAAATCATCTTTGTGGATGCCGATCAGATTGTCCGAGCCGACATGAAAGAGCTGCGGGATCTCGATTTGCAGGTATGTACTGTAAACAGTCACGGCTATGAGAACCAATGCTACTATTTTAATAAAAAAGAATTATGCAGTATTTTGAGAAATTACATTAAGTCTGATGAAGAGCAGTAGCTGTGTTTGCGGTTCCGGAATATTCCCGGTTAAGTAATTGTTTCATGACGAAGAAACGGACTCGTATGTGCTTTGTGACGTGGGTGTTTTTCGTAGTTCGTCGTAGTACAAAGGTTGACAAATGGGGTATTGCATCTTTTCGATGCAACGTTATTGCTACCAATCATTAGGCCTGGCTGTTTCTGTAATTGCTAAGGTTTCCATATTTTTACCTGCAGTAGGGCATACTGATCATAATAACTAATTAAACAAGATGTAAGAAATTTGACCGTGTTTTATTATACTTATTACATTATACAGGTATCTGATATAAAATGCATTACGCATGTACAGTACATCGTATTGTATAAACTCGCGTGTTTGGACGTTAGTTCAAGATTATCTTTTGATAATTAACAAAAATTTAGATTATCTTTTGCTAATTAACTAAGTATAGTAGTACCTTGGTAATCATTCAGTCAGTGGATGAGTGCACAAAATTGTACCTTACAGAATATTTGGAAATGCTGATGCTCGCTCGTCGCAATCGACCTGTAACATATTCTGCCAGCTTTACTTTTAGCTGTGCCTTTTTCTTCTGTAGGGCGCTCCGTATGGTTACACACCGTTCTGCGACAGTCGCACGGAAATGGACGGTTTCCGCTTCTGGAAGTCCGGCTACTGGGCGACGCATCTCGGCCACCGGAGGTACCACATCTCCGCGCTGTACGTGGTGGATCTGGTCAAATTCCGCAAGATCGCCGCCGGAGACCGCTTGCGAGCCCAGTACCAGGGCCTCTCCCAAGACCCCAACAGTCTGTCCAATCTCGACCAAGATTTGCCGAACAACATGATCTTCCAGGTGCCCATCAAATCCCTCCCGCAGGAATGGCTGTGGTGCGAGACCTGGTGCGATGATCAGTCGAAAACCTGGGCCAAGACCATCGATCTGTGCAATAATCCCCTGACGAAGGAGCCGAAATTGACCAGTGCCATGCGGATCATCCCGGAATGGAAGGGATACGATGACGAGATTCGTGAGTTGCTGGAGCAGTTTTATGCGGGGAAGGGCGGTGGTGTGGTGGGCGTGGTGGAGCCGCGGATGGAGGAGATGAAGGAGGATGTGCAAGAAGAGGAGAACGAGATTCCCATACATAATACCGCACATGGACATGTTGAATTGTGAAGTGAAGGGAATCGTTGCAATTATATTCCGGCATATTTCCGTTGGACGTTAATATAATGAGATTGGCACATGTGATACGGAGATATTGTGCCGACACGTTCATTGTTTTGTTGCGCTTTTGGTTTTATTTGTTTTTTATTGGGAAAATGTTGGATTCAAATGTGAAAAAAAAACTGTAGAAAGACTGGTTTGGATTTGCGGTATATCTGTACGTACCCTGCCATACGACACTGAGTATCTAGAAGTACCATACGACACTGAGCATAACAAGTAGGAAGTAGGAAGATTATTTTGACCTTTGGATCGTTTTTATTGGTAGCGGATTATTTTCACTTGCCCACTCTTCTCACTGGATGCTTTACTAAATAATTTCAGCTACTATCATACTGTAGATACGGTTAACCTGCTCAGATTGTCGAATATTGTTTTTGTAGTATTATGCAGTTTCAAGTACAAAGAAGGACACAGTCATAAGATGATGATGTGGTCGCTAACAAACGATGGTGCCGTCACTACAGTAGCACTGGTCGCAAGTTATGCTGTACACCTGGCCACCGAGGCCGGCCAAGGAGTTGCCAATATCCGCAGCCGCGCGGGCGCGATCCCAGCTGGACGTGCGCGGTCGGTAGGCGACAGGAGCGGGTTCATAATAAGTCGGCCGGTATGCTACAGGTTTAGGATACCCTAGAGCGACCGACACCAACATCAGCGCGACGATAAAGACTTTTGATCCGTCCATACTGAAAACACAGAAAACAAACACCATAAAACAATGGGTCATCTATAGGTAACTGCAATAAACTGTTTTATTACGACTCGTTAATTTCAAGTGCATTTAATTTATTGATTAGCATGTCGACACAACAGGGGCGAAACATACGGTTCACAACTTGTCAGATAAATCTGCCAGCATAATTGCCGATAGCTGAACACAGCGAAAACAAGTTGACCTTTTGAAGCTTCCATTATTTCGGGTTCTGTAACGGCTGATTAATTGTGCAAGGAAAGGTGATGTATTTTTTGGAAATATAAATTATGGCGTTCTTTAAATTAATTGTTAATCAAAACTAATATTTCTAATAAACTTGCTACAGTTTGTTAAGGGCTCCAAGAGCACGGCTTTGGGAACTTAAACGCTCAAAAATTACAATCTTAACTGCATATTAGCAAAAACACAATTATCAACAAACCTGTGCTGTGAATGCAGATATAAGTGGTCTGAAATCACACAGCGTGCTGCAGAATGCCGGCGACTTAGTTACGTTGGCCTTAAATGAATTGTATGGAATCCACGTCAAAGTGAATTGAACAACAATGAACTAATTTTTTCTGTTTAAGTTATGTGCTCTCGCTCTCCACTGTGCTACAGTTTAAATAGGCGGATAACCAGTCATTTTTTAAAAGTTAACAAAGACGTGGATGCCTAGAAGGTATCCAGATTCGATCATGCGATACCGGCAGTTTGGTATACCTTTGCCAAAAATTCGTTCGGAGTGTCAGAGTTGCTGTCAAAAATAACTGAATATCACTGAAAGACGAACAGGGCCTTGATACGCAGTAACACAAGAAAAAACAACACTGTTATCGAGCAAATTGTTACGTTACATATTATAAAGAGTTGCAAGGTGCTTTCGGTAGGTATTGCTGTGAAATCGTGGTAGGTGTACTTACAATACAACATGCGTTCACAGCGTAATTTTGTGTGACATAGGTACAGTATTGATGCAATTCGTAGGAAGTATACAACGTTGCTGGCACTCCCCGCAATTTACCCCAACGGCGAAAATGAAGCACCATACGATGTCCATTTACGAAGTTCAGAAGAAAATTACAGTGGGAAAACATAGTCCGCACTCCGCAGCTTATAGTGGAATTATAAAAATTGTAAAGACAGCTAGCCGGTAAAATGAACGGAAATTCATAACGCGATGGAATAAGGAACAGCTGGATGGTCTTATTGGTCATACAAATACCACCGCTACAATACCTATAAAGATAAAGACAATTATAAGGACACCGCCGTTAAAATGTACTTAGCTTTTGTAATAAATTGTGCCTCTTGAGAAATATCTAGAAGTGCCAGATTAATAAAGCTTAAGTTCATAACTAATTTCTTATCAAACATGAAATTTTAAAGACCGATTAGTTGCAGTTCTGAACTTCCCTTTACATGCTTTACATAGATAATATGGTAGTACCCGATTTACTGTGAATCCGGTGGCGGGAAGAATTTTTGTAAGTGGCCCCTTTAAACTTAAACAGAATGTCCGAATAGGACATTAGGGTAGTGGTTCCAGTCATTTGTGCGCACTCTGTACATTAGATGATGCTGATGCATACGGTGTTTGAATCATAATTTTTATTGTAATATTGTCTTGCATGCACGGGTTATCACAACAGCATTAATAACTGAAACGAACATTACTACATCCACTCCTCCATTATCCTTTAAAAATATGCGCCTGGTAAGAACCCCGTCGGCTTCGTTCCGGGGCCATCATATTGTAGGCGCTGTCCGGGGCGGGCATGCCGCGTCCATATGAGTAATCGTCGGCATAGGCATAGGGGTGTTGCATTTGACGAGCGGCAAAGGCGTACTGGTCTGGCTGATTATACCACTGTGCAAGACTGCCGTGGAAAACGGCAGCGATGCAGATTACAACCAAGCATACTCGGACAGTGGACATTCTATCAGAATGCTAAAATTTGTTACGACCAATCTTACGGTATGCTGATGCTGAGAGTGATAAATCGAGCGTAATGCGTACCGTCACTGGATCTGACAAAATATTTCTTTATGATCTGGGGAAAGTTTTTGTGAAAAATAGTATGCAAATGAACTGCAGACGGTTTCTGCTAAGTACGTGCGCACTTTTTTACGATTTTTGGTTGCTAAGTCTTGAAACTGCTCTACGTTACTAGGAATAATGTTATTCAGTATAATATATTTAATAATTAACAAACGGCAACGCCTTGCGCTCAAGTATTATTTAAGTTATACTCCTGGTATTTCTCACTTATGTAGTACAGACGAAGATAATCTAATTAAAAAGCATCAATCACTCTGCAAAATGAACGCTCTCACAGAAAAGGTAGTTCGTATAATTAAAAAGTTCATAGGTATTATAATATGACTGTCGAGATCATCGGAAAACTCAAAAGCTGCACAGCGAAACTGCACATTTTCAATTACATGACTAGCTAGCTAATCAGTAATCAGCACTCGTGTAATCTGTATTCCCATTGAATTACTATGAAAGCATTCCCGTTTTCATGCATGCATGGTAATAACACGCGCAGAATTTTGATGGGAAACTTAAACTTTATTTCGCGTAGGTTCCATAGCGGTGACGTGCCACAGGTCACTGCAGCGCAGCAGCAGCGGATGGCGGTTGTCCACGCCGCGCCCACATAAATGTCACAATGGTCACCAAATAAGCTGCCATCTACGACAAAATATGAATACGAACATTATTAATCAATCAGCATTTGTATGATCGAATAGGCAGCACCCTTATGATTTAGGAAAGTGCGCTACAGCCTACAGCAAAGATTCCGTTGCGGAACCGTATTAACATGTGCTAGCGCTATAATACTGTGTTCTGTATACATACTGTGTTCTGTATACATACGTATGTACAAGATTATGTGTCTGTCAACGGAGAAAAAACATCATATAAATACATACAGTAAACACCGTTATGAAATACCTGCAACAATGCGGCACGGTTTAAAGAAAGCAGCTTCGCGGCAGTGAAGTATTTGCAACTGATATTGTACAGTTCCAGTGATGGGCGGTTCTGGCTAAACGCAGATTCATTGTCTTCACTGATGGGAGTGGAGCCTGTCCCGCGCTCCAGTATATACGGTCCAACCCGTGCCAACACGCGAAAGAAATGTAGCATCAAAATCCGACAACTTTTGACCAAACCGTCGTCGGGTGAAATTAATGTTACAGAAATAAATATTTCCGGCTTCGTATTATGCCACTAATACAGGGAAAGTTGATAAACCATAAATGGACGTTTACATAAGTATGTACTTACACGCACATTACTGCGACTTGCTCTCATGCTGTAACTGTACCAAGTTTTGATGGTCTGGAATCTCTAAAGCAGGATAACAGCAAGATTAACATGAACTTTTCAAAATTTAGGAACAATTTGCCTATAAAATTGTTAACTAAAGAAAATAAAAATTAATTACTGCTTACAAGTATAACCACTGTGAGGATATTGATTGAACGCAGTGACATAGTCACTTATGTGCACGCCGTACACGGTACGTTGGATCTGGGATTAATTAATATTAATTAATATTCAATACGTATTTCTGTTTATGACATTAAATTTAGCATAATATTTTATGGCAAGCAGATAACGGAAACGATGAATGTGACGATAGTGCATGTCTTATTTGCCCTAAAAGGTCAGTGAACAAGTATCGTACCAGTACCTGTTCAGCAGCCCATTCCGCGGAAATCACGATAAAAATTATCAAACAGCCATAATACAGTGGAAATGCCAGAAAACTGGCGATCGCTGCGGTGTTGAGTTTTTGATCCTGCTCAAGCATCTGGGGAACACACACAACAGCAGAAACCAAAAAGGCGATGAACAGCGCAACGATCGGCCAGCCGATAAAGGCATTAGTATGGTCAAACAGTTTCGCTAGTTTATGTTCTAGCGCTTGTATTACCGCTAAAATATGCATTACCGCTAAAAATTCCATTTTCGATATGTTGTCGCATTTGTTGGGAAAAAAACTTAGCAGTGTGACCAAATCCGAGCAGAAGAAGAATTAGAGCCGAGTGAACGATTTGAAATACTAGCATGCTCCCTAATCCGATTGCCGTCTGACCTAACTGCCGGTCATGTACCGTCACATTAAAAAAGGCAAAATTAGTCATATTGAAATTTTCCTGACTAATTTTCAACAGCTTCACAAACGTAACAACGGCATGCGCCAAAAACGAGAAACTGACCACATGCACGGCAATCCAACCCTTTCCCAGCTGCTGTGAGAAATGTGGACCTTTTTAGTAAGATAACCAGGCGTTTCATGTGAACCAGTGCACTGATAAATAGTCGGCTATTAAATGCAAATGTCGCCAAACAGAACAGCGAAATAGTCGGGTAGAGCTGTGATTCGGTATTGATGAAGAAACAAAAGAAGTCTCTTT